ACGCAGAGAAGGGCGAGGGTGCCAGCGCATGTGGAACATGAGACGGGCAGGGGGTGGGAGATCGTGCGACGCGATGGCTGTCTATTAATACCAGCTAGTGAGTGCATGTACATAAGTGAGTGCGAAAGCGCTGCTAGAGAAGTGCCCTAAAGTGAGCGGGAGAACTAGGCAGCGCGCCGTCAAGTCGGTACTGAGGGATCCCTCGCTGCGCTTTTGGTGGGCGTTGCTTTTTCCTGGCTGCTTTAAGCGTGGGTGGTGCCGAGGCGTGGTTGGCCATTGGGACGGCTGGGCGGGCTGGGCGGGCTGGGGTGGTTTTCGCAGGCGGCTGAGTCATGCTGAGCTAAAAGCGGCGGGTGGGCTGCGATACCGGTGGAGCCGTAAAGTGGAGCCTGGTATGGTAATGGTAATACGGTAACGGGACGACCAGCCAGTTGGGATGAAGAAGTTGATGTTGATAGAAAAGCGAAGATGAAGATGGAGATGACGGAAGAAGAAGATAGAAGATGATAAAGCAGAGGAGAAGTGGATAGGAGATGGAATAAGGTAAGAGTAAAGAGCAAGATAGGCAAGAGTAATCGTAGTGTGTAGAGTAAGAGATGGTAGAGAGGGCAGGGAGTAAGTGAGAGTCTCCGTAGATAGAGAGCGCCAAGGGGTGCCAGAAGCGAGAGGCGAAACGGTGGAACCGCCCAAGCTAGTGGGTGATGGGACGGAGGAAGAAACAGAAGCAGCAGGAAGGTCGAGAGTAAAAAAGAAGCAGAAGAGGCACGCAGGTGTTGCTTGTTGATGCTTTTTTCCCGCTCGCCTTTTCTACTCTGCCTCCCTGCTCCTTCTCTCCTCCTCGCTATCTCCTCGACTCGTCCCCGTCCTCTGTTGCTGTCGGTTTCGGCCTTCTCTCTGTCTGCCAGCGACGTGGGAGTTTTCTATTTCACGCAATCTCTCGACAGACGCAAGCGAGTGAAAAAAAAGCCGCCCCCGTACAAAGAGTGAAAGACGCATACATATCTATCTCGCACCCTCCGACTAGCCGTCCCATCATCGACAAGGGAAAAGAAAGAACAAGAAGCAGAGGGAGAAGAAAAAGAAGCGGATTCCCTTCCTGGCTTGCTCGTCCTGCTCGTCCTGTCTGTCTTCTTCAACCCGTCCGCTCGCATCCCAACTCCACGGATTCGGGCTTCCCATCGCTCAGCTCGCCCGGCGTTGGAACCACGCTCGATACCCTCATTGGCTGCCGTCCCTTTTTTCTTCTCTGCACAGCTCTGGGGTTTGCGTTGGCCTCTGGGCTCGCTCTTATTATTTATTAACTATAATAGCACATCAGTCGACCCTGGCTGCTCTCGTCTGCTCGATATTAATACTAACTACGTACTCCTGATTCACCCTGGCTTCTGCTCACTGACCACCTCTTCCGCTGTCTCGCCAGCCATGTCGGACTCCAGGGAGCCAGGGAAGCCCGGCGGCGACAAGGAGAAGGAGGATACGCTCACCAAGTACATCCAGCGCATGAAGACCGCCCTCAAGGGGCCTCGCAGACCGGCGGACATGGACAGGAGGTCGGTCGTCCCTTTTAGTTCCCTCTTCGTCTCGTCTTATATATATATACATCTATATATCTTTGCAATGGTTGATATACTAACATGTAAACACCGGTAGACCGCACCTGGCTGCTCGTCCCAGAGCCGCTGCACCCGCAGACGCCGACCTCGCCGCAGACCCAACAGCACCAGCAGCAACAACACCATCTGCCTCTCCTTCGCACAGTCAAGGCCCAGGTCAAGGTCAACCTCCAGCTCCTCGCCAGTGGACCTCCATGCAAGAAGAACGCGCCCGCGCCCTCTTCGCTAAGTACGGCCTCACTCTCGAACCAGGCGAATGGATCACCGGCCCTGCTACTGGCCTGGCTGCTGCGTCCCCGGCCGGCCCTACGCCTACTTCTACCAGCAACAACATCAACATCAACAATATCAACGCCGTCGCCGCAAGCAACAATATTAATAACCAGGTCGAACGGATCGAGAAACCCATCCGTATGCGCGTCCGTCGTAACTGTCATCGCTGTCTGGCTACCTTTGGCGCCGACAAGGTGTGCGTCAAGTGCGAGCACACCAGGTGCAAGAAGTGCTTCCGCTACCCGCCTTCAAAGTCGGAGACGACCTCTTCGTCAGAGCCCAAGAGGGAGCGCGTCCAGAAGAAGATCGTTAATGTTGCTGCCAGTAACACCAACACCGCTGCTGGCGCCGGTACCGCCACTTCTACTACATCTGCAACACCCGGTACCACAGCTGCGACAACCACTGCCGCTATTGCTACTGGTGCCGGTGGTACTGCGAGTACAGGTGGCACTCGCGATCGCGCAAGGGATGAAGGACGAAACACCTGCCCCGAGAAGATCATGTTGACTATCCCCAGTCGGACAGGCGGACAGGATCTTGTGCGCAAGCCCGTTCGCCAGCGTGTGCGGCGGACCTGTCATGTCTGCAGCACTTTGTTCGAAGGCTCTGCCACCGAGTGTCTGAACTGCCATCATCTCCGGTGCAAGAAATGTCCTAGAGATCCGTACGTCTTTTGACTTTTCCGTGTGGTGTTTTTCCTTTTATCTACCGGCATACATATACTAATATCGTTTTTACAGGGCAAAGATAGACAAGTATCCGGACGGATACCCTGGCGATGCAGAGCCGCCGTTTGAGCCACAGGAGCGGATCTGGAGGAAACCTCGTCGGCGCGTTCGGTGGACTTGTCATGAGTGCTCGTCCATGTTCACGGGCGGAGAGAAGATATGTCTTCAGTGCCACCACGAGCGGTGCGGCGGCTGTATTCGAGACCCGTACGTCTACGCTCCCTTTTTCTACTTTGCTTCTTGAACTCGTTTCTAACATGACAATCAACAGGCCTAAAAAGATCAAGCCAGAGCCAGACCCAGAGATACTTCGGCGTGTCGAGGAGAAACTGGCGCTTATAGATGTCTCTTCCTAGACTAGAGATATCAATCAACCAACGCATCACCATCACCATCACCGCCACCACCACCACCTACAACGACATTCACCTTCGCTTATTTACTTTCTTTCTTTGCTTCTGCTTCTACCACATTGGCCTGCTTAGCTAGCTGTTTTTATTCGATTTACTACATGACGGTTTACGACTCTCACGCTTGCCCTTTTATTGCCGTTACTACCCCTTGACCTGACCTGACTTGACCTAACTTGCTTCCCTTGATTCACCTTGCCTTCCGACTGGACCGGCCTTTGCTTCATGCACGCCCTAACGATCTCGCAAAGATTGATAAGCATCCTGTTGTTCTGTGTCTTGATGTATACCCTCGCCTCGTCCCTGCTACTACTACCTACCACCACCTATCACCATCTACCACATACCACTACTTCTTTACTACATACACAGAAAGACTAGACAAGCAACTAAAAATCTAAGAACACAGTTTAATATCCGTCCATATTATTTCTGCACTTAATATATAAACTACTATATGTATATGATCTACTACGTATATACTCCGTGTCTGTCCCTCTACTTATCTCAGTACCCCGTAGATAAGGCCCCCATCGCCGTTTCTAGCAAGTCCATGCCATGCCAAACAACTCCTGACTCCCTACCCTGTCTGCACCCCTGCCTATACTCGGCCATCAACTATTACTTTTCGTCCTCCCATGCACTGCATCTGCATGTTCACTCGCCTGTCCTATCAAACCCTGTTCCAGCACAAAGGCCAGAAACATGACTTGACTTGATCCATGTGCATGATTTCCCCACTAAGTAACCCAGCGTAGATAAAATCAGCCAGTCATCAGCCGCCTCTCATGGAGCAAGACAGGGGGGACAAAATGCAGTCGGTAGTTGTAGCGGTAGCAGGGAGGAGAGGATAATAAAGGGCCATCCCCTTGACCAGTCGGTCGATGGGCTTCTTCTGCGGCCTTTTTGCTCCTGCATTGGCGTGTTCTGGTTGGTCATGTTAGTGAGAAAGGAAACCGAGTCAGAGATTTGCTCTCCCCCTGTCATGCTGTGCCATGTCCAATCAACCCGTTAACTAGCTCGCTGGCTGGCCATTTGGGCTCGCTCTCGATCTGCTAAGTTGGCGATTCGGCTCTTGATTCTTCGTCATTTCTGCCCTTGGGGCCGGACGGTAGAGATCTGGTTGGTTAAGCTTCTTCAGAGGATTGTTTTAGGGTATTTTGCGATCACTCATCTCGCCCTTGCCTCCCATCTCATCTCGATCAGCCGCTGAACACGGGGGAGGGGGGATACGTAATTAGATCTCTTGGGTGCCAGCCAGCGTAGTATTGCGGCGGTACTCTAGCAGCTTCATCCGGACCAGGGCCGTCAGTAACACGTGTGGCACTTTCAGTTCGCTGGTGCATGCAAAAGACCGTACAGAGTACAGAAGTGGAGGGGATAACTCTCTCACGCGCGCTGGATGCATGCAGTCCGTCAGTTGCTGTGATGCATCATCGGTGATTATATATGCTTCATATCCCTTGATCAGGCCACTGCCTAATCGCGAGCTCTAAGCATGTCCACCCAAACTGCAAAGTCTGTCGCTCGCTCGAAGCAGTAGTCATCCATATGCCGCATTCGAAACAACCACGCCGATGCATAAAATCGAAATTCAAATGCACAAGGCTTCGTAACTATCGTCATGCAGCAGAAGACGGGCAGAATCAAAATGGAAAAGCAAAGTCGGTTCGGTCCCAACCCTGCACCTCTTGTCTTCCGAACATTCTGATATAGGCCAGGGTATACACCTTTATACCCCCTGGTTGGGAACGATCCCACCCAAGAACGACTGCCTCCCTGTGTCATGGCCTCTTCTGGGCAGACCCTCCGTCGCCTTCCCTACCGTCCGTGGCACCACAGGGCAAGACCAGGCGGGATCCGTCACCCCGTTTCGTCCACGCTGCGTCTGCGTTCCAGCTCCAGTCCTGGTTCCAGTCCCAGTCCCCAGTCCCAAAGTGACGGAACGGGTAGAATCTTCTCCCGTAGCCTTTTTCTCCTGCTTTCTTCTTCAGTGAACCCTTATCGTCGAACCCCATGCAGTCAGTCTTTTTTTTTTTTTTTCCAACTTCATGGCTTTTACTCAAAACCCATGGTCATGGGAATCCCATGCCTTTCGTCCTTCGCCTCTTGCCCGCATCGTGGGTGAATGGCGAATGCAACACCAGCAACCTGGTTGGGCCAGGCCTTCTTTTATCCTTTTCTTTCCTTCTTGTCGGTCGAGAAAGAAAGCCTTGTTTATGCTCTTCTTATCGCATGACTCAAACTAATGGACACAGGGTAACGATTCGTCGAACCCTTGAGAGTTATGTCGTGATATCTTCTCTCAGATATAAGTGCTCTGTACGGAGTACGGAGTAGGGAGGACGAAATATGTACAGAGTATGCGCCGTGCTATGTATAGCTCTATTTCTGGTGGAGGTTTGGCTAGTCACTACTTAATTATCCCGTCCCGTACGGAGTAACTAGCTAGCAATTGGGACGATGGCTGCTCTTGTCAGGCTCACCTTCACGGCCTGGTGGAACCATGGCGTAGATATGTTTGTCCCCAGAGGGTGCCTGCTGTGTGGCCCCCGGAATGCAATGCCGCTCGTTACCTCTGTGTCGGTATGCATTTGGGACCCTTTTCTTTGCTTTTCTTCCGCCCCCTTCTGCTGCTCGTTGCTTGTTGGTTTTTTTTTTTTGCTGCTCTGCTCTGTTTTTGCTTTGCTTTTGATGCCCAAAAAGAAGCGAAAATAAAAAAATGTTGATGTTATTTTCTTTTTTTTTTGTGTTTGTTTTTTTCGGTTTGGTATTTATGGTAACCGAAGCTGTACCAGTATCAATAGCCGTTTCAGGTACCAATACGGTATATTTAATCACGTGGGAACTCTAACTCGACATAAAATAAAACGAACAAAAAGACGCAGAGATTAAATATTATTATCATTTATACTCCGTACGGGAGGATTATCATGAAGATGGACAAACTTTTTGTTAGAGGGTGTATTTGAACCCTTCTAGCCCCTCGATGGGGGTCTTCGCCGTGCCGTCATCAACCTGCTTGTTTCGCTTCGAGAAGATAACTGTTGTGAATGCCACAGCCACCAGGATGAACAACTGAAACGCTGTAGTCACCCAAAGACCTGGCACATACCTAGGCCCATCTTGCTCTCTAAATACCGTTGATGCAATGATGCCTCCCAGTGCGCCGAATCCAATCTGCAAGGCGCTTCCCACAGCTCGCTTGGACTGGAACCGGATGTTGTTTGACTGGTAGGCGAGGATGGCTGGGATGTTCCCCTGGCAGCCAGCTGCTCCAAGGAAGAAGCCGAAATAACGGACGTTGTTGTTTGGGTGATATGCCGTTAGCATCAAACCGATGATGCAGAGGATACACTGGATGACGATGATGGGTCCTCGCATACGGTACTTGTCGGCCACCCAGGACAGTGCCATGGCTACAACACAGGCAAATGCCGTTGGAGGTGCCGTGAGCAGACTCGTTATGGCTGGAGTATACCCCATAGCCTTGGAAATCCCCGCAAGTTAGTTTGTGGGTAACAACGTTTCGGAGAACACACGATCTCACTTACCCTAATAATGATGGGCGCAAAATAGGTTAAAGCATATCTTGTTACCCAAAATTAGTTATGGCCCATTATCATTGTCTTCCATTTTTTATAAGGGAACTTACGCTGGGACTGTGGTTGCCAGGAACATCAACGAACTATACACGTTTTGTCAGCATCTAGAGCCATGCAACCGAATAATTAGGACGCTGGTTGAATTACAATGTCCATAGCTTCCAATCTGCCAAATGGAGCCTCAGCTTAGCAAGGGTAACCGGGTCAGGAACGGAATCGGCTCTATCCTTTTCCAATCGGTGCGAAATATATTTCGCCTCGTTCACCGTGAGGAATTTTGTCTTTGCTGCTTTGTCTGGGAAATCTATGATGATGAAATAAGCTGCTATGGCAATGACCTGAGTCATGGCTCCTTCAACAATCTATTCCAAGGTTAATCCTGATCGTGTTTCTAGTAACGTCATGAAAATTGGTGCACTTACAAAGATCCACCTCCATCCATGGAAGCCAGCAAGACCTTCCATTTGAATGAGTCCAAACGATAGGATACTTGAAAAGCCGCCGGCGAGAACCGAGGTAAGGTAGAATATAGCCAGCCTTCCGTATCCAGGGTCAGAAACGCCACCAACAACCTGCAAAGCTGAAGAATTTGCATACCTAGTTTGAACCTCATATCTCACATACCAACAGGAGATAAGATAAACACATCCTGGGAATAATCCTAGACCCCGCATTTAGTTGGCAGTACATATGATTTGCACACTAGTTGAGCTTACCGGCCTCGAAAACACCAAGGAGAAATCGGAGCACAACCAAGGATTGATAGTTGTGGATGAAGCCCTAACAGGAAATGTTATCAGTTTTTACACCCGTCACGGCCTCGAGACTGAAAGATGTATACCGATCCGAGCATGATCGTTCCCCAGGCAAACGCTATACCCGCCAGCCATGCGGCGCTGCCAACTTTTCGCAGAAGCAAATTCGATGGGAGCTACATTTCACATGTCAGTGCAACCTCCCAGCGCAGATGCAGTTCGTTTTGACATACCTCGAAAATGAAATATGGAATAAAGAATACCAGCAGCGCGATAGAGTATCGCGAACCGATATACAACTTCAATTCTTGGTTCAAACCCGCTATGCGAGCGCTCGATATCTAGACCACTTGCTGAGCTTGTTTCCTAAATTCAAACATTGTACAGGAGAAAGGACCGTACATTCGTTCTGTCAATGAGGGATATGGCGTACAGCGCGCCAATGATAGGCAGCAGTCGCCAATCTATCCGTCGAAGAAGCTGCTTCTCTCGATGTTCGCAATCTTCCAGAAACTCAAGGGCGCCATTCTCCGTGTCCTCGTCCACAACCGTCTCGCCCTCCGATTTATGCGAATCTCCCGGTTTAAACTCCATGGTGATTTAAGACGAAGAGAAAGAATCGCAATAGTACCATGGAAGGCAAAAAGTCACCTCTCAAAATATTTGGCGGGAGAGAGGACGATTGAGTGATTTTAAACTGGTCGAACTACGGTAGCCGACCTAGTCGCTTGCTCAATAGCAACCGCTCTCGTCCAAGATGTACTACTCCTTAACCCTGCAATCTTGTGCATGGACTCGGGAACCATTTCTGCTTATGATCCGCCCCCCACGACATGCTTGTAGGTGGAGGACAGTCTTCGCTCGTTCATGAACCTCCACCCCTTTGCATAGTTAGACATTCTAAATATATATATACAACCGTAAATGGCTGCGAGTGTGCTGTCAATGCTATACTAAGCTACCGCTAGCATTGTTGTGTCGTTTCTTCCGATAAAGGTTTTGATGATCGGGTGTGTTTTCCGAAAACGGATCAGACTGGACACGAATTTCTTCACACCCACCAGGCCAATAAAGGTCATGATTGTCCGCCTTTCATATGATTAGGTGCATGGATGAGACCGGGGTTACGGATCTCCTCGACTCTGGACCGCCATGAATTTCTTCCCATCCTGGAGAGCCGGGAGGGGATCCCATGCACCGCATTGCATAGCAGCCCTTGGCGCGGATGTTGCCTTGTTTGTTTCCCTCCCCTTCACCTAAACAGCTGATAATAATGGTACTCTGGTTACATAGCTGCATATAGCTCCTTGGTATGGCTTGGGTTGTACTCTGACCCTTAAGGACATTTATTATTCATTATATGGTACTCCGTTAAGGGACGGTGAGTTCGTAGATCAACTGCTGGACCAAAGCTATGTATACAGGGCTGAAAGTTCGTGCACAACTGGTTCAACATTGGTTTTGCCGTAGGGCGAGTCCTTTTGCATTCCATACCCTCGACGAGCTTCTAGACATATAGTTCAGTTGATCTTCTGCGCTGATTCAGGCAGTTATCGCTCAAAAGCCAAACCTTAGACATATGCTCTTCGAACTGTAGCCTCTCAGCTGATTTGCGCTTAACCTCCCTTGACAGACCGCTCCGTCGTTGGGAGAGTGGCGGGCATGGAATATCTGAACATTTGCCATCCTTAAGAGCCAGGGTTTGTTGAGCGACTTTCGGTCTTTGAAGACCCATTCTAGTAAAATAGTGCGCGGAGAACTGGCTGTTCACATGCAGCTAAAGCGTAGTCTAGTCCTTGCTAGAACTAACTGGTTGGTTGGTAGTGGGAGTTATATTGATTTGAAACATAAAACCGGAGACTTTGAGCACTTATAGGCAAGCCATTTTATAGCTGGGCTAAAGGCGACACTTTCGTCCTCAGAAGAATTCGATTCTTACCTATGTACGGAGTATCTGTCTAGATATCAATTAGACAACAATCTTGAGGCGCAGAATGCTCAACTTCCAGCAGGTTCAGCCGCAGATAAGGTTGCCATTCCCTTCCACCGTGAGAGAGCCGAGGCTTTGCCCCTTAGCATCAAGGTAATTCTGGATCATTTCTCTGACGATTTCATGCTCCCCCGCAGCAGCGTAGGTTAAGGCTGTAGCTCCGTTACCATCCTGTATATCAACATCGATATCGGCCCTCCTCAGTAAATAGTCGACATTACGTCTCTGTCCACCTTCTGCTGCGATCATGAGCGCTGTCCTGCCTCGGTTGTCTCTTATATTCACATTGGTATCTTCTCGTGCAAGTAGGACCTGCGCGGCGTTGTCAGCTGTGGTATAACTCAGGTCGTCACGAGCTGCGAACATAAGAGCTGTTCGACCATGGTGGTCTTGTATATTGATATCGGCGTCTGGCCGATTAAGTAGCACATAGACAAGGTCGCCAAATCCGGTCCGCGCGGCGTGCATGAGAGCTGTGCCATCGAAGAGCTGATAATTCATATTGAGTTCTTTTCGATCCATTAGCAAGGAGGCTATGCGATTGAATCCACGAAACGCCGCGATGATCAGCGCCGTGTCTCCGGAATGGTCTGCGGCATTGACGTCGAGATCCTCTCGCTCTAGTAGCAGCTTGACTACTTCAATATGCCCATATTCCACTGCCTGCATGAGCATCGTCCTGCCAGTTTCAGTCGCGCAGTTGATATCAATTTCCTTGCGAGCAAGCAGTAGTCTCAAACGGGATGCATCTGGGTGATATATGGCACGAAAAGCAGGCCGGTGACGGGGAAAGCTGGCATCAAGATCTTCTCTCGCAAGGAGAGCTCTAGCTATGCTACTGTTGTCTTTCCCTATCGCAATAACAAGTGCAGTATCGCCCTTTTCACTGCGTATGTTGAAATCTATATCCTCTCGCTGCAGAAGAAGGTCGACTATGTTGGCGTAGCCCTTGTGTACAGCAGCCATCAACGCAGTAAAACCCTGGTTATCCACAGAGTTAACATTGAGCTGCTTGCACTCGAGGAACAGCTTGACCATCTCTTCGTATCCCAGATTGACGGCGAGACTGAAGGCAGTGGCGTTGTCTCTGTCCGGCACATTCGGATCAAATGAGCCTGTAACGAGTATCTTTGCCATCTGGACATCTCGCTCTGACACGACGAGGTGTAACAGTGACGAACCATCATTGCCACGGCGGTTGATCTGTTTCCTCGTCAGGAGATGGGCTAGCGAAGGGATGGCATGTATGTAGCTGAGAAGGTCCACCGGGCTAAGATGGTCTGCGATGAGATACATGATGTAATCGTGGAGATACGGCGTCTTCTGCTTCCTCCTCGCCGGTCTCAAAGGAACTCTGCATTGTCTCTGGCCCTCTGTCGAGTATGACATGGATGCCATCTGATGAAGCGTTATAACCAACTGCTATGAAATCCAGGAGTAGATGACGATGAGGATGGAGCTGTAGCTCGCTGACTGCCCGACTTTGAGTGAGGAAACAAAAAGGAGGCCTCTTGTCCCAGATGAGATGATTACACAGATCGCAGCAGCAACTAGTTAACCAGTCGGACAAGCAACCCGCCAGTCAGAGTGACTGTCAAACTGGTCTCTTCGCCTTCGCTTTTGCGGCTGGCGATGATGGTTGACATTATTTGAACAGCCAGAACCACCCAATTCCACGTGATAGTTAAGAGGCTGAAGGAAGATGCGAGACGCCGCAATATAAGAGCGTCTTGCAAGCGAAGCAGAAGCATGAGGAGAATGGTTAAGTTCTACAGCCTATTTAGTTCGCTGTTAGCTAACTAGTTAAATAGTTAGTTGGCTTATTTAGTTATATCGGCGGTGCAGAGGGAGCCGGGGGTGGGGATCGGGAAGTAGTTATATTCGAGCAAAAGGCCCGGCATAACTAATACATCGATTGGCATCTCATGGAAATATTCCATCTTGCTGCTCGAGACCTCCTGTTTGACCTCAAGCTATCTCGATAATGCTCTAGGGCAGTCTTCTAGTTCAATTGACGACCGGATGTAACAAGTTAGTTAGCTGGTGCGACTCTTGGGCTGCTGCATTGGATTTGAACAGGGCATTTGCGTCATAAAATTTGGTGAGATTTTTCACACTATTTTGGCCGGTCTTGGGACTCTTGATAGACGATTCATGGATTTCAAAAAGGCTCATTTCGAGTGGCTGGTGGGAGTCTCCGGCTTGTTTTCTGATACTCCGTACACTGAACGGCTGTAGTTTGCTTCCGTCTGTCCCATTCCCTAACCGACTAGATAACTAGCTACGGAAGACCCGTCAAATCAGCTTCGCCAGACGGTCGTAAATAGATATAGTCCCCAGAGCCTGCCGATTCCTTTGTGGGTGTTGCTTGATGGTGCCCCGATGGGCCGCCTAAAAGACTCTATCAAGCCGTCTTGGTTGCTTGTCCGGGTGGAAGTGAGATCGCTTAAGAGGCTCGATCGGAAGGAGTGCATCGAGATGGAACATCGTTGATTGATCTCCAAGGACGGGAGTATATATTCGACCATCTTGGACAGGCGTTTCATTAGGCGGAATGACGACAAGATATGAGGATGGCCCTTCTGTTGGCTGGTTAGATAGCTAACTAACTATCGGGCGAGAGGGCCCTCTCTTTTTCCCTTTTGGGCGACTGGAATTGAGTCTAACATGGTTCGTATACTTGGTTATACAGCAGGGTCCCCCAAAAGAGTGACAAGGAGCATTAGTGACGTGCTACAGTGGGACGGCCTGGCAGAGGGCACTACCAATGGCACGCTTGAGGATCAAGCAAGATAATCGCCCATAACACTCCGTACTGAGGCAGAGTGAAGTTTCATGGCCCTCGGGACGGCAAGACATCCAATCGATACTCCATGCCGTGGGTGCATCGGCCAATACGGGGTCTGCCGTGACGATGAAAAAGGGGCTCAGACATGAATCTCCGAACCCCGGCTGCCCTGCCGTCGTTTCGTAAAGAAGGAAGCCGATTTCATGAGACTCTTTTTTGACAAGTACGGCCAACCGAGACGCCGACGTCATGCAAGTAACTCGATGTAGTCCAGGTCACGGTGCATGAAGCATGAGAGGCGAGGCCAACACAGGCTATGCAGCCGTCTGTCTGCCCCCTGGCCAACGCTGGATCCCTCCACAAACAAGAACGATGGAACCCCCATGTGGTGGTGTTCGAGAAATGGTTATCAAGGGCCACCGTCTCTTGCTTGGCCTGAAACCGGGCGCTAAAATGTGCTTGACTTCGTACCAATCCAGGCCGTGGTTCGTTTGTAATCTGGAAATGATTCCAACGCTTGCACTGCCTCCAGCTGGTTCTTTGAGCCCCCGTTGGCTCCAACCAGGCCGGATGCCTGTTGGTGATTCGGCTGTCCGCAGAGCTTACGCATGTGCTCTCTATTTAACTTTGGCTATCCATCGTCGTCTCGCTTGCGGGCTTGCTGGCCTGTCAAAAGTGCCGTTAAGGTTGGCTGAAGAACTGCATAATGGAGGGCCTTGACTGTCCCCGTATACCCCGGACTTTACTTTCTTTTACTTAAGCACCGGGCGACCAGCCCCTTACGGCGTCGATCTCCAGGGCCTGTAATATCAAGCGTCGATCCTGGGCAGCCCCGTCCCTCTCTATACGGGAGGAGAGAACGAAGGCAAAAAGAGAGAGAGCGAGAGAGTAGGAGAGAAAGTCGGAGAGACTGCATGTAACACATCGTTTGCTGAACAGGACCGTAACTGGCAATGTGCAACGCTCATCTGTTCGAAGTGCCTGCGAAACCGTTCAGGGGAAGACTTTGATATTGGATGTCATATCGTCCAGCAAACGAATATCAAAGTGAAGATGGAACAGGAGCCACTGGAGCAAGGATGTCCCATGTCCGTCCTCGATTGTGCCCTTCCTAACCGCCCTGTACCGATCCAGGCAGGCTCTGCGAGATGCTGTCCCTTGTCCGATGCGAGATCACTGGTCAATAGCTTAGCGGATGGAGGAAGAGGCTTGCTTGCTTGTTTGTCCAGGCTACCTACCGCTAACGCTGGTCTGTCTGGGGACATCCCATAGGCTTCTCTCCAGCTCCTCTGCCCGCAGCTACCACTTTCCTTTTTTCATTCGCCTCTGAGCTGGTAGATGCCTATTTGCCCGTCTATCTATCTGGCGGGCTAGGGGCTTGCGGACGAACTTTGACCCTGGCTTAGTTATTGGGCCCTTGGAACGGAAAACCCGTACATACTTACTTAGTTCTAGAAAAGAAAAGAAAACCTGCGGCAGCATGGGTTTCACAGTCACTTTCATGTAGCTGGGGAAGGTGAATAGGCAGATTCCACTGTTCAATTAGAAAAGAAAATAATACGGGCTTAACTGGAGACGGTGATTAAAAGGATAAAAAAAGTAAATTGAGGCCGGGGCTTTTATATAAAGGGAAGCTTCCTCGACCGCGGCCTCTGTTCTCCCCCAAAGCCACCTTAGATATTTCGCAAATCTACAACTCTACACTCACATACACACCTCTCAAAACCACCTCACGGTTTCGAATCCCCGTACAGACATCATCACAATGGTTGCTACCAAGTCTGTCCTGAGCGCTGTCGCTCTCGCTAGCATCGCTGCTGCCGAAACCATCGACGTCATGGTCGGCCAGGGCGGCCTCAAGTTCGTCCCAGACAACATCAAGGCCAAGGCTGGAGACGAGGTCGTCTTCCACTTCGTCATGGGCCACCACGACGTCACCTTGGGCAAATATGACAGCCCATGCATGCCAGCTGATGGAGAGGGTATCTATTCCGGTGTTATTGACACCGTCGAGAAGGGCAAGGGCGTCACCTTCACCGTCCCAATCCGGGACGACAAGACCAAATGGATCTACTGCTCTGTCGCTAAGCACTGCCAGAACGGAATGAGTCTTGTCATCAACCAGCCGTAAGTCAACTTCAGTATTCCAAAGATGTAGAAGAAGATGTGTATCCAGCTAACATGTTGAAATATCAGATCCTCTGGAAACAACCACGCCGACTACAAGGACCGAGCCAAGATTGTTCCCGAGAGTGGCTCGCCAACTGAGGTCCAGGGAGGCACCCTTGGTGGCTCAGGCTCAGGCGGCTCTTCTTCCGGATCTTCTTCCGCCTCCAACACCTCCACCTCCGCCTCTGGCTCTTCCACTGCAACTCCTACCGGCGGCAACTCCAGCTCCAGCCCCAGCTCTACCGACTCTGGCTCCAGCCCAACCCAGAGCATCCCAGATGCCACTCTCATCCCCAGTGGAAGCATCCCTAGCGCCACTGGTACCGGCGGCCAGACTACCAGCCCAACCGCCTCCCCAGGCTCCGCTGCCGCCCTCAAGGGAAGCGCTGCCCTTGCTGGTTTGGTTGCCCTCGGTGCCTGGGTTGGCCTCTTGTAAACTGAATATGGAGATGAAACGATGATTCCCCTTCTTGTATATTGACCATGCCGTTTTTTTTCTTGTTATGATGCTGCTTTTCCCATCTTCGTTTCGATATCATGTTTTCGCCCGTTGTCCTTGATGGCCAAAGAAAAATAAAGGAACTAATTAGAGTGCAATAAAAACTCATTATACTCCCTTGATTTGGATTAACCCGACTCTTGGGTAAAGAAAGAAACTGCCCTTTCCACGTAAATATTGGCTTAACGTAGAAAGACCAGCTTCATTCGTAGATCATATATTCATCTGAGCTGAGGGGTATCATTATCGGTATTGGCCGTTTAATCGTATCTTGATATTCTCTAAATATTGGCTGTGTTGTTAGCCTCTCGTGAGTTGGAGTTTAGGGTGAAGTTGGATTTTAGTTGTTATTTGACTTTTCAAGCCAGCCTCAAAAATGATGTCCGGGTCTTCAAACATCTTTTTTCCGTTTCTCCGTTTGACTAAGATATCAAATTTCAAAGCCTCGACTATTTACCAGTTAGCTCTCTCATATCTACAAAGAGGGTGATTTCAACCTCTCTACGCTCCCAACTTTCTGATTTTCAATTATTTAAGTGTTCTAGCTTCAGGCACGATCTAAACGGGGTTTGCTACTATTATTGACCGGGCACCATATCAGCACCATAATCAGAGAAATAATACCTAAATGCTCCAGGAAGACATATATCATCTGCTAGAAGTAAACTGCGTGGAAAAATATCCAGGAGACGTACCATAGCTGCCAGAGACCATGGCTCAAGTACATATGGCTCATCAGCTCCTGGAACGGGCACATCCATCAGAAACTGCAGAGCAGCTCTTTGCGGACAAGGTCAAACATCGGCCTCTCTTCTTGCGCCCAACGTCTCCCACTCCATCTGATAATCGATCACGGCGTCGAATGCAGCGTATACGAAAGAAGGAATACTTCCTACGCAAGCAGAAGCCAAAGCCTCTCTCCGCACGTGAGAAGAGAGTTCTTGGAGTCCACAAGCTACCCAAGGAAGAGATGAAATATGATATCTTCAAGGGCTTGAATCAGCTGTGGATTGAGTATATGTGGCAGGTCCTCGATCTAGCTCCACGGCCGGATTCAAATCCAATAGGAAAAGCAGCGGCTCAGGGTGTTGAGAAAAGCAGTCGAATAACCGCTGCAAGCCACGGAAGCAAACTGGCCAGCGCAGATTTTCATGGTGCGGATATCCAGGTTGTACGCAGCCGGTGTGTGAGCCGTGTCGGCTTAAAGGGGATTGTCGTCAGAGACACGAGGTTTGCCTTTGTACTGATTACGACGGAAAATGACGTGAAAAGTACGGATCCCCTGGTCTCCTACCCACTCGCTGCTTTAGATGAGGTTTTTTCCTTTGGCTAACTTGCTTTTACCCTGATACAGCGGTTCCAAAGGAACATACAATATTTAGATTTGAGATACCTCGTCCGTCTGGCCCTGGACTAGAGGCTAGAACGGACCTCGAGGCGAAGAATCTTGTATTCGAGATACATGGGAATCAGTTCGAAAGTCGTGCTCCAGAAAGGGCCAACAAGAAGTTCAAATGGAAGAATCTGGACTATCTTTAAATACCTTCGGAGGGTTTCATGTGATAATTTCTTAAGACGGATGACTATATTCGAAACTTGAAGAGCAGGTGTCAGGATTTCACCAAGCAGCAGCAGAAACCATATCAAGCGCAGCTATGGCATCTGGGCCAGCTCGAAGAATCTGCTGGCTCGACTCTATCAATGTACGTACACCGAGGATGGTAACGATGCCATGAAGAAGGTAGAGAGTGAAAGAGTTGGAATAATCTAGAAGAAGAACCTGGGAAGCTAGGTAAAACGGCGCATGCTGTACTCTAATACATTAAATAAACAATGTAATGATCATTTCCATTTCTGGGTATCGTTATTTGGTTCTGCCTATTTATAATATGTAGTAGTAGGCCCGAAGACAAGCTTTGGTGTGATATGAGCATATTGACTCAAAGCTACTATGGAATCGGACTAGAGTCAAGTGAAGAGCATTTTTCATCACATTCCAGCCCATTCAAGACTGAACGTCCTGACTGTTTGTTCAGAGCCCTCATCATCGGACTTTTCAGTACCACCGATAAGGTAACCTTTTTTCACACCAGTTCCCAGTCGTCCTCCCGCAACCAGATCCATAAGATCGAATTCTTCCTCCCATTCGGTAGAGACCACCAGGAAGTGGGAGTGGAAGCGTAACGGATCGCCAGGATACGCCATGTACTGACAACCAAAACGCAATCCAGGGGAGAGAAAGTACCCTTTTGAGTGCAGGTGAGCAAAGAGTGGATACGACGAGGGAGCTTCTGGGAGATATGCAGGGATCTGGGGTGCAGTTCTAAGTACCAGTCCACTGGAAGTAGCAGGCGTGACTTCTAACATCTGCTCTCCACCGGCCCTAGGAGCAGCATCCTCTTCCACAGTCGGCTTCCTTGGAGGTGCAAACAGAAGCTCGTCATCACCATCGCCATCCTCATTCTCAATCCCTGGTTCCGCGTGTGATGATGTGTCCTCTTCTACTTCTGGTTTTTCGCTTCCAATTTTTCTTTTGGATTTCTTTACCTCTTTAGCTTTTTGCTTTTTCATCGCTATTTCTCGCCTTTCTGCCTTTTTATCGGCTAGAATAACGGTGGCCTGGAGTCCATTCTGCTTCAGTTCATTGAGGTAGCGTCGCTTATCTTCCTCCTGTAGGTTTCTGATACCCTGGTTATGGGCCTGTGTGTCATCCACAACATATGCCACGTCTTTTTCTACCAATAGCCTAGCCTCCTCGGGCATCAACTCCAATGGCAGCCCTAAGAAAACATTTTGCTGCGGAACTTGTGGTAGGGTCCCTACTAGCACACCGCAAATGTGATGTTCACGGCGTAGATATGTTACTGCGTCGATGGAGAAGAGGAAATAGCGGCCTGATATCAGGGAGATGGGGATTGGAAGCTCTGGTTCTTCCCCTGCAGCCACGCCAGGCTTCAAGTCCATGTTACCTGCTGATAGATGCCCGTTAGTTACTGATCATACGTCAAAGAGTCATTGATACAAGTTGCAAAAGCAGCAGAGGCATCACGGAGTCATAGAAATGAATACTGTTCTCAGTCATATATTCCCATTTAATGGGATTCAGGGGATTGACAGATTAAGTAGTTGTGATAATCATGTAAGGATGCAAACAAAAAGGTCCATAACCAGAGAGCTTCGTCACTTACCAGGCAGCTTTCACCCTCTTACGAGGGATGTTTGAATATTTCCATCGCTTTGCTCGTTTTGTTTCTTTTTGTTGTGGAAGAAAAAAAATAAAATAAAAAGTTTGAAGCTTCACGTGACTTACTTTACTTGCGATTAGTCATCGAGTAGTGTAAACTTGGTTATTGTCGCCCTTTTTGAACGACGACGACGAAGTTGAGGATGAAGCTGTTTCGACGGTCGATGAATGTCATTTAATGATGAATTTGCTATCGCTGCTCGGTTTGATTCTGTTATCGCTGCTTCTACTTCTACTTGGTAAGCCCAGATGCAAGGTTTTCTTCCCCCGTTCAGGACCTGTCTAACGCCCATCGGTAGCTCTCTGGACTATCCGTTTCTGTCTGAGAGCAGCGTTTGGAAGCCGGGATGTCGACTTTCGATTGGATCCTCGGGATGGAGTATTCGACCGTAACTATCTACGAACAATGACCAGCGGGGGTCCAGCCCTCTCAGAGCAAATCGAGCTGGATGAGATGCTGAATGAACCTGTCACATACGAACGGGATGACCACGACGGGACGGGATATAAACAGAGTTGATTGTACTGTACTGTCCCATTATACAAGGATTAAAACTCCAGGTCTTCCTTTTTGGGTGCAGAAGAGGCGTTGTGTTGCTGAGCATCGTTGTCCCCGTCGATGGGGGGCAGAGAGAAGGGTTTGATTGCAAACTTCCTCCTGCTTAACGTGAATGCCCAGTCTTCGCCTACGTTTTTGTCCATACCACCACCACGTTCGTGCAGCACCGGGAGACGGTGTACCTTTAGCATCCCCTGTGGCGGCTCTTCTTGGTTTGTGGCTGCTCCAGAGCTTGCCAAAGAAGTTGGGTCGAGAGTATGAGGGAACGGAGCGAGCTCGATTACTCCATCAGAAAGCAACTCTATCCACCGGACTAGCCCCGAGGACCGAGGATACAGTGATATTGGAAGTGTTATCATTGCTGTCAGTCGGCTCGAATAAGTGGATAGCAGGGCTCGGATGTTGTGTAGAAATTGCAGGACATGTTCAGGCCGGCTCGCGTAGGGCGTGTATAGGGCGGGTGAGAGTAGCGAAGGGACGATGAGCCTGTGGACGGTATTGGGAGATGAGCTTTCTATGGCTTCGGACAGCTGTGTGGCTATTGCGGAGTAGGGCGAATCTGTGCTGGCGCTCGGCTTCGTGAGTGGTATGAAATTCATGGACTGCATAGAAGGGTGTGTAAGGCGCTTCGTGAGGTCGAATGCATGACAAAAGACAGCGGGCGCATTGCCCTGAGAAGCCTGCTGGGTGTCGCCTGCAGTTTCTGTAGCTGCAGCTGGTACTATAGGCAAGTTAGCCCTGCACCCCGCCTCAAGTGTAACCACCCTTATTACTGTGAAGCGGCATACCTCTGGAACCAGCGATCCCAAGCCCGAAGCCTCCGAGCCGCTCATACCTCCAGGCAATCTTCATCTTATCCTCCTTACTCCTGCTAGGACTGCTCTCAGAGGCGTCTGCTGCCCCAATAAGCCCAGGAAGTGTCGCCGCCCACTGCCTATCAAACCCCACAACGTGAACTCGATGGTCCTGGACCACTCCCTCGGCGGCATAGTATCTCAGCAACGCTCCCGCGAAATCAGTCGTGCCGCTTTCTTCAACCAGTAAAGAGCTTCCTAGAGCTAATCCCGCATGGCCGGCTAGCAAGTTATCGAGTGTAGGTGTACCTGTGGACGTGGTCTGGCGGCCGTCGACGGGGGAGGGGCGCAGTCCGGGTGTAGCTTCTGCCGGCTTGATCTGCTGCACTGGCTGTTGCGCATTAGCAGAAGGGTCGCGAGGACCACCAGACGAAAGCCCTATATTCCTCTTGCGAAAAGACATCTCCAACCTGTTCTATCGTCTTCTCGTCAGCGTCTCGTCTCTGGATGTTTCCCTTTAGTCTCCATGATCATCTTCAAAGAAAAAAAGTAACAGTAGAACTTGTCTCTATACGTAAAAGCGGCCCCACACAAAAATCTAAAAGCAGCATCAACTTTGGCTCTTCGTTTTTTAAAATATTCAAGCCAGAAAGAAAGAAAAGAACGACCGGAAAGTCGCTGAAAGTCGCATTCAAAACCCGCTGGATTTCGAGATAGCTAGTTAGCAGTCTGCTAGACGCTGCAGAAGACAGACAGACGCGAGAGAAGCGAAAACAAGCACCCCAAGATGTCGGACCCGATCCTGTTCGAAGACACCTTCAGCATCACCTCGATCAACGCTCAGAAATATGACCGAGTCTCGCGCATCAGCTGCACGTCGACGGACCATCTGATAACCTTCACCCTCGATGTGAATACAGAGATCTACCCATGCGCCCCCGGAGAGTCTCTGTCGCTGGCTCTGGCATCGACGCTGGCGCTGGACGGCAAGGAGGAGGCAACGGGTGAGAGAGCTGTATGGAGAGACGTAGGCATGGGGGAGAACACTCTGGCAAACGACTACGACTATGTCTGCTACGGCAAGGTGTACAGATTTGAGGAGAGCAGTACGGCGGGTAATATGTGAGTTTTACTCTAAATTTGATATGGGTACGATTACAGGTGCTAATCGGGGTTGGATATTCAGGGCTGTTTTCATCTCCTTTGGCGGCCTTTTGCTGTATCTTGACGGCCCATACAACAAGCTCAGTCCGCTTAAGATCGACTACGTCTATCTTCTCATGAAGAAGTAGTTATGCACTTGAAGAATAGTCGTTTGTTATCCCATCTGTCGGATCAATACTCTTGCTTTCTACACGGACTCACGGAGCCATAAAGAAAATAACCCAAAGAAACATCAACGGGGATGGAAATGCTTGGTTTTGATAATTTGGGTCTGGTCTGTTTTGCATTAAGCGCTGGCGTCTGAGTTAGAAATGGGACGAACTGGTCTGTCCCTTTAAAAACAAAATGCGGTATTTGGATATATCTCTTGTCTATTAAAGGAAAAAAAAAGCTGAAGGAAACAAGAAGAAATTGGAACAAGATCCAAAAAAAAGGCAGAAACAGGCAGCGTAAAACCAACGCAGAAGAAGCCTTCTGTTATATACACGCGCAGGCTAGACTGTCGGGAATTCGTGACGACGATGTATCCTGGCGAGTATTTCTAGATAGTCCTTCTCGTTCTCCGGCGTGAGGAGACCATGTCTGATAAAGAAATCTATGAGAACAAGGGCGCAATTAGGCTTGAATTCGCCATTTGACATCGCTTCCTTTACTTCGTCGACGCTCCATAATCGGAAATCCTCTACTTCGGAATCGCATGGTTTTGGTACGACGCTGGGGTCGAGCTGCAGATCGTAGACATACTCGCACTCTGGCTGCAGCAGACCTGTCTCCCCACCAGCTCGCTCGTCCCGGACATAAGTGTACGTTATGCATCCGCAGGACCTGGTGTCTCGTCGAACAATGTTTTCAGGCAACGAGGCTTCCTCCATGGCTTCACGGACTAGACTCTCAAATGGCGGCTCTCCAGTAGCTATGCCACCGCCAACGGTATTGTCTAGCATACCTGGGTATGTCTGCTTAGTCCTGGCTCGCCTGGGCACCCATATCATGATACCCTTCTGCTCGTCCTTGGTGTAGACGGTCATATGGACTCCATAGCTCAGGATGCCGAACAGACTGCTCCCCGCCCGCTCCACGCTGGCAACCAGCTCTTTCTTTGGGCCGTAGATGGGGTATAGCTCGTTCCTCCAGCCCTTAAGAACATCTATCTTCCCGCTTTTTGCGCCGATCTCCAGCGTCTGCGCTAGGAGGGCGCTTCGTTGTGGTTCCGTAGCGTTCGCCGGCGCAAGCAAAGTAACCGTCTTTGCCTCGCTATCGACCTTCCAGCTTTCCTTTGGCCAGGGGAACTTGTCCACTATGGAATTGAGAACAAGTCCAAAGGTCTGTTCGTAGCCTGTGATCTTGAATTCATGGTATCTTTCTCTGTATCTCTTGTATACCGCGGGGTCATCGTGATAGTACGGGAATCTGCACTGAGTCAGTATCTACTTTGCAACCTTTTCGAAGGCGCAAGACTCACACATCACATTCATTGACGAGATCAAGGTTACTCTTCCCCATGATGAAAGCTCTCTCAACCCAAAGATCCTGGTACTTTACCGTCTTCTTTCCTTCTTCCTCTTCTTCCTTCGGCTTCAACTTTCACCCTCTCACGTGACTGGTGATCTCATTGTACCTCTTATCGATAAACCAGAAACATCCCAGTCGCTTCTTTACTATTTTTTTTATCGTTCAGTTTCTTTGGCCTTCGATGCGGACAGCGTAGGGTAAAGAATAAAAAGAAGAGGGATGCTCGTGGTGTAATATCCGGCAGGCTGTGATATACATACCCATAATACCCTGCTCTAGCTACTACTACAACCAGGATCTCATCTCATTGACCACTAAAAATTTATAGATGGCGATGTTCTCCGTCGTCTTGCCAGGACGGCCTTGCCTTACGGAAGCCGTGCCTATACAGCCAGACCCAAACACGCCGCCTACCAACTTCGCATTCACCTTCCCAGCAGCGCCCCGGTTCTCTCATATTGTCGTCTTCCTCCTGCCCGGCGTCACTCTTCCTCCAGATGTGGCCGCAGCAGTATATATACAGTTCCCAACCCAGCAGCAACAGCCTGAATTCCGCTTTCTGGGTGCCATAGGAAACGAGAAGCCGTCGGCAATCTTCAAGGTCAGCCTCCCGGGCTCGCTGAAAACGATGACAGAGGCAGAGCAAGAGAACGAGATGATGGATGAAGGGGCAGATGCCATTGATCCGAACGTTACCATCACACTAGGGATAGCAATTGAGTCCACACAGGTGGTCCGGGAGAAACTAGCTACGCTACAGCAGCCATCGACGGGCCTGGAGCTGGTAAAGAGGGCGGGACAGTCGAGCATGACGACAAAGGTGTTAGCGCAGAGGATTATCGGGAACGCGTTCAACTTCCTTGCTAGCTTTGCTGCTTCGGATCCTCGGGCTCAGGGCGAAGAGGTTATTTCCCTGAAGAGCTTCAGAGATTGGTGGGCCAAGTTTGAGAGGAGGATAGAGGCCGATCCGGGCTTTTTGGAAAGAGAAGCCAGTTAAGTCATCCGGTCTCCTCGGCACATGGAGACTACAGCCTTATATATGCGGCCCCTGCTACTTAATACCCTTATTTTTTTTATATAATTCTAGCGGTTTTGGCTTTGAAAAACAAAATGACCTGCATCTATATTCATTCTAGCATATTCTATCATAGACGCCATTATGTACGTTCGTAAACTCATAGCACTGGCCTTGTATTTTAATGGCACGTATCGTCAGTCATGGGTATGTATACTCCGTATGATGATCACTCTTCGGCCAAGAACTTCAAGAGAGCTTCGCCGATGAGGACACCGTCCTGCTTGTCGTCGATGACCTTCATGGCCGCGTCAAAGACCTCTGGAGGATAGTTTGCCTTTCTGGTCTGCATGATCTCCATGACGATGTCCCTGTCAAACTCGGGATGGCCTTGGACGGAGAACAGTTTGCGGGGGGTGTACATGCCTTGGATGGCGCACTTGGGCGTAGAGCCGAGCGAGACAGTGCCAGCTGGGAGATCATGTACGATATCACGGTGCATCTCCATGATGCTCTATCAATCAGTCAGTAGTCAGTAGTCAAACGAGCTATATATAAGTAGACACTCGGACGCACCAGCTTCTCCACGCCGAAGACCTCTTTACCCTTCTCCGTTAGGGTGAGAGGGTGCACAGCAGCCTCCCAGCCTACATCGCTACGGCCGACTTTGGCTCCCAGCACCCGTCCGAGGATCTGGTGGCCGAAACAGATTCCAATCACCCTGACGCGGTCCTGAGCCACCACCTTTCGAATAAACTCGACCAGTCTGTTAATCCAGGGTGTCTCAGTATCAAAGGCATCGAATTCTAAGGTAACGGCGCAATAGTTAGACTACTAGTTCCGAGCAAAAAGAAAGCAGAGATAGCAAGGAAACACAACCACGCACTTGATCCAGTGATGAGGACGGCGTCGATGTCCTCGAGAGCAGGAAAGACGTCGTTCTTCACGATATCGTACTCTGAAATGTCCAGTCCCGCCTCTGGGTCGACGATGTCAGGCCTGTTCAGCGTCTTTGCCGAGCGTCCCAGCAGCGACTTGAAGACCCCTCCAAAGCGCCCGCCGTACTTTGCTGAGGTGCCGGGCAGGGGATGGTCGCACTCAAGGACCGCAAGGCGGATGGGGCGTCTCATGGCTTCTGACTTGTGCGTCTCTTCTGCTGCAGTCTGGACTTACTTAGTACGGAGTACTTGGTCGGGGCGAGGCGTCTACTGTGTTAGTTAAACAGTGGAAGGTGTCGGGAGCCCGCGATGCGCCCTTTGTCGCTTTTCTCCAGGGGGCCGAGGATGAATAAGAAGAAGCAGACGCTTAACTAACTTAGCTAAACCAACCTAGTTAAAGGCGACTCCACCGCCCCGTCACTTCACCGCATAACGACAACAAGGACAACGACGGCAACCATCATGACTATGACTACAAGTGCTCTGTATGATTATGGCTATGACTACGAGGATACCCGAACACTGCCGTGAGGTGGCACACAGAGAGAGGGAGAAGTGTCTAGAGAATTCTTGGTGGAGTTCTATCGCAATACCGACCATGATACCCATCGATCAACAGGGGCGAGAGGCTGATATCAACTCTAAGCCAACGCCTCCAAAAGAAAAGACGGGTGGCTTGATATCACTAGTTACGCATTTCGGTCTCAGGAAAGCGGGCAAACGAGATGCTTCCTCAAATAATTCGCTTCTTGTCTGGTTTTCGAGCTCTCTCTGGTCTCAGCCCAGGGATTAGGTCCCACATCCTCTCTTACACTGAGCAATCAGCAGTTCCATCACAAACTTGGGCTAGAGATTTCAGTCCTGTGTTACGAGGTCGACTCCTCCATAAGGGCCATAACCCTGCAGTCATGGTATATAAGGAGATTGCTGGCCTGGGGTGAGCAGGTCGATGTTGTTGGGAGTGTTTTCTGCAGTCTGGCCCCCCCTGGATGTCGAGAGAGAAGAACGTCGAGTTACCTACCAAACGGTTAACGCAAGCATTTTTAACTTGACTTGCCGAAAGCCACAACCAATATATCGATTAGGGACCCGGGCTTTTTCTTTGAAAAAAGTCAAATGGCTCCCGCGAAAGCTCAAAGCGTGGATGAAGAGACACCTCTGCTTCGTTCGGGCACAGATGACGACTATCCGGGTTTCGACATTGCCCGAGTTCAATCTATCATCAGTGTAGATGGAATAGAGCCTACGATCACGACCCTTATCGCTCCGGATAACGGCAATTCCTGCTGTGCCAACAACGATGGAACAACAGAGGACCAAAAGACAGAGGGACATCCTCATTTCATAAACGTTACCCAAAAAGAGTTCTGGTCGATCTTCGCTGGCATCCTGTTCGCCTGGCTGATAGCCATGTTCGACTCTACGTTGATGGCCTCCATACATCCCGCCATCACATCGCATTTCAACGCCGCAAACTCAGCATCGTGGCTCTCAACCGTCTTCCTGTTGACTTCGACTGCCTTTCAACCTGTATTCGGCCGCATTTCGGATGTCTTTGGCAGACGGCCGGTCTATCTCTTCGCCGTTGCCGTTTTCTTCATTACTACGGCTTGGTGTGCGACTGCTCAGAGCATCAGCAGCTTCATTGCTGCTCGCGCCTTTTGCGGTCTGGGTGCCGGAGGTGTCGTTTCGGCTGGGATGATCATCAGCTCTGATCTCGTCCGGATAGAGTACAGGGGCATGTATCAGTCATATATAAACCTGTGTAATGGCATCGGCTCTTCATTGGGCGTGGCTTGTGGTGGTTATATAGCAGACACTCTTGGATGGAGGGCTGCGTTTGGCATACAGCTGCCCTTCATCTTCGTCTACTTGATAATATCATATTTCGTTGTCCCAGATTCTCTAGGGCCACAGCTTGCTCGCAATGAAGGTTGGACACTCATGCAGGCGGTCAAGACGCTCGACATAACGGGCTCATTCCTGCTCATCACCGGAGTCACCTCCCTATTGCTTACTTTGAACCTGGGAGGAAACATCCTGCCTTGGTCTCACCCAATCATCGTGGTGTCTCTTGTGGTGTTCTGCGTCTGTCTGATCCCATTCCTGGCAGTTGAGGCGAGGGCCAAACGACCGGTCATGCCACTGCCTCTGCTGTCCACTTTCCCGCAGGCTAACCTGATCCTGTCGAACTTCTTCGGAACCATGGTTATCAACACCATCCTGTTCAACATGCCACTATTCTTCCAGGCGGTCAAGCTGGAATCTCTGACCAGTTCCGGGCTGAGAATCCTCGCTTCTTCTCTGGCGATCATGGGATCAAGCGTGTTTACGGGCTTCTTTATCACCTGGAGCGGACGATTGAAGCCTATGCTTATAATAGGATTCGCCTTTTTCATTCTTTCCTGCGTCGTTACTGGCTCCATGAACAGAGATACTCCCGGGTGGCTGGCGATGCTCTTTTTGCTACCATCAGGCTTCGGCCAGGGCTTCGCTATGCCAACCACTCTGGTATCGACTCTTGCAGTCAGCCCCCAGGCCGAGCAAGCCGTCACCACCACCACTCTCAGCCTGTTCCGTAGCCTGGGGTCGGTATTTGGTGTTTCGGTAAGTAGCTGGACACTGCAGAACGCTCTGATCTACTACTTGACACAGGCAGTCACTGGCCCTGATAGACAAGCCATCATCAAGCGGGTTCGCCAGTCTATTACTGAAATACGTCTGCTGGACCCGATGCATCAAGGTCAAGGTACGTTGAAACCGTTACATTTGCCTCTTTGTGATTTGTACTCAGCCCCTAAATGCTGACTATCTCTGCCATTCTGTAGTTATCCAAGCGTATGAGCAGGCTCTTCGCCTGACATTTATCGTCGGCGTTGCATGGGCGTCAATGTCCTTGCTCCTTGTACTGCCCGTCAAGCTAACTCGGCTAACCCGAAAGGCGTGATGCCCCGACATGTCCATCATCATGTCAATAAGCTCTTTCGACATGTCACAGAAGCGTTGTCGGGACGCCATTGTAGACCCTGTGTAAGTGTACACAAGGCATACCTAGTTACCACTTTCATGGGCTCCCCTTTTCCAGCATGTTGACCATCTTTCCTGCTAGGGGGATAGTATAGCATCTCCATCACTTTCTATAGAATAATAAGCTATATGACCAGTCTGGATAAACCCAAACCCGCAGTCAGTACTCCGTATCAAAAGGGCAAACCATATCCGATTTCACCAAACGCCCTGTCTATGTACGAGACCCCCTTTCGACCACTCAATATTCTCGTAGCACAAGAACCCTGGCTCGAAAACAGCAAATAGAAGCAAAAAGAAAGAAAAATTAAGGATAACTAGGACGGTGGCCAAGCTGGTCTTGTCCTCCCCCGGGCCAGATGCAAATATGATCTCTGAATTGCATGTTCATGTTCAACTTCCAATGAACTCGCCTTGCTCGAGATTTTCATAAATAATTGGAATATCAGAAACTTTGGTTCCCGAGAACCGCAACGCTGGGTTGCCTGATCGTATATTTACGAGGCGTAGTTAGGCTCGATGATGTGCATAGTTACATGGCATTCAGCTAGCTATGTACATGTCGGCGGGCGGCCCATCAGCGAGACGCAGGAGAAGAAGAACAAGAAGGAAGAAGAAGAAGAAGCGGGAGCCTTGTCAATAACCCCGGATCTTAAGGCTCGTTGTTGGTTGGATGGCCTTCTGCTATATTATTATTGCGTTAAGTAGTTATTATTTTTTTGGCTAAGCACTTTTCTTCGGCAAACAACCAACTCCCTCCGATGGACGCTCGCCCTGAGCTCCTCTGCCTCCTGTTCCTCCTGCAGTAAGCCCTTGGATTGACCGTGCATGATACATAGTGGCCTAACCAATGCATATTAACGAGTATGTCGTCTAGATCGGTAGATACAAAGCTCGCGCAGCGCAAGTGACCCCTAAGTGACCTACCAGGAAGCCGTCCAACACAGGGCAAGCTGCAAGTACGACATCAAGTGCTTAGCCCTATATGGGCCGCCCCGAGCTGACCAGTTATCATTGAGCTGGATCACCGCAATCCTCCAGTAGTCGACGGGCGACTGTCTTCCTCATCTTCCGCCAGGCCCCAGAGAAATGCGATAGGTGCTGACGGCTCGAATCACGAACGGGGAGCAATCCATCACCTTAGCTCCCTTCTCTCCCTCCCCTGCCTGCCTGCCTGCCCGTCTTCCCGCCCGTCCGCCAGTCTCCCGGTTCAGGGCTCCCGTCTGTCCCTCTACTGATACTCGAAGTCGCTTGGTGGAGTAGCTTGACACAGCCATTCTTACGGCATTTGGGACGACTCTTATGAGGCTAGGATATCCATGGCATCTAGTGTCGGTCAGCAATTGATGCAGGAAAACGAATTTGATACTTCTCTGGCCCTGTCACCTGGGAATCCCATACCTTCGCTGGTCGAAAGTAGTGAGATCAGAGGCTCTTATCAGCCTCTACCTACTGCGCAAGGGTCCGGTCAGGCAGCTGAGCGGCGGAAGAGCACCGGGAAGAAAGACGCAGCCGAAAGAGATGAGACTTCTGCCCCGACAACAATACCAGCAGGCACCGCTACCAGCAGCAGTCCAGGTACAGCAAAGGCCGCAGCAGCATCGAAGCCGAAGCGGGTGAGAACAGGATGTCTGACCTGTAGGGAAAGACATCTCAAGTGCGATGAGGCTGTTCCGCGATGTCTCAATTGCCAGAAATCTGACAGACAATGCAAGCGTGGAATTAGGTTGAATTTCATTGATACACAGGTTGCTGCGCCGCCTTATGCAGCGCCGGCTTCCCAGACATGGCAGATCAATTTTCGTGACGAGTCGAGAGAGATAGCTTCGGAATACCTGGGCGGATCTGAGAGGTATCGTCCCATAAAGAATGAGGAGTTCGCAAAGCCTCCGGGATTCGGGTTTGCCAATATGATGGGATTTCCCATGTCTTCTCATCAGAATCTAGCCAATATACCGGCCTTACTGACATTTCCTGAAGCCCCGTCTGCTGAAGGGTACGAATCTATGTTTCAAACGACTCAGCAGCCGCCCTCTTCTAACCATGTAGTTCAAGATCAGTCTATTCCACAGCCACCGGTGCTTACTCTAGCACCTCCAAGGGATCCGAGGCCGTGTCTGAATACCCCAGAAGAGGTGCTTCTTATGCAGGTGTTTGTCGAGGAGGTAGGCCTATGGATGGATTCAATGGATGCCATGAAACACGTACGTATTTTTTCCCCATGTTCCAACTCTCCTAGATTAAAACCGCCTGCTCACCTATTTAGTTTACCCGTATAATACCATTCTATGCTCTCGGGGAGCCAATGCTTTTAAATGCTCTACTAGCATGCGGTGCTCGCCATTTACATCTCGTAAATATGACGTACAAAGAGGAAAAAGCTCTGTTCTATTATAACTCGGCCACCCAGGACCTACTCAGATACCTTCAAAATCCTATACGAGACTCCGCCCTCTCTGCTACCACAGCTGTGGTCCTCAACGTCTATGAGATCATGTCCACCAAGGAGACACAGCGGATGAACCACATTGCTGGAGCTCGAGCTCTTATCAAAGAGTGCCAATGGGATGGCAGGTCATCCGGAGTAGGCGGTGCCTGCTTCTGGCTAAACGTCGGCATGGAGCTACTCAGCTGTCTTCATTACAATTGGAGACTGGCTTGGGATCCGGATACGTGGGGAGTAGATATGAATATGGTTCCATCTGGCTCGAGCATTGTTGGCAACGAGGAATTATGGACTCACCGGATAGTGTATATCTGTGCAAAAGTCGCTAATTACCGAGCAACAACTCCTCAACCCTTGGTTCATGATAGACAGGGTCAGCAAAGCGACGAGTGGAACAAAATGAAAGCTTGGTGCGATGAATGGGAGAGATGCATCCCCCGATCCATGCGGCCGCTCGGATACCTGCAGTCATGGCAGTCAAAGACAAAGTCTTCCTTCCCTGAAGTTTGGTAGGTTCCAAGTGTTACCAGAGCAGAGGGATACTAATCTGCCCATATGCTAATTGTTTTCATACTGACATAAGGATTAGGCTAATAAAAAGGTCGTCTGTGGTTGCCCGGTTGTTCTATCACACTACATGCATTCTTCTGGCAAAGACGCATCCAACCGAGTCCCAGTTCAGTGAAAATATGCTAGCAACCCAACAGAGCCATGCGAATGATATTTGTGGCATTGTAGCACATGTAAAGGACAGGTATGTTTTGTCCGACCTGTCCTTCTCCGTCCCTTTACCAATTCCAAGTTATACTGACATTCCTGTAGGGGTGTCGCTAGTGTCTCCATTCGCTGTCTTATCATTGCAGCAGAGTGCCTTGTCAGCAGAGTCTCGCAAGAGCAGGTCTTAGAGATCATGGATAAAATCCTCAAGGAGACCGGCTGGAAGATCGGACCACTTCAACAGGACCTAGTGCAGAAATGGGGATGGAATGTCAAAGCTGAAAGCCAGGCAATGCCACACCAGCACCAGCACCAACATTCTCATCAGCAGCACCAGCAGCCTACCATGTCTTCTATCCCGACATCCTCAACAGCTGCAGGCTCCATAAACCTGAATTCCTCCTTGCTGCCTCCTGAGGTGGGGCTTGCTCTTCCTCGGCCGGCCATCCCACAAGGTATTGTTAACCCAATGATGGCGGCCGCTGATTTCAATGCAGCCAACCACCCCTATCAGAACCACTACGTTGCACCGCAAAACACCTCACAGGGCAGTTATCAGTACGGCCACTACTAGTTCTTACACACGGTAGCAGGCAAACTGGATAGGTCTCATACCTTTTGACATGGCATGGCGCATGGGTTTTCGACTGCATGGGGGGAGCTCTCTGCTTGTTATTTCTCGGCATCAGTGTACTTCCGGTCATCCATCGTTCTCTGGCGTTTTTTGGCGGTCTTGAAACCATACATTTAATCATCATTTCCCGATATTCTTCTATGTTTTTTTTCTGGTGGAAATAGGCTCTTAGAGGCCATTGAAAAGATAGCAACTTTTGGGCTCGGAGGAGGACTGGATTTTAGCATATCATTTTCAAGTATTTAACGGAGGAAAAAGTGCATATGAATGGGGCATTATTGGCTTTTATTCTTATATTTAGGCATCAACCTGGTCATCATTTTTTGAACCATTCCATCTAGTTATTAATTCGGTGCTGTTCCAGAGGCCAAGACCTTTCTATTTCTTCAAGCTTCAGCTTTCGGAACTATCAACACCACACATTTTAACAAACCGCTAGCTATCTGGACTATAAGTACTGTAGTTTGCTTAAAATATACCCAGAAAATAACATCTACGTTATACAATCTACGGCTCCAGCAGAACAGTAAATATGGCAGCTTCCGAGCCACGCCAGCAGGGCTCCTCGGACTCAAGCCAAAAACATCCACCGGCCACCCCTATCTATGTTCTTAGAGGGCACACGAGTCCAATACACTCCCTCAACTTCTATGGATCTAATTCAAGGCTTATTTCTGGGGATGCTGATGGCTGGGTTGTGGTATGGGATATGACCAGTAAACGGGCGGTAGCATCCTGGAAGGCCCACGAAGGATCTATCTTGGGCATTTCAGGAGTTGAAGCCTGCTTGGAAACAGGGGTAGAAAGAAGGATAATGACGTGAGTTTTCTTTTTCCTATATGCTGCAGGCCGAATGTATCAACTAACAAGCTGTAGGCATGGGAGAGACCACAAGCTGTGTGTCTGGAAGCTGAATGAAAAGGATGAGGACGTCGTGGGAAGGACGCTGCCACTGGACACGCAAAACAACCCACAAGATAGGAACAAGCCATGGCTATTGCACTCGCTCTCTGTTAATGCTCTTAATTTTTGCGGCTTTGCATATTGTTTTCTCTCACAAAAAGGTGAGACTGAGCTTGGGGATGCGGTTAAGCCGGGAAACCAGATGCTTCTCGCAGTTCCAAATGCTTTGAATACCGGTGGCCTTGACATTTTCCATCTACCATCTGAAAGACGGCTATGTGTCATCTCGCCTGACGAGAAGGTCAACACTGGTATGGTTATGGCACTAGAAATGTTCATATCGTCTGAAGGAGAAGATCTTTATATCATTTCTGGCTACGAGGATGGAAGTGCGATGGTCCACGCCTGTCGAGGAGGCATTAACCGGCTACCCATCGCGAATACAAATGACTGTTCTAACTCCTCATGGGACTGGGAGTTATTGTATTCAAATCGTCCACATACCCAGCCCGTCTTATCACTCGATATATCACTTTTTTCGGAAGGAAGATACTTCATCACTTCATCTGCGGATGCAATTGTAGTGAAACATCCTATACCAAGGCTGCCGCCCTCTTTGGAACCCGATGTTACCAATATCAGAAGTGTGGTGGAATCAACACATTTAAAATCCGTGAACACCAAACATTCCGGACAACAAGGGCTGAGAATTCGATCAGATGATAAAATATATGCTACCGCTGGATGGGATAACAGAATCCGGGTTTACAGCTGCAAGTCAATGAAAGAGCTGGCTGTTTTGAAATGGCACAAGGAAGGATGCTATTCTATTGCCTTCGCTAAGGTTTTTACGGACACAGGGAGTATAGGAGCCGCTGGGGGTGTGATGACTACGGATACAAACCTGGAAAGTAAGAGTACGTCTCTTATGGTTGCGAATGAACCCCGTTCTCTGACGGAAATCAAGCAACAGAGAAACCTCAAAGCACAATTAACACATTGGATTGCCGCCGGATCAAAGGACGGAAAGGTCTCGCTATGGGATATATACTGATTAACTATGCATACAACTCCGTCAAACATGAAAAGGAGAGGAAAACAAGATAACATCATACGCTGCCTCGTATTGGATCTCTAGGCAATGTTGAATTCGTTTGCCGCCGTCATGTGCTCTCTCATCTTCTTCCGCATCTTATCGGCCGCGCTATCATTCCTGGGGCCAGAATCATACTTCTTGCCACTGGAATCTATCGCTCTGTTTGCCTTGAATGCCTTCTTCGTTTCTTCCTTGCCAGTTCGAAGACCAGGAACATTGATCTTCGTTGGCCTGTCTCGCAATCCAAAACCTTTAGCCAGATGGCCCAAATGTAGATCCTTTATGTTGAAGTACTCCCTCTCGTTTGCAATGTGAGTAGCGTACGCACGAATGTGAGATTGAAAAGCCCGGCGAGCCATTTCCAGGATAGTAGGGTTCTCCAGGGTCCAACGTTCTATATCTAGTTGGAACTCCGTGGCTGCCTCTTCCCAACCTTTGCCATTAGTCCGTCCAAATCCTCGCTTCAAGATGTCATTTTCGTCTCTGCGAGTGACAGCCTTGCTGTTTTCATCACGATACCCACGTTTTAGAACATTGATATATCCTTCTTCACTTCCAGGCAAGAGGAAGATCAAAGCACGGCCGTCACGGCCCAATCGAGCTGTGCGTCCGATACGATGAAGATGATCATCAGCAGAGAACGCCGGGTCATATTCAATAACAAAGTCGACATTTGGTAGATCAAGACCTCGCGATGCAACGTCTGTACATATTAAAACGGACGTATCCTTTTGCTTGGCGAACGCAGAAAGCGTGGCGGTTCGAACATGCTGAGGAAGGGATCCGTGGAGTTTATGTAGTATTACTGAATTGTTCGAGTTTGACAGTGTTGGAGATTCGGCTACTGTTCCCTGGGTAGACGAGTTAGGGGAAGGAGCCGCTTCGGCACTCAAATCTTTCTCCTTTTCATCCTCCTCTTTGCCAACACCGTCTATAGTCTTATCTGACTTCCGAGTGAAAACCTCAAAATGATAATCCACTGAATCTGCACAGGAAACGAAAACGATAGCTTTCATAACAGTTCCCTTGCGTATGAACGTGCTTTTGAGCAGGGCTGTCAAGGTAACAAGCCGAAGTTTTGATGCAACAATTGCGAATGACTGCTTCAGCTGTGCTGGCGCTGAGAAGTCCAAAGCCTTTTGCGCATCTCCAGCTTCGGAAGAAGCGTCTTCAATTTCCTCTGCGGGGTCAGTTTGTATATGTACTGCATCCTTTAAGCTCATCTCTCCTAGGCGCTGCACGTTCATCTTAAGTGTGGCGGAACATAGCACCGTTAGCCTCCTCGGAGGAAGGTTTTCAATCTTTGACGTTGGCCGCCTCTTTGAGTCCAGCTTTTTGATAATGCCTTGAATCTCTTCTTCGAATCCTAATTCCATCAATCGATCGCCTTCGTCTAGCACAAGCCACCTAACAAGGCCCACGTCAAGTACTTTGGTATTATCCAGGTGATCCGCAAGACGTCCAGGAGTAGCAACGAGAATATTTAGACCCTTCCGTAACCTAGCCTTTTCTGATTTCTTCTTCTCTCCACCAATAACTGTTCCAGCTACTAGCCAATGAGCACAGTTTAGCAAACTATCAAGTACAACTGATATCTGTTTGCAAAGCTCTCGAGTCGGTGCGAGGATGATAGCAAATAAACCGGAGTCTCTGTGGATCGACGTGGATTGGCCCTGATCTCCCTCTGTACCTTTTTGACCGGATAGGTTCATTAACCGCTGTACGAGGGGTAGGAGGTATGCAAGCGTCTTTCCAGAGCCAGTCTCTGCCTGTATAAATCCATCACAATTCTCCTTCAATAGCTGTGTGATTGAGCTCTTTTGAATCGCGGTAGGATTTTTCAATTTCAGTTTCGTTAAAAGGTGTGCTGCGAGCTCGGGTGATAGACCAAGCGAGGTAAACGTATCGATACCATCGACGAGAGGAGCATTGGAAGCCTTCGCTACTTCCGCCTCATTTTGCGCCGTAGATTCATCCGACGCAGGGACAGTTTTCGCAACAGGGTTATATGAGAAGAGCGATGAGATGACTTCTCTTTGCGGGCCAGTAGCATATTTGCTGCTAGAGTTATTGGAAACTCCCGTTATGGTAGCGGTGCTCGGTTGAAAATCTCCATTATTCAGTCTCTGTCGCTTCGGCGGACGACTGTATGCGCCGCCATGGTCTGCTTCTCCTCCCCTTGCGCCTCGATCACTGTCGTCTGCGGTGAATTGCTGCTTGGATTTCTTGTGCCGGTGGCCTGCGATTTTTTTGGCGACGAGACGATCCTTCCACTTGCCGCCTTTAAATTTCTGTTGCGAGCTGATGATCCCATCTCCCACATCAAAATTCATAAGCATGCCATCGTCCGCCATGGTGAAGAGCAAGACAGGGGCAGAGACGACGTTATCGTTTCGTTGACTTCTCCTTCTTTGCTCTCTCCGGCGTTGGAGGCGGAGGATGAAGACCTGAAGTTTTATAGTTTTGCGGCGGAAAAAAAAAGAATAAAAAATCGAAATTCCTCGACCCTAAAGCTGAGCCCTAGATTCCGGATTCGGCAATATGTATAGATGGATAGATGAGTAGACAGCAAGGCTGCAACAAGTGTCAGGTAAATGTTTAATTGATAATTAAATATTATACTCTAATTGCTGTTAGAATCCAAGTTTCCTCCTTTATTATGGCAGCATATCCACAGAATACATGGTGCATGATCTAGACTGTTACAGAATGAGAAATCAGGACGAAGGCTGCAAGATGATATTATCAATCAGTCTCACAGGCACCTTTCCTCCTCCAAGTCCACAGTCTTCTCCTTCCTGGGGCTCTTCCAGAGGATACATCTTCACTGCACCACTTAAGACCGCACCCTTCGATTCGTCGACATGGTCCAGCTCCTCTAGTGACTGGGGGTCTGCAAGAGAAATGTAGTCCACTTCAAACCTTGCACGTTTGGTTGCAGGAAGTAGTTCCTGTTCAGCTAAAACGGACTGTGCTAAGGAATTGGCAGCTCCAAGTATTTCATTTCGCGAACTCTTTCCGGACAGATAGACGGCTTCCGCTGCTCTCAAGGCACGGGATAACACCAGGCCAACGTTCCGTCGTCTAGCGCCAAGGTATACATTGCGAGAACTCATCGCAAGCCCCTCTGGTTCCCTTGAAGTCGGGCCAACCCTAACCTCGGTATTTATATGGAAATCCTGCACCATTCGTTTGATAATAATAGACTGCTGTACGTCCTTCTGGCCAAAGTAGACGCGGTCCGGAGTTATCATGTTGAACAGCTTCGTACACACAGTAGCAACTCCCCGGAAGAAAACAGGCCTAGAAGCTCCCTCGAGCTTGTTCGCCAGTGGTGTTATGGTCACGAAGCTTCCATTTCCGTTCAACTCGGATGTGGGAGGTAGCGTAGGGTACACTACTTTGGTTGTAGGGGCAAATATTGCTGTAACACGACCAGATCCAGGTGACGATTTGCTTTCAAACTCCGCGTTAAGGGCCTTTATCTTCTCCAAATCTTCGTGCCATGTCCGGGGGTAACTGTCCAAGTCCTCATTTACTCCGAACTGGGTCGGATTCACATATATGCTGATAACAACATCGGTGTTTTCCTGGGCCGCCTGTCGAATTAGAGACATGTGGCCATCGTGGAGCGCACCCATTGTAGGCACAAACCCCACGGTTCGGTCAGAGAGGAGGAGGCCTCTCCTGTATTTCCGAAGCGGCTGTACATCCCTAAAAACAGCGATTGCGGACTGGGACAGATATCGACGATAACCGGCAAGCCTTGTGGGCAAAGCTAGCAGAAAACTGTTAGAAATATGGCATTACTCTGCGGGGGAAGAACATTCAATGGCTTACTGGAGGCCCTTCTAGTCCACATCATTAGACTAAGCCAATATTAATGATAGTCTCGTATGCGTGGTATTCGGCAAAGAAAAGAGAGGAAAGGTACGGCGGGTGTGCCAGGCAAGCTTCGACTCTACATCCTACGTCAACGTGAAGAGTTTTCCTTCACTTGAACCTTTCCCAAGGCAGCCTTCGAGCTTGCAGTCGTGATGTCTTCTTCAGCGTTGCTTGTAGTCTTCCTTTTTTTTCTCTTCTCCCCTGATAACACTTTTCTTTTTTTATATCTTTTTTTAGCCGCCCTCGGCTCTTTTTTGGTTGGGGATGTCAGGTGATCAACGGGCCGAGGTTAGTCAGCGGCAACGACAAGGAAACAACAGGAAGAAGAATACGAAGATCTGGAAGGACAAAAGGAAGACAAGGATAGCTCTGGCATGCAGTGATCGGGAGTGAAGGGGAGTGAGCTGGGTCTTTTTCTCTTCTTCTAATTCCCAATTCACTGTGCGGCTGCTTTTATACTGACGGTCATGTCGACGGAGTTGTGATTGGAGGCTTTTCTCTGATATATGCCTGTACGGCTCTATTATTTGTTCTATTAACGGCTTACTCGCTACGATGGCTTCAAAGGAAGGACCTTCGGATGTCCCGAAGCTGGCGCCAGACCTTGAGATTGTGGGAGACCAGGTCAGAATTCAGCCTACTGGTTTTACCGCTGGGCTCGAAGAAACAGATGGCATTACCGAACGACGGTTGATGCACCAGATGGGCAGATTTCGTGAGAACCCTTTCGATTTCTTACGAGAAATCAGCCTCTTCGTGTCAGGTACAGGGTGGCGTGCATACGATGGTTTCATTGGTCAGCCCATCTTCTACTCAGGTTTCTCGGAGAAGATGAAGTCGTCGGTAGCGAGTCACTCGTTGCTGGTTGGCAAGATCGAAGAGCTGGCAGAGCTGCGAGTTAAGGCTGAGGAGACTGGGGGACTACTGAGCGTTACTGCACCAGCAAGTTCCAATGATGGGCCCAATGTTGATGCTCGGACTAGGAGGAAGGAGGAGATTGCAGCCAATCTGCGGGAGGTGGTTGATACCATGATGGATAATATGATTTGCAAAATGGAGAGCAAGTCTTTCATCCGAGGAGCTTATTATATCACCACCCAGTTATTGACTAGAGCTTACCATCAAGGTAGGTTTACTAGCTATGAGATCTGTTCATAAAGTTATCCGTCTTCCCAGAGCACATGGGCTGACAAACATGTCTTAGGAATCCATGTTTCCAGCGAGGAGGTCCTGAGGCTTAGGAAAGTCGCTGAAGAGGCAGCTAAGAAGAAACAATCTATTGTATTCTTGCCCTGCCACAAATCTCATGTCGATTATGCATCGCTTCAAGTTATCTGCTATCGCCTAGGGATTGCGCTTCCCGTCGTGGTTGCTGGAGACAACTTGAACATTCCTTTACTCGGGAGCTTCTTGCAGCATGCAGGTATGTTCGAATACCCGCCCTATGAAGTTGAGATAGGCTTATAAACGAAAATATAGGTGCTATGTGGATTCGGCGGAAGTTCGGAAACGATCCACTATACCATGCTCTTGTCCAAGCATACATTGATACCCTATTGCGCAACGGTCACAATTTTGAATGTTTTGTTGAAGGCGGAAGATCGCGAACTGGAAAACTACTTCCACCAAAATACGGAATCCTTAGATATGTTTTGGATAGTGTTGGTTCTGGTCGAGTGGAGGATGCGCTTATATGTCCCGTCAGCACTCAGTATGACAAAGTCATCGAAACTGAGTCGTATATCAGCGAACTTCTCGGTCAACCGAAACAGAAGGAAAACCTACGGGACTTTATATCCGCTTCCTCCGTTCTTTCCCTGAAGCTAGGCCGCATTGATGTTCGATTCCATGAGCCCTGGAGCTTAAAGCAGTTCATAATCCAGCAAACTACGAAAATACACCATATGCCTACTAATGAGGGGAATCTTATGGCTAATATTAGTCAAGAGGAGCGAGCAAAAATCCTTCGTACTTTCGGCTACCGCGTTCTTTCCCAAATCAACGACGCCTCGGTCATCATGCCTACTGCTCTCGTAGGTACGGTCCTCCTAACCTTAAGAGGCAGAGGTGTTGGCAAAGCCGAACTGTCCCGAAGAGTGGATTGGCTATGCGAGCGTGTCAAGGAAAAGGGCGGGCGGGTCGCTCATTTCTATAGAGCACCGACGGCACAGGTTGTAGAGCGTGCTCTAGAGGTTTTGGGTCCGAAACTCGTGGGGAAAACGGCTGGTCTCGCGGAAGAGACGTTCCATGTCGTTGATCGATTCCAGCTATCCTTTTACCGGAACATGACCATTCATCTTTTCATCCCTGAAGCTTTGGTGTCTGTCGCCCTGTACAGCCGGGTGAAGAAAGGCGGCGAACCATCTAACCAACAGATAACGTACGATGAACTTCTTACTCGTGTATCCTTCTTATCACAGGTCCGTATCCCTATTACTTTTCACCGCGTGGCATATGGCACTAAATAGATGTTATAGCTATTCCGAGGCGAGTTCATCTTCCCTCCAGAGGGCCTAACGGCAAACTTAGAGAAGACGCTACATGGACTGGAACGTGGAAATGTGCTTAAAGTTACCAAAGACGCATCGAATGTTCCACAGACGATTGAGCTTAGTGAGCACGAGAGAAACTGTGGTCGCGAGAACTATGACTTCTACTGCTTCTTGCTATGGCCATTCATTGAAGCTTGCTGGCTAGGAACAGTTTCCTTAATAGGCTTAACACCACCACTTACAGACCCGACGAATGTCTGGGTTGACATGAATAAAGCGCAAAGCAATGCTCAGTTGGTAAGTTTATTTTTGTAGCCATTTATTTCTTTGTTCGCTTTATTAACAATGGGATATAGCTGGGGAAAACGCTGTACTACCAAGGAGACCTTTCTTATATTGAGGCTGTTAACAAGGAGATATTAAAGAATTCATATCAGCGGTTTGAAGAAGAAGGCATCATTATCACCGCTAAAAGCAAGGAATCTCCCCAACCACCAACAATGCGCGTTTCGCCGCAATGGACACCCGAAAGGGACTCAGAGACGGGCAAACTGCTTCCTCGGGGAAAGCTATGGGAATTTATCAGCATGATTGCGCAATCCCGCCGTGAAGGGTAGGTAGATGGTTCCATGCATCGCAACAAGCCGAGCTAACGTTAGTACAAACAGGAAAAACCGTCGTGACGGAGAGACCATTTCTTCCCGTGTGCTCGAGCTCAGCGAGGCTATGGGCAGAACCCTCTTCCAGGGGGCCAAGCCAGTCAAGCCCGCATCTGCTGACGGGGGAGTTGAGCTGTCTTCGCAGATACAACGGCGACGAGCAATTGACACCGCATCGAAGCTGTAGCACCGCCCGCGACCCTTGAGCATCTAAAAAGTAATATGCCGGGATCAAAGTATGCCAACAAACAATGTACATATACACCGACGACCAACATCCGCATCTTAACAGCACATGTTACATACCCCTCTTTTCACCATGTAATATGGCGCGATGCAGTCAAGATAGATAGCCTGTAGAACCCTACTTAATATAATGCGTAATTACATCCCAAGCCTCGTTTTCGCTCTATTTACGTCTGCCTAAGAGAAGGCCGAGCCACACCCTTGTCGGCATGTCCTAACCGGTCTCTCCCACTTGTAAAGCATCGCCACCATCAATACTCCGTGTCGCTCGATTCAATGGCCGTATGTATTGTAGTAGCATAGCATCGCAATACTCTTGTACCTTGGCCTGTGGATGATAGGGTCACTTCATTGTAGCATCCGCATGTAAACTTAACGCACCATGTACAACATTGGAGTCTGCCAGGGCAAATGGTCTAGTCATACACATCCTATCACAACCAGCGTAGTCAGCACAAGAACGGGTTCATCCGAGCATCGACGTCGATCATTTCCATGAGACTTTGCCCATGTCATCATCTACCTTTACCTTTTATCCGCCAACCTCGCTGATTATTAAATATATGAGGGTAAATATACCTAGCCTGCCTCTCACCCGGTAGCTAAAGACGGCCACAAATATGACTACTCCCTACAGTCGCATCTTAACTGCAACTTGATCCATCGTCTATCATCTCCATCTCCATCTTCTATCATTGCTGTCTTCGTCTTATCTTCATCTTATCAGCTTCATCTTATCGCCCAGCTATCAACACGTGACTGCTTACTCATCCGCCTTACGCGCGTCCAAAAAAAGAATCCGGTCTTGGCGTCTTTGCTTTTTCTCGAGTTGTTTCTCTCTTCCTCCTTGGTTTGTCTCACATTTCCAACCTTCAACTCCGACTTTCTCTCTTATCAAGGTCGATTGGCTCTCCTAGATGCCTCCTGGCCCTCTGTTCTTCTCTACCTGCAGCGCAATTATTGATCGTCAACCCTCCGCCACTCGTTCGTCAACAGACAGATATAGCTATCGCATGATTCCCAGAGCTCAGAGGACACGAGCGCGCAACGCAGATCCCGTTTCAGCTTGCCTCGAGGACAGCCGGCAGACTTTCATACTCGGATAACTAATATATTTTCGATTAATGCGGATGACGCAAAAGCCGGCCCCATTTTCTTCAACTATATTAAACCAGCTCTAATTCCCCGGTTCGATTCTTCGGAGGCGGCAGTCGTGATGTTATAGTGATAAGTCGTGTATTGATATTCATCTGATAATTCAAGAAATGAGGAGATGTATGTATAACTACTAGAAAGAATGACGGCCTGTCAAGTTAATGGGATAACATCGCTAACGGATGCGCGGTTCAATTTGTTTAGGGAAGTATGCAATAGTTCTGGACGCTGGATCGTCCGTAAGTGCTACCTGCTACCTGCTACCCGCTGCTTTCGCAACAACCACTCTACGCGGGGAACTTGGAAGAAGAACCCATAACTAAGGGCATGCGATTCATGGTTTAATAGGGAACGAGGGCACATATCTACCGATGGGCCAAGAAAGGGCATAAAGATGTTGGCAGTAAGGACCTAGCAAAGCTGCCACACATCGAAACTACCAAGGAATGGACGAAGAAGATAAAGCCTGGTATGAGAAACACATGGCATATGCATCACTGCTCGCCCGCTCGATTTACTGAACTGCTTCTCTAGGAGTTTCGTCTTTTTCCAAAAATCCAGAAAACGTCGGCCCAGATCACCTTCACAAGCTTCTCAAACATGTGCGCACCATAATACCTCATAAAGAGGTCGAGGACACGCCAATATTCCTCCTTGCGACGGCGGGTATGCGATTGTTGCCGGAGAACGAACAGAAAGCGATCCTGAAGAATGTATGCTCCTACATTAGCGACAACTCCGAGTTTCTTTTACCAGACTGTGATGCCCATATAAAAGTCATTGACGGGAAGACGGAAGGACTCTATGGCTGGATAGCAACAAACTACCTTCTCGGCGGCTTCGACGAGCCAAAGGCCCATGATCATGGTAAGGGCCATCATACTTACGGTTTTCTGGATATGGGTGGTGCTTCCGCGCAGCTAGCGTTTGCGCCAAATTCGACGGAGGCAGAAAAGCATGCGAATGACTTGACACTATTGCGCCTGAGGACGCTTAATGGGCAGTCTGATGAGTACGGCGTCTTTGTCACTTCTTGGCTAGGATTTGGTGTTCGGCAGGCGAGATCCCGCTATGTAAAAGCTCTCCTGAAAGGAGCGCCTGAAGACATAGTTAACAGACGGCACCCTGATCCTTGTCTCCCCGACGGTTTGCGCACAACCCTAGAAGGAACCGTTCTTCCTCATGATGGCCCAGTACCCGGCACGGATCCGTACCTGGTAGGAAGTGGAAAGTTCGAAGAGTGCCTGCGCGAAACAATCCCCTTGCTTGCCAAAGACACTCCGTGCGAGGATGAACCCTGTTTGCTGAACGGCGTGCACGTCCCTGCAATTGACTTTGACGTCAATCACTTTGTCGGCATAAGCGAGTATTGGCATACCACTCATGAAATATTCGAGATGAGCCACCAAGACAAGGCTTATGACTTCAAAACATACCAGATGCGTGTCAATGAGTTTTGCTCAACTCCCTGGAGTGCCATCAAGGACGGCATTGAACAAAAGAAATGGGGGAAAGTTGACCAGGAAACCGCCTACGAGGTCTGCTTCAAGGCGGCCTGGATAATCAATATCCTTCATGACGGCATTGGTATACCGCGCGTTGGACTCGAAGCTTCCACCAACAATACTAATAGCGCTACTGAAGAACTCGGTGAGCACGGCAAAGACGGCCAAGGCAAAGCCTATCTAGATCCGTTCCAAGCTGTGGACAAAATCAATGCCACTGAAGTGAGCTGGACCTTAGGAAAAGCCGTCCTATACGCATCATCGCAAGTCCCTGCAGCTAAGGGAAGTTTACCTGTCGGGTTTGGTAGCAATACGCCCGGCAAGGTCCCGGATGACTTCGAATTCCCCAGTTCAAACCAGCCTCATAAAATCCCTTCACCACCTAACAACTCCGGCAAAAACGGGACAAGCGAACACTGGCATGACAACTTATTCGATGGAGACTCACCTCGCCGCATCCCTGGTTTATTTATTTTCGCCCTCATAGTTTTAATCGTTCTATTTTTCCTTCTCGGTCGAGAACGTCGTTCTCGCATCTACCATAAACTAGGCGCGCGTTTCGGACGTGGTGGTAACAATGGAGGCGGCTTGAGAAGGAGATCCCCTTTCTTTAGGGGAAAAATACCCTTCCTCTCTAGGCGGGGCCCTGGAATCTCCTACGAACGCGTGCTCGAGGAAGGTGATCATCGAGACTTTGAGCTCAGCAGCATGGACTCGGATGAAGATTCTCCGGCTTCTTCTTCCTCGTCGCCAACTTCAGGTGCCGCGGGAACTCGACCTCTGTCCCGGACGCCTCACAGCCAAAGCCCCAAATATAACCTCGACAATTCATCTTCGCTCAGCGTTGCGAGCCTTAATAATTCCCTGGACAGACGCGGACTTGTTATCAGAACCGAGAGTAGGGATAGGCTATTTGCTCCTGCTCTCGCGCCGACAACCGTCGGTCGAAGGTCCCGTGCAACTAGCCCCAATCGACTTTCTACGCCCCTTACGAACTCTTAAAAGTGATACCAGTGTCTGTCTTTACCATTCATCAGCATCGATGCAGAGTTGTTTGTATATAATATAATGGTGTTATGGCTTGGTGTTCTCCTGCGGACGTTATTCTTATGCAATCGGTTCTTTCCTAGCGAGTGTCACGATATTCATATTACCCCCCTTTGTACGAGTGTTCATGTGTATATTCCTCTACCATTTATAATATCTAGACGAACCCATTCCTATGCCGATTTTAATTCTAAAGCCCTGTCGCCCCCATATCCATTAAAAGTAAGACGATACAAGTGCAATTGAGTATAAAATTTGTCCTTGCTCCAGGTTGTATTGTGTAGAACAGCCCTTTTAAAACACCGGTTCAGAAGAATAAAATATCAGAATTAAACATCCCACATTTAAAGGAAACCAAACCCAATAATTAAGAGCCTACATCAGGTCATCTCAACGTCATTATCACCATCCGCATCAGCAGCACCGCGGGGTATCCGTCCTTCATTCAGCTCCTTCTCCAATCTCGTAATTTCCTGTAAACTCTTGGCTTCTCTTATCATCTTCTCAACCCGTTTCCTTTCCTCAGGCGTCAGCTTGACTCGTAGTGGCTTCTCACTTCCTGCATCGCCCGGCGAGGAAGTAGATGCTGCTGCGCCCAGGGTAGAAGAGACGTCGAACGCGCGCGACTTTATGCCTAGTATCTTCGATGCTAGTGCAGTGGGTTGTTTCGTCGATTGCCCAAACAGTTCCTTTGCCTTTTCACGCTCAGCATCTTTAACTTTTTGGTAATCGAGGAAGCGTATCGTTGGAGCAAGCCATATAATCCAGTATCGGTAATGCTAAAACACAGCGTTAGCTTTCTCACAGCCTTTAAGCATTGTAACGAGACGGTGGCGTGTACCTCTTTCCTTGTCACTGGGTTCTCGAGTAGACTTAAGTGCGTTAATCTGGGAAAAGTCTTGAGCGGCTCTAGATCCGCTAGTTCAGCAAAGTTATTTGCTGTAAGGACTAGGGTTGTCAGGTTTGGAAGTGAGGTCGCTAGCGAGGGTTGAATATGCGAAACGCGATTCCGGGCGAGAAGGAGAGATCGTAATCGTGGGGAGAAAGGGAAGTTAGATATCGAGGATATGCTGTTATCCGTGAAATCGATTGCATCGTGGTCCTATATTCGGCACATTAGATTTCAAGTCCGGAGTCCACATGGCGTTGGGCTTATGTAGCAAGCTTTCTCGTACCTTTGCCGCACCGAAGTTCTCAATAACGGGAATTTTGTGCCCTATATGGTCCGTCCCCGGAAGGAGATAACGATAGTATCAATGCAGCTTCATTTTGTAGGGTATGTATATACGGTGTGGTTTCACCGTGGATGGGAAAGAAAAAGTGTAGTATCTGGTTCTTTTCAGACTAACTAGGGTGCTTTCTCTGTCATTACGCACCTCGAAGATCTAGCTCGCGCTCTTTGAGAGGATTGAGATATGAAAGGGAGTTCTGGATCAATTCAACTGTGAGACGCATCTTTGCCGGTTCTGCTCTGCTCTGCTTGTCTCCTTCTGCTTCGCCCGGAGGATTGAGATCTTGACTTTTGCTGTTTTTCAGTTATCAAAAGCTCGAAAAAAGAAGAGTTGACGTTCTGTGTCACGTGTTCCTTATCTAGATCAGGCACGATGGCGGGTTCACAATGACATGAGCGCCGCGCAGTTCTGGAGGTTGGTATGCATGAATTTGTCTATAGTAGTATTATTTCTATATTATGCTCTATTATCTATCTCTTTATGTATGTATCTTCTCAATTTCTCCCCTTATCGAGAGGGTGGTCTTCATATGTCTGTACGATTGCTTAGTCATCAGCTAAAACGCACACAAAAAGCGCACAACTCAGTTAGTCAGGGCAAAGTTCGGTTTTATATCAACATCAGACAACATCTCGTAAAAAAATGACTCTTTCCCAGTAACAGTAGATAAGACCCTTGGAGCTACCTGGACACGCCATCTAGGTCAGGCCCTGCCAGAATCGATAAACAAGAGCGTCTTTCAGACATCTTCCGCATTTCCACTTCGCTCTACGGTGATAGCGACCATTGGGCGGCCGGACACCATCAAACAAGTCTCTGTGGCGTAATTGGCTAGCGCGTACGACTGTTAAGAACAATTCGATAAGAACAAGTTCGGTCATCGTAAGGCTGGAAGTTCGAGCCTTCCCAGGGACGGGTTCTCTTTTTTTTGTGTTTTTTCCGCCTTTATTAAGGCCGGGGACGCTCTGTGGGTGGATGGGGTTGAAGCCAAGTGGACGGAAGTTATACCATACCCACTCGCGGCCAGTTAAAACCCCGGTACGGGCAGGGGAACTCCCGAAGAGATACCCAATATCAAACCGTAAAACACATTATTTTTACTCTATTGAAAACTACCTACCTTTCCTTTTGGCTACTGAGGGCTTTGAGTCATCATATCAGGCGTAATGGAGCCTGCACCATGGCGTCCCCGGTTCGAAGACCATGTTCAAGTTGCAGGCAGCCCACTGCTATCACTTGCAACTGTGTCCAAGGGCATGAACAACAATGCATTTCCTCGAGTAAGGACCTGTGTTTTCCGGGGCTTCTTCGCGGGCCTGCAGTTACATTCCAATGCAATGCGGGACTTGAAGTCTAACTCAGGCAGCTCAGTTGAGGAGGGAAACGACGATCATGCCTCGTATCTGAATCCGAGGAAGTATGAAAGCGACCTATTGAGTATTACTACTGATGCTCGATCTGAGAAGGTCAAGCATATCCTCTCTGGCGACGAAATTGGCGGACCGGTGGAATGTCTCTTCTGGTCACCCACGGCCTTTGCACAGTGGAGAATTAAGGGGAAGGCGTACATTGTGGGAGGAAGCTGCTCCGATACGATGGAGCTAAAGGCCAGGCAAGAGATTGAACAATTTTTGCGGTTAAGAGAAGATACGGACAAGCCATGGAGTTGGGAAACAGAGATGACTACCCACTTTGCCAACCTATCCCCTGGCATGAGAGGTACGCTCACAAAGACGCAAAAGCGACATATTCCCGTGTTTAACAGTTTGATAGATACCTTTAGACAAGCTCTTCCCGGTGCACCAAAGTCAGGGCCGGCACCAGAGCTGCAGGATAGTAGAAAGGGGCTTATCGATTTGGCTGACCCCATTGCAAGGAAGAACTTTAGGGTTGTGGTTATCAAGCCAGAGGAGGTTGAATATATCCATGACGAAGGTCCGGGGAATGTTAAGAATGAGAGGTTCAGATGGAAATTGGTGCCTTCTGATAGCCGTTATACGTGGCACTGGGAAGGAGAGCAGCTATGGCCTTGATTTACCCCTGCGTTCCCTTACTGAGAGATATACCCTGATATAAATATATATATATACATACTGTTCCCTCCCTTGACTTTCTGGCCCATTTGATCCTGTGTTGACCAGCAGGACTGTCAAGTGTACTTGGTCCATATCTCCATGTCCTCTCCGTAGTCTCCTTCCCCTCTTTAGGAAATAATAACACAGCAACACAGCTCGCTTAGTACCAGCCACCTTCACACAGATATCTTCCTCTCCTTCTCCTACTGCTTCCTCCTCCTTTCCTCTCTTCTCTTCTCTGAGCAGTCCTCCATGTCAGAGCACATCCTACACCCTGGGTATCACCGCAGCATTTGGTTGCCTTGTCTGGCCAGCAGCCTTTGATACCGCGTCTACTCCTAACAAGAAGCCATTTGAAAGGAGAGAGTAGGGAACAGCATCATATCAGCCCACTATCCTGCCAGTCTATCAGCATACAGAGCACCAGGCCAGTCTGTCTGTGAAGCAAGCTTGATAAAAGAGTTAATAAGACCTTTATCTCTGCTCTACTAGATCAGCATTTCAGCGTTGTTTGAACTGTCTCTTTAGAGAGCCAGCTATCATCTCTCTTCCTACCAGCGTAAGTTGTTTACTTCTTCTTTCACGCCCGCAAGATGTGCACTTTCTGCTCATAGACCTCTTCTTTTTGTTTTTATTTTCTCCTCTTGTTTTTCCTTTGCTTCTTCTCTTCTTCATCTCTGCCCTTGTTTGACAGGTTGTTTCGCTACCGGGCAAGCAGTATTCATTATGCCTTTTTTATCCTTTAGCTGGACATGGCTAAAAGGAATATAGGAATAAGAACGGCACTTATCTGTGCCGGACTCCCTAGGTAAGCCTTCCAACGCCTTGCCTTGCTCAGGTCTCCAGCTACGCGTTGAGATATATATCTCAGGTCAGCAGAGTTGAAGCGAAGAGCCAGGGCAAGAAGATATATCTCTTACGCGAGAGACACATATACTCTTATCTTTCACTCACACACACTCTCTTATACTCAAGATGGGGCATTCAATAACATGGGAATATAGTGAGGAGTCCGAGGCCGAGGAGATGGCCGCCCGCTGCACCTACTGCGGGCGTTTCTGCAACAAAAGGGCCATTCATGGCAAGACAGGTCTCTGCTACCCGTGCAGAGAGACCCTCCGCAAGGAGGGTGATAAAAGAGCCCTGGAAACGGACTCTGATACTGAGAGTGCTTCCTCCGGCCGCGGGGCCGAGGAGAGCGAGCCCGTAAAGGGCCATCCTGCTGCCATAACCGAGGCAGAGGATGACTCTCAGTCAGTCAAGTCAGAGGAAGGGACCGCTCGCAGTAATGTCTGCTCGAGATGCTGGGCCACAGAGGCGACGGGGACGCTCTACAACTCTCCAGTCTGTGACGACTGTTACCACCTCGCACAGGCCAATCGCGTAAGTAGAGAGCCATAAGACTCCCTTTGTGGTATGCTTGCTACGTGTGAGACGTCACTGACATGATCCCAAAACACTGGAAGGAATGGATGAAGGGTACCAAAGTAAGTGACTCTCTCTTACTTTCCCATGTTCAATGAAAATTGTACAATGGCATTTTTCAAAGAGAAGAGTAGTGAAAGAAATTAGCTAATATGAGACCACCACCTTGATAGAAGCGATTCCAGCCACCGAACCCGCATCTACAGGCAGGTAAACGGTTGACAAGGGTCTGCGATTCCTGCCGTCAGAAGAGAAAACGCTGCGAGCACCGCCGAGTCGTCGATGCCACTGATCGTAAGTTGGCCTGTTATCCTTCATAGAAGAGCTAAGCTTGGTATCGAAAAGAGAAAGAGAAAGATATCTAACTTGTTCCGGCTCTCCAGCGGAAGCGCACTGCCGTAAGAGAGGGAGAAAGAGAAAATGTGAAGAGATCAGTGAGGATAAGAAAGAAAGCGACAACAGCAAGGACCCCACAAGCAGGGAGGAAGAACAAGGCAAGCCCATCCCCTTTATTTCCTTGTCATTAACGGTTCAACGAATTCAGACAAGGCAGACATGCTAATTGATCTCATATTTTTTTATTTCATTTCATCCAGCAGAAATTATTGTTGTTGATGATCCTGCAGAAGAACCTGGCTGTTCCGATGAGAACATGAATCACGCCATCAAGGAGTCTCTTGACACCGTATACAAGAGGGAACTGCTGAAACTCGAGGCCATAGCGGACGAGAAGGTCAATGAAGCCAACCGGGCCTTGGATGCCGTCCGTAACCATCTACACCACTGGCTCGAACATGTCAGAAATGGAAACTCTCTCGGCAATCAACAACTACCAGAGCAGCAACAGGAGAAACCGGAGCAATTGGAGCACCAAACACAACCACCACAGCCAGCGGCTCAAGAAGAGTGTGTTTGATATCTCGCCTTGCCTGCTCTCTCAAACACAACGAACGGAAGTTAGAACCACCGGCAGCAAAAGGAAGAGCTAAGCTGGAATGCCGGTGATTTAACTTGGGCCACAGGGAGGTGTATGATATTTGGTTTCGTGCTCTTCAATTTCGTTTTTATTTTATTTTATTTTCCTCCCTGGTGTTTTAATTTTTGTTCGGGTGATGATATCTGGACGTGATAATGTTGGGGGTTCGATTCATGTTGATTATGAGGGCGCGCTGGTCAGCACATAGCAAGCAAGGCATCCAACATAGAAGGAGGGCCATTGACAGATGAGATAGATACAAAGCAAAGCAAGGCGACTGACAGATGTTTCATTCACTCTTTCTCGCTTCTTTCTCTTCTTTCTCTTTTGTTCCTTCGATCTGATAACTAAAGACGAAAAAGCTTAGTCATTGTATATAATATTAGTCATTCGTTAACGTCTTTCACATGACAAGGGGTGGTGTCCGAAAGAGGAAAGAGTAAACATCTTGCGACGTTGAGGATTTTTGAAGTTTTGCTTGAACGTGAATGAAGCTCGTATTCAACAGCAGCTAAACGAAGGATTTTCTCAAGGAGCCGATGCTTGACCAAGGCTCAGGTGTCACTATGGCGCACCTGCAGCACACTGACACCACGGAGTGCTCTAGGGCCTTGGACAACGCAAGTCGCCTCTGCCTTCCCGCCTCATTCCACGTAAGATATCTGGCCCCCCACGTCCACCCCAAACGCACCAAACAGATGCTGAGAGATCGAAGATATCAAGAGAACGTTGCAGCAGCAGCATCAAAAGAAATGAAAGCTGTGCCAAGTGTTATCCTGTCTCCACGTCGAAAGGGCGGAAGGAAAGCCGCCGAGCCTTCGACCCCCCGTAACAACCTCCCTGAGCTCTCGTTGGAAGAAAGGTTGAATAGAAGGTTATGCCCTTGATTAATTAACGTCATTTTCTAGTTGTCGTCATGCATGCAGGATGGGCATCGAATAAAGAGAAACACTGGGATATTTCTACCATATCCAACGGCTTCCTTTACCTATGTGTGTAATTTGCAAGACACAAAGTGGACTCAAGCAATCGCGAGGATCTAGAAAGAACCTTAAAAAACAAAACATCATGCAAAGGACGAGAAAGAAAGCGGCCATGAAATGGCCCACGCGGCTATCAATTAAAAGGGGTACGATGATTTGCGTGGTGAAACAGACGATGATAGGGGACAGCCCCAGCAGCGAACTAAAAGAGTAGGGCCAACAAGATGAGATTACGCCTTGGGCGAGAAAGACTTGGATCAGGGAAGACAAGAACAGGGAGGACATATAGAGAAAGGAGACCAGAGGACCCCCAAGATTGTTCTCTCTCGATATAGTTGCTCAACTAAGTAATAATGCCGGGGAAGCAGCAGCGGGGACCCTTCTAACGAATCTGGCCTCTAGGCGGAGAAGCGAACGGAGTTCTCAGGACGGAGTACAACCTCCTGTGCCGTGATGCGAGGCATCCCGGGGTCGACTTCTCCACCGCCAGTTCTTCGGCCTATCCTGCGACGGGAACGACTGGCCGACAAGCACAGGTGATGCTTGTTCTTCCAGGGTTGTTGATGTTAATAACGGGGCGCGCGATATTATACGTGCCGCAAAAGAGAGCTCTTTGCGACGCTACACAGGTGAGGCCTTTGACAAAGACGTTGCCCGCTAACGCGGACATTTTACTCAGCTAACAACATGCCGAGTTACTAGTTAACTAGTTATTTATTAGTTATCCAACATTTTTTTTACGATCGAGAGGCCGGCCCATACGGACTACTATGTACTCCGTACTAGATGACTGGCTGCCTTTATGGATATGCCCAGAAAGTGGCCTGCCATCAGCATCAGGGGAAGCCTAAGCCGCCAACCAGGGAGAGAAGCAGAGCGCGCGCAAGTGGTTGCATGAACATCGAACGCCTGCCTGTTTGTACATCCCCGTACTTAAAGTCCGCATCTGTATGACCTGTATATACGTCTGTGGCGGCCAGGATGACGGCCTTATCTCCATGTCGCATCGACTTACTTGCATCTGGCTGTAAGTACTACTGTGAATTTAAGTCAATAGAAGCCGGCCGTTGGCGCATATGTAGACTGACAAATACATATATATAGGTTGGTAGGGGCTTGTCACTACTAGAGTTTAGTTGGCTTAACTTCACTACTGCTGGCTTCCTGTCGCTCCCGCCCGCCGCCGTCGCCTTTTTTTTCTTCTTCCTTCGATTTGAACTTCGATTTGGACTTCGACTTTTCAACTGTCACCCTTGGGACTCCTGCCTGCATCCACATTTTCCTTCACCTCTTCTTCTTCTTTTTGTTGCTGTTGTTCTTCTACTGCTCGCTCTGTTTCTCTGCCGCCCAACTAGACGAGGACGCAATTGCAGCATGGCCCCTTTCCTTTGATTCCTCCCTAGCCTGTCGACTCCATTCGCCTCTTGTGTTTTTCTTTTCTTCGACTCTACTCCATTCTCGCGCATGAGGGCTGGCCATCGCTTGAGCATCGAATCTACCCAAAACCAGCGCCCGTTTTTTGCCATTCACGGCTTTTACGACCTGTTCTACGAGGAATTCTCTGTCTCTGCTCCATCTAATTACCTGATTTAAAGCAACCTCCAGGTTTCGAATTGCTCAACGGAGCCATACATAGAGTTATACATTCAGTCGTCCGACTCCCCCAGAAGAAGCAACGAAAAAAAATATATTGCCGGACCAAGGAGGGCCACGGTCAGCAGCAAGATGAACGGCGCCCTCGTCGACCCGGCCCAATGCTTCTCCCACCTCGTCGAACACATTCCCTTATGGTTGACTCGAGTCACCGAACTGGCCTCTCACACCGCAGCCAAACACGCCGAGTTTGCGGCGGAATACACCCGCATATCCAAGTTGAAGCCCCGGCAGCGAAGACGGCGAAACAGCTCACTCAATACTAACAAAGGAGAAGACGACCAGCGCTCAGTAAACTCCAGAACCAAACCATCCTCCGGCTCTACCTACAGGCACCTTGACGCCCAAGATCCGTTCCGGGATCCCATGATATTTAAACGACTCACCCGTCAGAACAACCAAGATGCCTTGAACAGGAAACGAAAACAACAAGACAGCGCTTCTTCTACCCCTTCGGACCCTGACAGCTGTCTAGCCCGCCGTGTCCGCCAGCAGGTTGTTATACATTATGATTCTCAGACGCAGACAGTACTTGAACTGCTCGTTCGTGACATAGGCGGCGCCCGTAACCAAATCCGAAAGGGACGCATGAACTACATGATGAAAGTTGACTTTAGCCGTCGAGCTTTCCCTTCCCACATATTTCCGACCGGCAGCCCAGACGATGACGAAAACACCCTCGTCCTACCCCATCACGCATCCTTTAGAAGGTCTAGAAGTACACAGTTTGATCCGAAACACGGCACCAACGGGACAGCCACTAAAACTACGACACCTTCGAAACAGACGGCTTCTGCCTTTGACTTAACAGACAAGCAGCTAGAGATTGCTCAGAGTTTATGTGAGACGGCAGCCCACCAATTCCTACGAAACGGAGACTGCTCCAAAGAGCTGAGCAAGACTTTAGAGCGACTTAATGCTGCGCTGGAAATGGCGAAGGCAGAAGTGACCCGACTCAAGGCTGAGAAGGAAGCGGAGAAGCTACGCCAGCAGGCTGAGGAAGAGGAACAGGAAAGCAAAAGTGACCGCACGGTCGTTGAAACGGTTGGACCTGCAGATGCCGACATACAGATGCAAGCCGACACCCTCCAACCTGTGAACATGAAAGTGGACATGAATTTGAAGGGGGACATTAAAGCGCCACCGGAGATGATGGGGGCTATCGAGGTGGACGACGGATCATCGACATCCTCGATATCCATCGACCTAGCCGCATTTCGACGACGGAGGTTCAAAGCGTGAATTTCCTCTTGACTTTGAGCCCACGAGCAACGATAAGGGAAATTGAGACGTCTTGGGACTTTTCTTTCTTACATCCCGCGAACTTGTCACTTACAGTGCATGAACTCAGTGTACCAGGCTGTACCGAAGGTTCCACCCTCTGCATGTATGTGTTGTTTGCCTGCTTGGTATTGGCAACACCAGCAACAAACGCAAGCCCATGCCCAGTTGGTTCGAAGTCACAGAGGCGGAGTGCGCCTATGCTCCTCGACATTTCCGGGGAGGCGCTGTCAATCCCCCTCAACTTTCATTTACATCCCGCACACCCGCATAAATCGGCGTCTTTACTTTTCGTCTAACCCAGTGACGCTACCCTGCTCTAACTAACTCCCTACAAACTATTTTCTCTTTATATAATTGTTAGCTCCTTTTTTTCTTTGTCCTATACCCTTCGGAAGCAAAATTTAAAAGGAAGCCAACCATGGTCATGGTGATGATAGCGCTGCATTCTCTTTTTCACTCTCCTCTTCTGTCTGTTATTTAGCCTGTCTTTTTTTAATTTCCTTTACTATCATCAGCACTGGAACATGGATATACTTAGCATGGAGTCTCAAAAATGGGGGAAATTCGATAACTACTATTTTTTGTTCTATTAATTTTTAAAAACATAAATGCCACAAATATTATATATCACCGACTTCTCTTTATTTATTTATTTCACTTTCCTTTCTTTTTCTCTTTTTCTCGTCGTTCAATCGATGGATGTTATACCACTGCCAGCATTCGCAAAGTCAGTCCAACCTCGTACGGAATCCATCACCACCAGACCAGACCAGCTGCAAGATGCCTATTCACCAGAAAACTATCTTGTTTAACCTTCCGGGCGGACTTCGCGGGCTTTCCCGCCGATAAATCAGAGTCAAGAGGAACAAAAAGTGACATCTTGCAGTATGCAAAGGCCAGCTGGTAGTTACAGTGGTACAAACCCATGTATGCAACCCTTTACCTCTCCCTCCGCCTGTCTCTTCCTGTCTGCCCGTTGAAGAGTCGCCTCTGCCTCCCTGTTCTCTGCACAAGCTGTTGGCAGTCCGTCTCCCCCCATCGGTTCGTATTCATGAAACCAGACTATCCCTGCAGTTTCTGACAGGCTTCAACGTTGTTGTTTGTTGGCTTTTGCTGAAATATATGCTAGAGAAGCCAAGTCATAGATTAGGTGCATAATAGCACTGATATAGGGGCCGGGTACATGTATGTATCACGCCGACTCCATCCCCCGATTGCCTCCAGGAGTTATGTCACGGAATTAAACTAACGCATTGTCCTCGATAGATGGCTGGTCTGCTAACGACATGGAGATGGTATTATGCAGCTAAGTTACGCCCCTTCAAGGGAAAAGGTGTGGACGATACGGATCCTTCGTGTTAATTGTTATTTGCGTTTCGTTCCAGCAAAGAGACGAAAGTAAGACGAAAAGGGAGTGGAAGATCATTTGATGTAAAGCAGCTACTTGAGGGGAGAGTTTTCAAGTACCCTTTCGCTAACCATATTATAGTTAGTAACTAATAAGTTCACTTGGTAACTCAGTATATTGTCTAGTCTCCTCTCGAAAAGCAGGTAAGTGAGCAGAGAGGAAAAGAAAAGGTGGAAAAGTGAGCTGTCGGACCGTCCGAGGCCTTGTTCAGCTGATGTACACCCTATCCCGTCTGTCCTCATGTAAATATGCAAGTAAGGAGGTACGGGTACATATACGATGCTGTGTTCACCCTTGCCCATGCTGCAGCGGCACAAGAGATGTTGACTCCATACATATATGTAGACGCAGGTTAAGTATAACAGGCGACAGGGAAAACAGGCGAGATTGCCTTGATGGGGGAAAGATCACACTGGTTCCCTTGGAAGGCAGACTCGAATAGGGTAAGACTCAAGTATGGGCGGCATACGGTCCGCTTCCCTCCCTGGCCGATGGATGGCGAGACAAACAGGCTGGAAGTGGACAGACATTTGCTCTGTCCAATAATGTAGGCTGTACCTCGCGCTGGTTGCATAAGTATATTCCCGGAGAGCTTCTGGTAGGATAGGATGGAGACACCGTCAGATTCTTGCAGGGCTATCCCTCCTCTTCTACTTCTCACACTGAGACTTTCGGCTCTGCAGCTGTGAAAAAAATCAGGCGGATGGATGGGGACTAGCGGGGACTGAAGATACAGTGGTGCGAACGAGACATTTATGCTTCAAAACTGTTCCCTTTAGTTAGCTCCAGCTGGTGGTTTTGATTGACTCAAATGAAGTTTCTCCATGCAACTTACTTGCCTTAGTGTGCCCCGGTTAACCTCGTTATTGGCATAACTAGTTAGTTATATAAATTCGAGTTTGCCATGCGATGCTTCAAGTTCTCTGCAATCTAAACGCCACTCAAACAGGAATGGAAAATTGCCCGGTCCACGACTTGATTACAGCCTTCGGTTTGTTACAGGTAATGCTCCTCTTCAGAGACGTCCCTAGTATCATCATACCCCCTTCCTTGTCTATACTGGATGAATTGGCCTCGCCAAGCTGGTGCATCTCTGGTGCCCATTCAGTAGCCGGGCATTGCTCGGTCTGTCAAGCAGCCAGTCAATATCCGCTGAAGAGCCACCACCCAGACAGGCCCTCAGTATGAGCATCAAAATTAGGGATCAATTTTCTTTCCTTAACTCCTTTACACTTCGAAAACCTGCATATACGCTGTTATAGCCAATAGTGCCTATATACGTAATGCATGCCTGGATTAACAAATGGGCGTTTTAAAGGGTTGACGGCAAGACGCGATATCGTCGATCAAAGCTAACGGTGCAGCAAGCTAGGCGAGCCTGATGCAGGCAATAACCGTGTCTTGTCGTTCTTTCTTTTGATTTTTCCATTTCTGCCCTTCATTCGTGGCAATCGGGTGCATTGCCAGGGCTGTATTGGACATGGTGGCAGCCAGCACTTTTTGGATGAGTCGATTAACTACTCCACAGGTCCTGGATGGTGAGATGCGCGATGTATGGGAGGACCCCGGTCCAGCTATCACTCTCCGTGCAAGGGACAGGGGTACTGATGCATCTCACGATCGAAGATGGAACAACCAAGTGTCGTCGTCTCCTTTGATTCTTCCTCAAGATGTCAAGCTTCAACTTGATATCGAACGAAACGAGGATGGGGGACCTCGCGGAGATATTCACGTGATATGTTTAGTCATCGAAAGAAGCAACAACCGCAAGACTTTTGAAAGACGGCTGGAGACCGTGGACGGACGGTGAACGCTCATCCCATCGACGCCATGCATGCATAGCACAGAGAACGCAATGGCTTCACTTGCTGTCTGGGATCCCTCAGCTGACAGGCTCAAGCCGGGACTGTTTCAAATTGAGGGTGGCTTGCGGACTCCAGCTGCAAGATGACCGACTGACAGCCTTGCTAGAAACTCGACTCTCTAGCCGCCAGCCTTTGGTCGCTTCAGTTACGGGCCATGCGGAAAGACCTAGTCATTCTTTCGGCCTCGGTGACCTCTCCGTTGACCCAGCTGATATCTTGTCCTTTTATATCTACATCTCCTGGAAGATATGGTCATCAGTGTGATAGCCGACTCTCCGGACCGGGGCCGTTTTAAGAACGGCTATGCTCGATATCAAGCAAGACAAAGCTGTGTAGAATCACAATGCTTTGAATGCAGCTCTGCTCTTTTGCAGGAAAACAGGACCCGAGTCCATTATCACTTCAATCCACTCCCTAAGCTCCTGCGCCTTTCTTAAGCCCTCCAGCATTGAATCTTCAGAACAAATATACTGAGTGAATTACGCAGCAGTTATTTTTTGACCACGCACCAGGAGGAGTGTCTTTTGTCTTTCCTTTCTAGGCCCTGTTTAGAACAGTAGCGTCGCTTCACTCTTATGGCGTAGATTATTCGATGGCATCTGCCGTGTGCGGCTCGGACTTCCCGGTCTTCCTTATCGTATTTTGATGATAGCCAACGCCATCTCTGGGGCTCGAACATCCCAACTAGATATGCAAGTAAACGACCCCTTAAGCGTGGAAGGTTATGGTAGACATAGCCATAGCTTATCTTCCGTCTCCTGGAATACGGGAATTGCGGCTCTGCTACCTCAACACTGCTGAGCAGTAGCTAACATCACTCTATGTAGCCATATCTCCAGCTCGTCAGTTCAGCTGAGTTCTTTGCTCTATAACTATGTGTTTATCCTGACTAGTTGGCTGTTGTTCACGAAGGCGTCTCAATCTCTGGTTAAACAGCCTAGAACGAGCCGAGGTTCGTTGTCCTTGGCGTATGGACACAGCTGCTTCAAGGCAGAAACGTTTCTCTTTCCATAGATTCATCTTCAGATGTTCAATGCCAATACTAAATGCTCCAAATTGATGAGAAACGTGAGAGTTATACCCTAAACATGAGCACTGTCAAGCCGTTCAAGATATCTGTTCCAAATTCGCAGCTAGAAATATTGCGGAAGAAGCTAGATGTCACCACCTTTCCAGATGAACTAGACGAGTCCAAATGGGACCTAGGTGCACCCTTGGGGGATATAAAACGCCTAACAGAGTATTGGAAAGAGAAATTCGACTGGCGGGAAGCAGAGAGGCGGCTTAATGAGCAGATGCCTCACTTTACGACCGATGTGGAGGTAGCAGGATTCGACAAGCTGAATATACATTTTGTTCATCAGAGAAGCGAGGTAGCCGGTGCAATCCCTTTACTCTTTCTCCATGGCTGTGAGTATATGGGCGTAATTTGCATGTTCCCTCAAACAAAAGCTAATATGTTTCTAGGGCCTGGGAGCTTCCTCGAAGTCTCAAAGTTGTTGCCTCTGCTGACGGCTGGAAATGAGAGCCGGCCTGCCTTCCATGTAGTGGCACCGTCTCTCCCAAACTTTGGTTTCTCAGAAGGAGTTAAGAAGGTATCACCCCCTTAACTTGGCTGCTCAGTTTCGAGTGTTCTCCTGACATTCGAGCTAGAGAGGTTTCGGTCTTGCGCAGTATGCGGAAGCTCTGAATGCAGTGATGATGACATTGGGTTATGATAAATACGGTATGAAAAAGGCCATCTATGCCATTGAAACTCCAAGGCTACAAACTTATACAGTTCTCTATCATATAGTGATACAAGGAGGGGACTGGGGTGGTATAATCTCCCGCGTCATGGCGAAGCGTTACCCTTCACATGTGAAGGCAGTGCATACCAACTTTCTTATCCTCCCACTCCCCTATCCGTGGAAGAGCCCTGTATTGTTCCTTAAATCACTGCTTACAATACCCTTTTCGCGCAAAGACCAGGCGAAACTCGCCGTATCTAAGAACTACGTGACCCATGGTAACGGGTACATGGCTCAGCAGGGCTCTTGTCCTCAAACGCTCGGGTACAGCCTCCATGACAGTCCCGTTGGCCTGTTAGCTTGGATATACGAGAAGTTACATTCCTGGACAGACTCCTATGCCTGGACTGAAGATGAAGTCCTGACGTGGGTTTCAATATACCTCTTCTCTCGCGCGGGGCCTGCTGCTTCAACTCGAATCTACTATGAATTCAACCACCCTCCTCCCAGACCCGGAAATCTTTCTAGTGAAGAGGTGGCCAGCTGCTATTCTCCTGATGTGAAATTTGCTGTTGCATATTTCCCTCGCGAGATACTTGCATTCCCTATGCTATGGTGTCGGTCTATTGGCGACCTAGTGAGGGAGTCTGAATTTGATAAAGGCGGCCATTTTGCTGCCTGGGAGGTTCCAGACATTCTGGCAGCAGATATCCAGGGATTCTTTGGGAAGGAAGGCCAGGCCTACAGCATAGTTGCTGGAGCAGATGGATACTAACTTCTTTTGTCCCAATCCTTGCATTCACTGCGTAGCCTGTAGATACTGGCCCCATATGTATATATATATATATGTCAATCTCAAATAATAGTACATATAAAGTCTAATTCAGAGTGACCAATTCTTAGATTAGTATCAGCTTTATCTAGAGTGAGATACTCAACATATTATAAGAGCATATTCCGCAGCGCTTGTAGAAAAAGTGAGAGTAGCTAACGTCACGCGAGGTGACACGCTCTTTCTTCTATAACGACCACCAACCGTGGATTCCACCCCTCATTTGGCTTAAACGTGTGAACAACCATCAGCTTCACTAAGACTCTTTAGAACCCAATATTTCTCTGTTAATGCTTAGTACGAGGTGTACTATCTCCCAGAGGTATAGCAGAGGTGAACTGAAAGCAAAGGCTAGAGCTTTATCCCTTTGCGTATTGAAAGTGAAGCATCAAAAGAGCTGGCGCTCTTCTACACATTAAGGAAGAGAACAAATATTATTCCCTAGTGAACAACAGTTCACGCGGAATAACTGATGATAATGTCTCAACCAACTCCTTATCGAAGGGGCTTTAATAGATTCACCCTAGAGCCTGAAGTTGGACCTGTGGAGTTTGAGATGGCTCTAGATATAGAAGAGCAGGTACGTTATATTCAGCGCTAAAAGGGCCGATATATCAATTTCTGGGTATTTAATTAACCGTTTGGCTTCCTTTATTGGGTATAGGCGCGTGCATCAGAGCTAAACAAGCTGCAACTACGGGGCAGTTGGGGTGAGATAGACCATAACTCTGATAAACATGAGGTTGGCATTGCTTCTTCTCCGATGCGGTGCTATATATAGATCGCTAATGTTGCAGATATTCCAGAGAGGACGAAATGGCAGAAGTACACTCGTACTGGAGAACAATCCCGAGCCCCTTTCACCGAGGAGACTCAGCCGTATATCACCAAACCCGGAATTCAGATTTCCTCCAGAGTCATACTATAAAAATGTAACGGGAGCCGAGGACATGGATCCCATGAAGAAATCCCCTCAGCTCAGCCGGGAAAGCATTGACAATCATGGTCAGCCACAGACACCGTCACCTGGATACACTAGCAAAAGTGGCCAACGGTACTCTCATCACCGTTTTATATCAGAAGCAGAAAGCTACACGGCGCATTGGGAGAACAGTATTCTCTATGACAAGGACACAAACACGCGGGTATCTTCGCCCAGTTTCTCCCAGCTGCGGTCAGGGTATAGATCGCCATACTTAGGGCCGGTTGGTTGGACAATACCATCCAAATACTATAGTATGACCAGAAGAAGTTCACGAAGAGCTCTGAACGCAAAGGAAGCTAGAAATGGCGAAAATCACATTTCTTCTGTCGACCCAAACACCGGTTCACCCAGGGAAAGGGTTAGAAAGAGGAATACACCATACAGCTGTCGTGCGTCGAGGCCGTTCTTAATATATCAAGATCCAGAATGGGTAGCTCCACCTCGCGGAGTTACGGACGCGTACTTCGACAGTACAGCAAGCGATGACAAGGAGAACAGTGTGCCTGACGAAATTGAATTCGCCCATGACGGTGACGTGCTTGTTGGCGAACGCAGCATGGAAATCCAAGTTGAGAGGCCAACAGAAGCAAACGGCAGCAATGGTGATGGAGACGATGAGATGGATATCGATGGTAATGAATTTAGAATTACCCCAATTCGGCCAGCAAGACAGGAGGAGCCACGATATCGACATCGAAGAAACACTAGCTCTATGTCTTCCTCTTCGATATTTTAATTTTGAGAGTGCCCGCTCTAGACCCTCGATTTCTCTAACAGCCGCAACAGTCGCAACTATATATCACAGTTCGCATGCAGGTACAGTTGTACCGGGAAAAAAGCAAGCAAAGTACCCATTGCACATCGGCCTGAAGAATCAATTCCGCTGAGATGGGCGTTTAAGGCTGGCTGAGGTATCACATAACGGTAATGGCAATTGTGCCTCCCGCTTTAAAAGGAATTATCCGTTCTGTTTGATCTCGAGGAGCGTAGTTTTTGCAACAGACTTAAACAAGCAGACAGGGACAGTGTAATTTAATAATATAAATAGACATGAGGAACCGGTGGTTATGAGAGCAATATCTATCTATCCTATGGCGTAGTTTGACGAACTCGAGAGAATTCACGTGGAGTTGTAACTTTCTGTTGATGCACCAGCCACCTGCCTTGTTGCTTAACTGCCTAACTATGCCTAGCCACAATGCAGGCGATGCCGTCGTTCACCATAGAATATATTATTACAGCTTGGGGGATGGGGGATCCAAACTAGGAGTATACACACACCAGAACCTGGCTTCTTGACAAGCTTGTGTGACCTCACCTTCTTGCTCTTCAAGCTCCCTATTGAAGTTCATTTTGATCCAACATTTCCTGAAATACTTGATTTTTCGCCTCTTTACTAAATAAGATAGGGCTGTGCTAATAAACTGGGTAGAAGGATAACTCTACCAGCTGCCGAAAGGACAAACTCTGCTTTGTAACCACTCTGTAGGTTAATGGGATCTCCGAGAGCATTGGAGCAATAGACTACCTCCCTAGCTCGTTGGAACGTCGCTTCAGATGTCAACACCGTAGAGGGGTCAAACCGCAAAACAGGACCTGGCATTATTACATGCTGCGATATCCATGCATTTCATGGGGTTTACTCCGTAAGCATATACAGTACTCCGTAAAGGAATGCAGATCTCAGCAAAGCTTTGCTACAGAGACATGGCGGCTACTGAGGGCAACCTAGCTTCCCTTCCGAGAGACACGGAGTTGCTTTGAGCTTCACCGCCGCCGTGTCGCCTGATCAGCTAACTTAGGTAGCTAGCAAGGAGGGAACTTCCCTGACACTTCGGTTCAAAAACTGGTTACAGCCCGCTTCACCTCCTTTTGGCCACCGGCGCCAATTCCCTCCCATAAGTATCCTAATCCACGAGCGGCGACGGATATACGTTGTCTAGCCAACGCTACTCCGTACACCGTCTGCTTGACGGTAGGTAGCGCATCAACGACGGATTGCCGAAGGTACTCCGTAGAAAGAGAGAGCACATAGCTTGACTAGCCTCGCCGCCGCTGACGCTGCTGTGGATGCTGCTAGAGCTCCGGAGGCTGGGCTGGGGCGAGGATCTGCGCAACTGGGCGTGGTTGTGGTTTGTGCGTGAGTTGGTGACTGGCCGTGAAAATTCGCTGGGAGAAGCGACGCATGCGCCTCCGCTCGACCCGGAGTTATCCTCCGAACGGATTGAACAAGAAGCGCATCGCTTCGCCGACTGCTCTGTAGCCGTGTATATACGGAGTATACGTCTTGGTATTTTTATATTTATTATACGGCGGTTGCTAATGTGCTAGCAAAACCATGTCCAGGTCGTTTCAACGTGTTTCAAGATGACGTAAGAGGCAGCTTCGGGCGGGTGCCACAGATGTGCAGCAGGTGTGCAGCAGGTGTGCAGAGGTACTTCTCTTGGCTACCCAAATGTGGTGTGACCTGCAAGTACCACCGCATCACGTCACCATCGCCGCTGCATCTGTGGGTGTGGCTGGTGCTGACTTATCTAAGCATCCCCTGGCCCGCCCTAATTTGCCACATCTTACCCGATCAGGACTAGCGCCACCCCTGAAGAACGCGATCTTGCATAAACACGGGAGGAAGTTGGCTTTTTGGTGACAGCAAAGACGGCGAAGACAGCGAGACAGCGAGGGCCAGTGAAGGAGCCAGTGACGGCCAGTGGAGGGCGGGCGGGCGTGTTACTCGCTGCTATCGGCTTGTTTCCTCATGCTGTCCGACGCAGTCGTCGATGCCTGTCAGGATGAGCAAGAGACCAGAGGAGGAAGCAGAAGGAGAGAAGCAGCAGATGAACAACAAACAAAATAATAATAAATAATAATAAAAAGAAAATAAAAAGTAAATCGGCGAGCTCGTCCGAAAGAGGAAAGCACGTCTGCAGCTCTCTCGCTAGTCCCAAACTAGGAAGCTAAGCAGGACCAAGGATGGCCCAAACTTCGATCTCCTCCTTTTTCCCTCTTATTCTGCTGCGTCTGCTGCTTCTGCTTCCTCTTCCTCTTCTCTCTCAGACTCCAACTCGGCTTCACTCAGCTTCCACCAAGTCGACCCATCGCACCGACAAGGAGAAAGATACACCTCAAGTCCGGATCACTCGCTCGCTCGAGTGTCGTCTAGGTCCTCGCAGCCATGGACTCTCTCAATGTCTTCGCGAAGCGCGTGCGTCTTGATCCTTCCACTCAAACCACCCCCCCTGCGCTGGCCAGAACGAGGTTCAGCGACCCTGCAGATGCGATGGATAGCTAACATATGCGACTAATAGGAAGAGGAGAAGCCCAGCGAGAGCTCGAACTCGCTGTCGGGCATCGTCTCGACCCTTGTTCCCACCCTCATCATCTCTGCTGTGATGGTGCTGTTGTTCCTGATCTTGCGCCGAAGCCAGCGTCGCCAGTACATTCCCAGAACATATATTGGAGCTCTGCGTCAGCATGAGCGCACTCCCGAGCCTAGTCCCGGCCTCTTTGGCTGGATAAAGTCTATGAGCAAGCTGCCAGATACCTATGTCTTGCGCCATCAGTCTATGGACGCCTACTTGCTGCTGCGGTACCTCAAGATCTCAGTGGCTCTCTGCTTCTTTGGATGTCTGATCACTTGGCCCGTGCTTTTCCCCGTCAACATCACCGGTCATGGTGGCCGTCAGCAGCTTGATATGCTTGCCATTGGAAACGTGAGCAACAAGATTCCTGGAAATCTCAACAGGTACTATGCTCACTGCTTCGTTGCTTGGGCTTTCGTCGGTAAGTTTACGACCATCTGCATGCCAACCGCTACTATAAAGGTGCAAGCTGAGCTAACTGCGGGCAGGATTTGTATTCTGGATGGTCACTCGCGAACTGCTTTACTTCATCAACCTGCGACAGGCTTACTTCATGTCCCCAGTGTATGCTGAGCGCATCTCCTCCAGGACAGTGCTTTTCACCTCGGTACCAGAAGACTACTGCGACGAGGCCAAGATTCGTGCTATGTATGGAAACGACAAAGTCAAGAACGTCTGGCTCGTCACTGATGTCAGTGAGCTCGAGAAACTTGTCGGAGAGCGTGACAAGGCTGCCATGCGCCTCGAAGGTGCTGAGACTAAGCTCATCAAGATGGCCAACGTTGCTCGCGGCAAGGCTATGCAGAAGGGAGGTGAAGTGGAGACTGACCCAGCTTCTCAAGGAAATGTTGGTGAAGCTGAATCTGGCTCCGTTGCCGCCCGATGGGTCAACGCAAGTCAGCGACCTACTCACCGTCTCATGCCCGTCATTGGCAAAAAGGTCGACACCATCAACTGGGCTCGTGAGGAGATTGGACGTTTGACCCCCGAGATCGATAACCTGCAGCGCAACCACATGAACGGACAAGCCAAACGTGTCTCTGCCGTTTTCGTTGAATTCAAGACTCAAAATGACGCCCAGGCTGCTTACCAAATGTGTACGTACCGATCTCAAGGTTTTTGTACCTGGGCGGGAGGATTTATACGACTAACCTTAACTCTCTTCCTTTTTTAGTGGCTCATAACCTTCCGCTACACATGGCTCCTCGCTACATCGGTATTAACCCAACTGACATCATCTGGTCTAACTTGCGTATCAAATGGTGGGAGCTCATCATCCGCTATGCCGCCACGATTGCTGCCGTTACCGCTCTCATCATCTTCTGGGCTATTCCCGTTGCCGCTGTCGGTGCCATCTCAAACATCGACTATTTGATGGAGAAGGTCCCATTCTTGAGATTTATCGGCAAAATTCCACCCGTGATTCTTGGTGTTGTTACTGGATTGCTCCCTACTATTTTGCTTGCCGTCCTCATGGCCCTGTTGCCAATTATCCTCAGACGTAAGTTTTGAATTCTGTACTCACTTACCTACAATTCCACTTTTACTCACATGGCCATCTAAAACAGTTCTCGCCAAGATTGGAGGATGCCCTACCAAGGCTGCTGTTGAATTGCGCACCCAGAACTTCTATTTTGGATTCCAAGTCGTTCAGGTCTTTTTGGTGGTCACCCTGTCGTCCTCTGCTTCCAGCGCTGTCAGCGACATTATCAAGAACCCTACCTCTGCTCCTGGTTTGCTCGCTCGAAGCATCCCGACCGTCTCCAACTTCTACATCTCCTATATCATCCTTCAAGGCTTGACTTTCAGTGCCGGTGCTCTTCTACAGATCGCTGGTTTGATCATCTCCAAGCTCTTGGGCATGATTCTGGACAACACTCCTCGAAAGATGTACACCCGTTGGTCCACCCTCTCCGGTATGGGATGGGGCACCATTTTGCCTGTTCTCACTAACCTCGTTGTCATTGGTATGTCCAAAGACCCCCCTTCCTGTATTGCAAGTCGCTTGTAAAACTCACTTAACTAACATTTACCCAGCCATCACCTATGGAGCCATCGCCCCCTTGGTTCTTGGATTTGCTACCGTTGGCATGCTCCTCTTCTACCTCTCTTTCCGTTACAACCTCCTATATGTCAACGACACCGACATTGACACCAAGGGCATGATCTACCCACGTGCTCTTAAGCAGACTCTCGTTGGCTGCTATCTCCTCATTATCTGTTTGATCGGCCTTTTCGCCATTGGTACTGCTGCCGACAGAGCCGCCACCGGCCCCATGATCCTTATGATCATCTTCTTGGTTTTCACCGTCCTTTACCATATCTCTCTTCTCAACGCTGTCAACCCACTTCTTAACTATCTGCCAAAGAACCTCGAGGCTGTCGAAGACCAGCACCAGGCTCTTCTCGCCCAGAACAATGGCCAGGCTGCCCACAACGGTGATGCCGAGAAAGGAGATGTCCGTGGCGTTACTCACGAGCCAAACATGGTCTCTAAGTTCTTCGGAGTTAACAAGTACGAGGGCTACGAGCAGCTCCGCGAACTCGTCCCCCACGGCGCCTATGACACCGAGTACCCAGCCGAAGTGGCGAGAAACGCATACTACCACCCCTCGGTCACTGCTACCGCGCCACTCCTCTGGATCCCCCGTGATGACGCCGGTGTCTCCCGCCAGGAAGTCATTCACACCAGCCGTTTCATTGGTATCACCGACGAAGATGCCTTCATTGACAACAAGGGTAAGATTGGCTGGGACGAAGAGAAAGGCACTCCTCCTATCCAAGAGGAGAAGATCTACTACTAGACGCCCTCCATGGTTAGTTTTGGTTAGGCCTAGATAAACGTTACTCACCATCCCCGTTAAACCCCGATAATCTTTTCCTTGCTTGTTTTCCTTTGTTTGGGTCTTGATTCCTGGTCTCTAACGGCTGCGGTTTTCTGGACGAAGTATGACGCTAATGTTCATGGCGACCCTGATGTGGCTTGAATGTTTTTCCTTTTCTCCTTGATACCCTATACCCCCCGAAAATCAAAAGTAAATTGAAATAATTGGAGATGGAAGCTGTGAGGCCTGTCTGTGCGAATGCAACTGTGAGGTGAAGCTCTATGTTTAGGTAGCTGTGTTTTTTTGTCGTTGGTGTTGAGCTGTTAAGTAACGTAATAGTTAATATACTTAGTATCATTCTTGCCTCTGGACGCAGCCTCTATTTTAAAGCACCTCGCCGATAGACACAGCGTAATAATAACCACCCCCAACGTATCGTTGAAAATACTAAGTCGTCTTGTCAAGAAGACCAAAAAAACAAAAAAACAAATGAAAGCAGACTAGATGAACCCGGTGCGAATTGAACGCACAACCTTCAGATCTGGAATCTGCTGCGCTACCATTGCGCCACGGGTCCGCTTTTCATGTCAAACTTCTCGGCCGCGGTGCTAATTATCCCACTTAAAGTTAGGGTAAGTCACATGTAGATTATGTCATATCATTATGTCATCATGCATATCTTTAAAGCTAAAAGTAAAAAAAAAAAGCTCCCCGAGAAAAAGCACAACCTCGACTTTTTCAACTTCAACTAATAACCGATACCACGAAGTAAGCTTACCTCGCACGTTGATAAGTAGCGCTTACGAGCCGCTACATGTGAAGAAACAAGACTCCGGGCCTTGAGAAAACTGATTGCGACGCATCCCTTTTTTAACACGCAAATTTAAACACGGGAACAAGTTCAACATGGCGAATGAACAATCAGCAGGTAAGCAGTCACCAGCTATTCATTCTCTCAATGGAAGACATCCCAGCCACTAACTACTACTGCCTCTATAGCCTGGCCCATCGCAGATGAAGCTTTGACTACTGAACTGCTCGACCTCGTCCAGCAGGCCTCTCACTACCGCCAGCTCAAGAAGGGTGCTAACGAAGGTACGCACAATACAAACCTGGCAAATTTTTTTCACAGCGTTGTTCGTGCCCATAGCTAACGTGTTTCACTTACAGCAACCAAAACCCTTAACCGCGGAACTTCCGAGCTGGTCATCCTCGCCGCTGATACCAGCCCTCTGGCCATCTTGTTGCATCTCCCGCTTTTGTGTGAGGATAAGAATACTCCTTACGTCTATGTGCCTAGCAAGGTTGCGCTGGGCCGTGCGTGTGGTGTCAGCCGTTCTGTGATCAGTGCCAGCATCACTACCAACGAGGCGAGTGATTTGCAGGCGCAGATACTCAACATTAGACAGAAGGTTGAGAGATTGATGATTTGAGTGGGTGATTTGGAGGGATTGGAAAGGTATCTGGTTATTTTGGTTTCCTCTCTTGGGGGGCTAGATGGAGATATCTCTGGGGAGAAGATGAAATGGTTATATTTTGTTGGTGGATTGTAGACTATTAACTGTTGGCTTTTTAACTAAGGTATCTACTTACACCTTCAACTATACAATTGTCATTTGACTGGGGAATCCTTGAATTTAATAATAGGTAAATCATTAAAACATATGCAGGCCAGAAGAGTCAAAATGACGCATAAGGAGTGCCGTGCCATATCTAGAAACACTTATATACCATACAGCATATCAACAAATGTCTATCAACATAGTCAATACGAGCCATCGTCATCGTGCTGTAAAGATCTAAATACACAGACTCTTGTCTCCCCACCAGGACTGTGCAATTCTTCCCCACCAGGCTTTGGGATCAAAGAGAGCCTCCCGGGTGAAGAACATCTTGCATTCAGCAGGCTCGTACACAAACTGCCGAGGGATACGCTGCTTGTCTTCGGTATAGACGGCATTGCGGAAGTTGATGGTACCGTCCTTCCCTCTTTCATGCAACCGGCCCAAGACATAGGAACCCTTGTTATACATCTCGCCCGTTTGAGTCTTGTCCAGTTGGAGCCGCTCTTCATCCGTAGAGAGCTTATCGTAGATATAAGTGGCCAAGTGATGTAAGTATCCGAAATTAAGGACCTGAGCGCCCTTGACACCTCCTACAGCCTGCATAGGGCCGGGCCGAGGTCTGCCACCGACAGCAATGAACTTTACCCCGTGGCGCCTCATAAGGTCAGTGAAGATAGAGCAAGTAGAGGCACAGATGCCGTCGGTGACGATAACTATGTCCTCCGTTTTGAAGGCCTGGGGGGCAATATGAGAGCGGTCACCGTAGCCAGAGACAACGATTCCGCCTCTTTCAGACGCTTCGGTGTTATTGAGGTCCCATAACGTGGGATGTGTGAACATGCCCTGTGGAAGTTCCTCGGGCCCATAAAGGGCGGCCCAGGACGGAAATTTGGAGCCATCAGTATTTGTGTATACGTCAATGTCGAAGATGTCGTTTCTCTGTGTTTTGGCTTCAGGGGCTTTGGGATCCTGGGGGTGGCTAAGGAGATAGTTGATCTTAGAGCCAGTAATATTTAACTGTTCAATGGCACGCATGTTAGAGGGAGTTTCTATCTTTCCCTCAGGGAGGACCTAGATATGATTGTTAACGTATGTCATACAATACTCCTCCAATTACCAAAAGATGACGACGAAGAAGCAGAAGGAGAAGGAGAAGAAGTAACATAGAAATAATATAACAAAATAGAATAGAATAGAAAGGGCCTCGAGAGAATTACCTGCTTGAAGACATCATAGCCTAGGAAGATGACACCGCCTGGATTTCCGCTGACATCAATGATAAGCTTCTTCTTCCTGGTCTTTCTGCAGCCCTCCAAGAATTTCGTGGTGGTCTCACTGAAATCCATGAGAGGCTGCGAGGTATTGGCTTCTCCACCAAAATTTCTGAGGTGCAGAATGGCAGTATTGGAATGCTGACCATCGAGGAAGTAACCCGCAAGGCTGCCGTCTGGAGTTTCATAGTCTGGCTTAGGAACAGGAGGGAGATCGCGGGCAGCTACATGAGCTGGTGGTTGCGAGTTTTGGGATGGAATAGGACCGGCAATAAAGAAATGGTGCTCCTTGTACTTCTCTTCAGCCTTGCCCGCTCGCAAGAGGTCGCCAGAGTTGTCTCTCCCGGTGCAGAACTTTTCATAGAATGAATCACCGTCCGTGACTCCAGTGAGATCTTGGGTGAAAAAGGCGTAGTTTTCAGCCTCCTTCGTAGTTCCGTCCTCATAAACAAGCTTGGTGTTGTCGCCAGTGTAGATGCCATGCCGTGAGCGGAAGGCGCCTAAACTGCTTTCGTTATTCAGAGGGAGGTTGAGAAACATGCCGTTGTAAAGCGCATCTAGATCCTGCTGAAGTCCCTCGAGGGAAGAGTTCTCCATCCACTGTATGGCATCTTGGCCATCAATGGTCTTAATAGCAGGTGCATCGGCCGATTCGCTCAAGTCATCTATCACGTCGGGTTAGCCGGGGAGCCTCCACGAAACAGGTACGGAGACGGTAACGCAACGTACTTTTAGAGTAGAGTTTAGGGAATTTTTTTCCATCATCTGAAAGAGAGACAAGGCTGCCGATCTCAGTGCGACGGAAGATAAAGAAAGAGATAAGGTCTAGTGGGAGCCAGAAATGGCCGTCATGGACGGATCTAACGAGAGACTCCACATCGTTTTGGAATTCATACTCGTTACGATAGCCGCCTCTGACAGCCCGTTCGCGGATCTTTGCAAGACCTCTCTTGAGGTCGGTGGGAGGCAAAGGGTATCCCTCTGGCGGATCCGCCAAAAAGTCCTGGGTAGACTGCCAATCCCAATAAAGGGGCAGTGTGTCAATCAGGCGCAAACCGTCGTTCAGCCGGAAAGGGACTGAAACGAGGCATTCATGAGCAAGGTGTGCAGTGACATTGAATTTATCAGCTATATAATTAGAATGAGCTATTAGCAATTATTATTAGACCGTTCGCCAGGGTTATACATAGACATACCATTTGGATCAAGCTGCTTCTGCTGCTTCTGGGCCTCTGCAACCTGACCACACGGCGCAACAGCGCTAATTATTCCAGCAGTAGAGAGTAAAAGGCCAGCAATGGCCTGGTAAAATCGTACCATGTTCTCTGTCACAGCCCTAGCCAGCAAGTAAGGGTGATGGATATCAAGTGGTTGATCTACACAAATGGGTGAGTGTAGATTGATGAGATGAAAGATATCAAAATATCAATCTAGACAAGGAATGAGTGTAGGTTGACATAAAAGAGTGACTATAGGTAAAAACAAACGAGTGTATATTGAGAGTGGTCGACTAAAACACCTCGGAGGAGGAGAAAGAGGACTTAGAAGAGGGGACGTCAATGGTTTTTAAACACCCATATTCCCCTGGCAAGGCATGAATTTATGGTATTTCATTGCTCATCTCTCTTCCCTCATTAACCTTCCTTCTCAAATTGCCGCTGGCAAATCCGCTGTGGACGAGAGGAGATAATTTCCCGGGAAAAAGGAGATAACCCCAGGATGCGCCTATTTGACACTTATATCTAGGAAGCATATTTGCACCCCAGGGGGATAACACTTAAGAAACGCGGGTATAGTTGATACTATTCAGCAATGATCAGATAACAAAGGAGGTTCAACTAGAGTAGGACTTCTCTAGTTGAATTGTTACAGGATCTCAAAGGTCCTCCAGAGCAAGAACTCGGTCATGCTCAATCCAAGTACTCCGTAGTAATTCTAGTGTCGGGGGGGGGGGGTCTTCCTCCGACCCGTACAGAAGCAGACCACTGCAGTGCTGCATAATAGCCTGAGGCATAAGAACGTCGAGCAAATATGGCCATTGGTACTGGCAGACCTACCAAGAATGATATAATTGGCCATGCAGGCCAGGAACGCATTTGCTAGCGGAGCTCCCAGGGTAGTTAGGGCCGGAGATCCCAAAGCTAACAACCCCTGGTGAAATCCCTATTTCCCGCCAGCCGTCGGGAAAGAAGGGGTTTTTGATGGTTTCTGGGGTGGGGATAAGCTTAAGGGGAGTTGCAAAGTTCAGCTCTGCTCCGTACATGGCGCCATTGGCATTCAGGCCTTGATGAGCCAAACAAAATAAAGACACCAGGAGCAAGAGCAGGCTCCATGGGCTCACGGGAATGCTATCCCGAATACATTTATATGCTCGCGTCGTACCTAGTTGGTCCTTCCTTAAGCCAGGATATGGCAAGTTAATCATAATAATTCCGTGTTGATGGTTTAGGCTGCGCAGGCGGTACCTGAGCCGCTTGACCGGGTAGTTACCTGCGGAGTTTTCGGCTTGCAGAGCCAATACAACGTATAGAAAGGCAAAGAAAAAATGAACATAGATTGGACTGAGAAGGCATAACGCAATTGCTGAGTACGGAGAGCGGTATCTGATATCACGAAATCCTAGAGAAATATGGTTAATTAGTATTAAGCGGTTTGCGAGCCATGAAACTCCTGGCTTCGATGATGTTTCTGATATCGTACTTGGGAGGGAGAGAAGCCGCAGGTTGAACGAAACAGCATGTTAACTTTTGAGATGGTAATTTGGTCGTCAATACGGAGTAACCTGGGAGCAGGTTATGATATAAATTGACGATAGCAGCTAGGTTTATAGGACATGGATTGTGAGACTCGAAATGGTTGCTTGGCCAATCAAAGTTTCGTTGGTTTAAAAAAACGCAACACCACTCCTCTACCAAATTTTGGACATTTGAACAGGAGAGCATAACCTCACATATGGCAGTACACTGGAAAGCACCAGCTCATCTTGGTATCCCGACTTCCCTTCTTCGATGATATAAAAGACGCAGCAACAGGAGATGTTGGCTGTGGTTTCTGCTCCGTGCCACCATGAACTAGTTGGCTGACACTAACTACAGCCACAAACTAACACAGTATAAAGAAACGGCCTTGATATCCTCTCCTATCCTGCTGCTTTCTCTTCTTCTTTGTCTGCGTCTATTTCCTATCATATATATATATGTATCCTTCTTCTGCTACCCCGGGGCTCCCGAGAGTAGCCATGACAACGCTACCTGAAAGGCCAGGGGAGTCGTCTGTCGATCAACCTCCTGAGCTGTCAGATGAATACCTAATTGCCAACCTTGCCCATCGGCCGCCTCACCAGCTAGCGGGACGAATCTCAATCTCGAACCCTGCAAAGCCTTCCGCTCTTCCGCTTTGCGATGGCCCCTCGTCTATGGGCATCTTTGATCATCTCCCTCTCGAGATTCTCCAGGCCATCTTGAATTTGTTGGACTTTCAGGCTCTCTCCCGCCTCTTACGTACTTCCCAGCGAGCTAAAAGAGCCATTGAGTGCCTACCGGCATACCGGGAGCTCATGGAACATGCTCCAGATACCCTTACAGCGCTGGGAAAATCTTGTCTTATCACTGCCCATTCCGCCGCAAAACTTCGTGCGGTTCTCAGGACAGAGTCCTGCGCCTGGTGCAGTGAATATGGTCCCTTCTTGTTTCTCCCTACGTGTGAGAGATGCTGCTACGAATGTCAACGCTCAAATCCTTCTCTCTGGGTGATGACGGCCGACCTGGCGAGATACTGCTTTAAAATCAGCACTCCTAAGCTGCGAGAGATCCCTGTCATGCGAAGTATCTATGGAGTTTACGACGTTTCACACGAGCTCTCTCGTCATCGACGACTGAAGCTGGTCAGCGTCAGAGCCGCAAAGGAGCTGTCGTTGGCCACTTCAGGCTCGCCAGCGGCAACTGTTTCCAACCAGCGAAACAACGCACACCTAGCACATTTCCAAAACGCACCTCTCGAGCCAGCAGCGCAGGATGATGAATCCGGAGTAAAGTCACGTATCAATTACTGTTCTCAGACCGACGAGTGCTGCGGCATGGGGTCTATTTGCTTCCCTTCTCTGCAGCCAGACAATAGTGTAGAACGAGGCCTTTGGTGCCGGGGATGTTTCCGAGCCTCTGAGCAGTATCGCTTCTCGAGTCTGGCTACCGGTCACGCTATACAGAATGTTCATCCGCCCCGGGCACTGATAGGGACCAACCTATGTGCCCGATCAAAGAAACAATTTCTGGAGCATATCAAAAATTGCGATGGATCTCTGGAGTTGCAGGCTAATTTAAGGAGAGGACTACAGAATTAATCCTGTCACACTCACAATATTTTTGGACAAAAGTAAAAGGAAAATAGTTATGATAGGGAAATAGATAAAAAAGGGGGAAGCAAGGAGAGATGCAAAGTAGCCTCCAAAGCAGCTTGGATATAGTCTAGTTTGAGTGACTAGAGCAGGGCAACAGAGTTATTTATTGTTCCGATGGGCCTATTGACACCAGACGAGCCGCAGTGCAAAGTTATAGTATCTAATTCCTCCTGTGAGGCTCCTGTTGGTTGTGTTTGCTTGCTGCCGTGACAAAATGGCCGAGTGGTCCAAGGCGCTTGATTTGGGTATGTCTCACGGTCACGTGAATATTACATAATCAGCTCCTTGTTGCAGCTTATCAAAACGATACGAAACAAAACAAAACGACGAGAGACGGCTCGCTAGTTACTCCGTACTCCGTACTCGACGCTGCTGGAAAGGATGAGGTCACGGATGATTCACGATGCCTCGATAACCTGGCGGCTACACCCGATTATCGCTCCAGACCGTTCCTCCCGGGGCTGAGCAAGGAAACATCCAGCCGGTTCAAGACCGTGTTTGTGTCACACGGCTCAAGCGACTGGGGCTCCCCACAACGGCCGCCAGGGAAGGACTCCGTAGCAACGGCCACCAAGTCTTCATATGCACGATGGGCTACTGCCGGGGCATGTAGGGAAGTCAACCCAAGGAAACGCTGGAGCCTAGCTGACATGGCGAGCCAGGATCGTTGTGTGAGGTCATCGCTGTCCGAACATGGACCCAACCCCTGCTGCTTCCGGGGGCCTTCTAGAACCCGTCGTCTGTGCTTGACGGTCGGTCGGGCGGTGTTAGTTACCAGAGACACGCACACAGGTGTGGATGGCGGAAGCCACTCGCTTCTCTGTCGACAGCTTCTCTAGCTGTCCTCGACCTTCTCTGCGCGACTCTCGACTTCGATCCTGATTTTTACTCGTCATATACGTTCTTTGACTGATCCTCTAAACGAAAATAAGCCGGAAGTGTTGAGTCAGCGACACAGCCCTAAAATAACACGAGCTCGTCGGCCCCGACATATCCGACAGCTCCGACGCTGCGTCTGGCCGGCGGCCTTGGGCGTGTAATTGTACCGAGTATTTCGCGTATCTTCCCCTTCTGCCAGCGCTGGAGCGTCCTGCTTTGGGGGAGAAGGCCGGCAAACTGCACCAAGCCGGGTCAGCACCTTCAGCGCCCGTCCACGCTCTCTCCAGGCGTCTCTCCTGCTCTTCTCTGCCACGATCTATATCTTTCCCCCTGTAACGGCCAGCGGGTTTTCGGTAACGGGTCACGAGACCGGCTCGGATGATCCCGCCAATAAGAGACAGCTCTCGTGCCCCTTAGACCCACTTTCCCGATCGGGCGAGCTAAGCAAGAAAAAGACACGGAAAATGTGAGCCTGCTTAGTCAGAATGTGAGTTATAACACTTCTGCTTCTTCTTCCTTCGAAGGCTCTTTTTTTCAACTTCCAAACGCCAACCTCAGGTTTCAGCTTCAAAGGCCACCCATATCCCTCTCGCTCGCTCTCTCGATCTGTTCTCTTCTCTCCTTAACAGCGGTAGAGAAGTCTCCTGGGCGTAGATACTACGCTCCTTTATCCCACTACCATTCTTATCTACTCCATTATCGATCTATACGCTTGGTGGATTCGCGACCTCCGTTCCTTGCTCTCCACCACCCTTTGTCACCCTAATATAATATACCCCTTTACCTAGCGCGTTCATTGACGGCTTTAGGTCGTCAGATGAACCTGCATTTTTCTAATCATCCCAGTGCTAGAGTAGGTGCGCCGTCTGCTTGACTGTTGGAGCAAAAAATTGATCACAAGACTGACTCATTTCTTCCCCCTATCTAGTATTCCCTCTTCGCATTGAAGAGGCCCTCAATAACGTAAATGGTTTTTAAGCCATTCACACATCTCGCGCGTCAGACCTTTTCCAAGACCTTTGTCCACGGCTACGCCCAGTCTGTCGTTGCCGCCTCCCAATCCTCATATGCTCCCTCAGCATCCTCCCTAAACCAGATCACTTCGATCCCACAGACTGTAAAGTACACTCGAACAGCGCAGCTCCAGAGTGCTTTCCAGAATGCTTCGGGTTCTTCTTCCAGCGCCGGTGGCGCAAAGGCAGGCCACACTGCTACTAACGGTAGCAGCGGCGATTCCGGTCTAGCCGCATACTATGCTGCCTGGCAACATGCACAGCAGACTGGTGATGACAGTGACTGGAAGCAGTTTCAATTCACTAAGCGCATTGGCTGGAAGCCGGCCAAGGAGGAGAAAGAATCCCTAGAAGATTCGGACGTGGACCAGCTTGCCGCGTCTGTCTCGAGGGTACGAAGCCGCAGTGAAGTCCGTGCTTCAAGGAATGTTGAGAGTGCTCCCGTTGATAAAGATGTAAGCGCAAAGGTTGACGAGGCCGTTGCCAGAGAGATTCGAGAGATTCAGGAGGCACATGCTCTCGCTGAGTCCGAATACGGCACTTCGGCCGCTGAGTCTGGAAGTGAAGTGTTCGAGACCCAGAGTGGTGAGCAATCATACCAGACTCCAGCTTCCTCTGTTCAAGAAGCTATCGTCTCCCCGAGAACTCCTGTCAATGATATTTCTCTCTATGAGAAGAAGCAGGCTGAGTCTCGATCCAATGCCATTGTCGAGTTAGCCAAGGATGGAGCTCACGCTCAGGTTCCAGCTGCTTTCGAGAGTCTTTTAAGAGACGGAGCCAAACCCACTGCTGCCGCTTACAACGCCCTTCTCGAAGCTGCCATCCGCCTTCACCCAGAGACGCATAATGCCGTCCCTAAGGCTCTCGATGTCTACTCTGATATGCTCCGTCGAAGTGTTATGCCCGATGAAAACACCTACAAAATCATCGTTAAGCTGTTGTCCACCCGCTCCTTGGACTGCCTTCGCATGGCCAAGGACTTGGAGCAGTCTCGAGCACGATTTGGCGGAATGGAAGAGCCAGGCAAATTCATTTTCCAATCTAGCGAAGTCGAGCACGAGCTCTTGACCGAGGACCATTCTCTCCCCATCGCTCTTAAACTGTTCAACGTTGCTACTACTCGACACCCAGAAATCGCCTTCCCACTCCCCGTCTACCGCTCTCTTCTGACCGCCTGTGCGATGCAGGGAAATGTCGACCAAATGATCGAGATCTTCGCTCACATGGAAGCCAACAAGGTTACCCCCCACGCTGCCATGTTCCCACCGATGGTTGACACTTTCTCTATGAAGGGGGACTTTAAGAGCGCAGTTGAATGTTACAACGAATACAAGACACTGGCCATTGCTGACAACAACGGAATATTTGGCATTGTCGAACGTCAAGACGCCGAAGTCTACGCCTCTGTCATCAAGGCTTACCTGTCCTGCGGGAACACCGAGGGAGCCTATCGTTTCTTTAACAAGATCCGCGCTTCCTTCGACGGTGTCGAGAAGCAGGCAGAACGCCTCCAATCTGTTGAAGAGGTAATCGTCAAGGACGGCTTTGTCAAACATGCCCTAGACACCCGCAACTTCGCTTCGGCCCTGCATATTGCCCAGACTCAGCTGCAGGGCCAGGCCTTGACAGATGCAGCTTTGAACATATGCATTACTGCAGCTGATGCCAATGACATCCCGACGGCTACTAGTGCGTACCGTCTCCTGACCACGGATGCTGCCACCTCCGTCGAGCCGGCCATCGCCATGCTCGCCCTCCACATCCGCCAGGGTAGCCTTGAAATGGCTAAGCCGTTCTGGGATGTTCTGTCCTCTTCATCCCGTGTCAAGTCAAGCTTTATCCAGCCTGTAGCTATGTACACCATCGCCTTGCTGAAGAGCGGTCAGATTGAAGAGGGTCTCATGGAAGCCCGAAGCATGTTCTCGCGTATTCGAAGTGCTAACCCAAGCTCCGCCGCTAATGAGCAGAAGCAGCGCGTGCGCGAGGAGATTGACGAGGCCATTGATTTGCTTGGTCGCGTTCTTATCCAGGCCGCCGCACCCCTCTCGCCTCATTCGGCTATGACCCTAATGTGGTGCATGGTTGAGAATGGTGGCCTTGTCTCCCCTGTTGCTGAGTATGTTGTGGCTAGCCTTGGCCCCATGGGAATTTCTCACTTGACGGCTAGGGATCTTACTCTTGCCATGCAGGCGCAGGCTGGTATGCTGGTCAATGGCTCTACCCTGTTTGATGCAGCACACCCTCTTCGCTTTGCCCATATGTTGGATGTTGCAATGAACGCTGGTATCCGCCTCGACGACTACACCAAGCAACTTCTCGAACAAGGAATCGCAAAGTTGGGAGATGTCCGTCCAGACCATGCACAGAAGTGGCACCAGTATATCCGTGGAAGCGCCCCTGTCTTTACCACCCCTTCATACAATACCCCGTCGCCTGCTGCTCCGCAACCACAGCCATCCCCGGGACTTAAGCCTGCCCGCCCTGATGATTCGTTTGACCCTTACGCTCACTCCACAGACTTCAGAGGGTCATCGATAATCGCCGAGATGCTTGAGACCCCGCGCGGGCGTATCGAGGACCATCTTAACAATGCCATGACCAAGTTCAAGAACATGCGCCGAATTGGTAGACATCCCCGCTACATTACCTATGCCAAACTGATTACTGCTGCTGCGAAATGCGGACGAATGAACATGGTACATGAGATCCTGGGTATGGCCAAACACGATGTCCCGCTTCTCCCACAGTACAACGCTGTTAAGTATGGGTGGACATCCATCCTGGATGCCATGGTTGCTGCTTGCCTCACCACCGGCGAGCGTAGCCTTGCAGCCAAGTACCACCAGGAACTGTTAAACATGGGATCTGCTCCATCCGCCAACACCTTCGGTCTTTACATCACTACCCTCAAGGAATCCACCAAGACTTTTGATGAGGCCACCGAAGCCGTCAAGGTGTTCCATCGCGCTACCTCGGAGGGCGTTGAGCCCACTTCATTCCTTTACAATGCTCTTATTGGCAAACTAGGCAAAGCTCGTCGCATTGACGACTGCTTGCTCTACTTCGCTGAGATGCGTGCCAACAACGTTCGACCTACTAGTGTTACCTATGGCACTATTGTCAACGCCCTGTGCCGTGTTAGTGACGAACGCTTTGCCGAAGAAATGTTTGATGAAATGGAGTCTATGCCAAACTACAAGCCTCGGCCTGCTCCCTACAACTCCATCATCCAATACTTCCTTAACACCAAGCGTGACCGCTCCAAGGTTCTTGCATACTATGAGCGCATGAAGTCCAAGGACATCCAGCCTACGATGCACACGTACAAACTGCTTATCGATGCCTATGCCTCGCTCGAGCCCGTCAACATGACTGCCGCCACTGAGGTTCTGGATTCCATCCGTGCTTCCGGCCAGCTTCCCGAGGCTGTCCACTACGCCTCTCTCATTCACGCTCGAGGATGTGTGCTGCATGATATGGCTGGAGCTCGCGAAACCTTCGACACTGCCCTCGCTCAACCACATCTTCGCCCACAAGCATGTCTTTACCAGGCTTTGTTTGAGTCCATGGTGGCCAACCATCAGGTCTCTGAAACTCCTGCCGTGCTAGCCGATATGGCTGCCAACAAAGTTGCCATGACCGCTTATATTGCCAACACTCTCATCCATGGCTGGGCTACGACCGGAAACGTCCGTAATGCCAAGGCAGTGTATGATGGCGTGGGAATGGACAAGCGAGAACCTAGCACATATGAGGCGATGACTCGGGCTTTCCTAGCTGCTGAGGACCACGCTGGCGCTGATGGCGTTGTGCGTGAGATGCTTTCTCGCGGCTACCCTTCCGCAGTTAACGGAAAGGTGCTGGATTTGGTCAATGGTGGACAGCCAGCATAGGCCCGAACCAATGACACCAGCCATGTGTGATGCAAAACAGAATACATATACCCCATCTACAGATTCACGTTGCATCCACATTATTATTCTTTTCTTTTGTCTCACAAATTTTATTCAAAAAAACGTCGTGTGAGGGTTTGAATACTCCTTACTGGACCTGAAATTTTCTATATGTTCTTCTTCCCTTTTTTTCCAATATACCGCAAAACAGATTTGCCTTTTATTTTGCTTATTATTTTTTATTGATTGATGCATTCCCCTGTACCATACACAGCGGCCGGCGTTTGCTATTTATTATTGGGGATCGTTTCAAGAATTATTGCCCATGCTTACTTCTCCTACCATCCCTCGGCTGAAGAGGTTCGAAAGGATTTATTAATCTAATACGGCTTGTTGGGCTGGTCTTCCCACATACATACCCCTTGAGGCGGCGCTTGTTCTCCAAGCGGTTGATCTCGGGCCATATTTACATTTTACTTGACATTTGAGCTTCATATTTGACTTCATTTGGCTCTTTTGCACTACTGTGGGAAGGGAGGAAATCTGGAATGCGACAACAACCGAGGGTCTCTGGTGGGAATGGTGTTTTCCTTTTATCTTTGTTCTCATTCTATATCTTTGATATTCAAAAAAAAGTGCGGCGTTTGTTGTTGTTTGAGCGCAGGCCGCGGTGGTGTTGATGTTCTCTTTTGTTTTGACCGGCTCAGGAGGGCGTTGCCTCCTTGAACTACGGATGAATAGACAAATCCCTACTCTATATAGATCTTGAGAAGCGAAAAAATATCAAAAAACATTGTATAACATCAACTTTCCAAGCCATTTAATTTGTCAGTAGCTCAGAGGTGGTTATCGCCGAGGTTCGCCGAGATAGCCTGGCAGAACATCACGTCACCAAGTCCCTGGTCGAGGCAGATGACCCGCAAAAAAAAAAGAGTCAGAACTTCCGTGGTTTAGAAAGAGGTACCAGCTTCTCGCCCTCTCATTTCGCTCTCTGCTTGTACTGATATAATTGCTTCTACTACAGTCACATCATCGCCTAGCTGTCAGTATACATAGAGCAACCTGCTGGGTAAGTACACACGCCCTCGGCAACTTCCCAGCGCGGGGTGAAAAGCAACATCGACCAGCTAACTAACAGCGAGAAAGGCACAGATAGAAAGGCAGCTGTGACTAACATATGCGCTGTGTCACCCCTCGAGGGAGAAACGTATTCCAGCTATTATACAACACAAAGCGACCAACTTGCTCTCTGCTGCTTCTTGTTGACAGGAGAATGATGCCGAATCAAATACACGAAGAGGAGCAAGCCTCCGCGGCACAATACCACCGACACCCGAAGAGATTGATATGTACGCTACGCTCTGCCCGAAATGGTGGATTGGCATCATGCAGATCTAATAATCGATAGTTGCACCGGGTGATATTGCTGCTCCTCCATCAGAGGCTGCGGGATCAGCGCAGAAGCTTGCCGCCATGCCGGAAGACTTCGCCATCAGCCCTCTACCAAAACGCTTATTAGTACCAGACGAGCCAATTACCTCTGGCACGTCTACGCCAGTTGCCAACGCGGCAGTTCTATCGAGTGCATCTCGAGCACACCAGTTCGGTACCAACCCACCCCTACTTTACTCCCATCTTCACTTGAACCCACTACACCAATTCCACACCTGGTTCAAAGATGCAAGACTGCCCGCATCCAGTGCGCCAGAGACATGCACATTAGCTACTGTCAGCATGCCCACCGGCCGTCCTAGCGCACGCGTTGTGTATCTGAAGGAACTCGACGAGCGAGGATGGGTTGTATACAGTAACTGGGGAAGTCGAGCCGGCAAGGGCGGACAGGTCTTTGGAAACGACAGGGACGGAGACGGTGAAGCCATGGCTCTTTTTGACGGATCTGATCCCCAGCTGAAGGAAGGAAACAAATGGGCTGCGCTGACGTTCCATTGGCAGAGTGTCGAACGTCAGGTTCGGATTGAAGGACTAATTGAGCCGCTTTCAAAGGAAGAGAGCGAGACTTACTGGCGTGTGCGTGAGAGGGGAAGCCAGATCGGCGCCTGGGCAAGCCAACAGAGTAAACGGCTCTGGTCAAATGACGAGCCTGGTGCTGGGGAAGGAGAAGACGATGGACGGGCTGTTCTCGAGAACCGAGTGAAGGAGATGGAAGCCCGGTTCGCGGACGTCAAGGAGATTCCACTACCGCCGTTCTGGGGCGGAGTTCGACTTGTTCCAGAGTCGGTAGAGTTCTGGCAAGGTAGGAAGAGCAGGTTGCATGATCGCTTCAGGTATGTGAGGCAACACAGTGCGGATGAGACTGATGGCAATGAGAAGACCTTCAAGTGGAAAATAGAAAGACTCTCCCCATGAATCCTAATAGACCCTCGCCTATCGTTTGTGTTATCTTTATAGTAAAGCCAGAGAGATAAACAGCTCGTTTCTTTGAGATATAAGGCCATTTTGACTTCTGTAGAAAGTACTACCCGTGATCACACCAAGGCTTACACACGCTCATTCCATCTGAGCCTTCCTTCACTATACCGTCTGCCACCTCGTTCACGTCTTTGAAATCGAAAAAGTCCTCGAAAACATCAAAACGAGGAACACCGCGAGGAGGTGTTGAATACCGTAAAAGGGAGTTAAGAGCATCCAAGCGTCTCTGTATCACGGAATTGGATATCGAAGTAATCCGCATTCATTACACCCACATACACCGATGTCAATGATCCTTTGAGCTGTTCTAAGGTGCAGCCGGCCGACTCTAGTGCTTCAAAGACAGTTTCAAGCAATAGGCGTTGCTGACGGTCCATGCCGGTGGCCCCAACAGGGCTTATACCAAAAAGGGAGGTATCAAAAAGACTACAATCTTCTGAAAGTAGGTACCCCTTGTAACACACACCTGTGCTGCCATGATGCGCTCCATCTGGATGGTAAAACCTAGAGAGATTCATTTTTTTTTTTTTTTTTTTTTTTTTTTGGGGGGGGGAGGTAATGTCGACGAGTACATCTCTCGGGTTTCGAAGTAGTTTCCCCTAGTTTCGAGGGAGAGTTGAAAGATCCGGGAAAGCGACAGGCGGTTTTGACAATGGCAATCGGCTCCAGCATGATGGACGGTAGGGTCGAAAAAATAGCCACAAGGTGTTTTGTCGTACAGCTAGTTAGTTAGTTACTTAGCGCGTCAAAATAAGAAGCGATGAAAGAATAACATAAATGTTGTTACAGTGCTCAACGGTTAGAACATTTCATTAAACATGATTCAGCATATTACCCAGAGTTATTCGGGATATCAACTTGCTAGCCAAGCAAGAAGCATCACGCTCCATCAAACCTCTCGTTCTCAACTAACTCGTCAACTAACTAGTTAACGCCTCGACTGATAGGCTAGAGCTACGGGGAAGTGTTCCGTCGCGTTGACACCCTAGTCCCGCGAAGGCCTCCGTGCTTACCCAGAACTTCTTCGGCCCCTCCCAGCACCGCTCTGGATAGCCGTTGACTTGCTCATCGTAAGCCACCGAGAACGAGTTGGCGTCCGATCCACACGGGTGGCTGCGTGGGGCCGCTAACTCCCTAGGTAGGTGCCTATATTTAGGGTATCGGGCCACGGCCTGGACAATTAGAACACATTAACACATTAACACCCGTGATTCGCGCAAGGTAAGTCCGTCGTTACCCATTAGGCAGTTATTTCCAGATCAGCGGCATCGATTACATGGAGGGACTTTGCGGTTGGACTCATGAGACGCAATAATATAGCAACCCACCCCTCTGCGGATAAAGGCGTTAACACAGTTGACGGGGAGGAGTGGGAATATAGCCGAGCACTGATCAAACCGTTTTTTTCTACGTGGCGCCTTTGCTAACACGGTACGACTTGCAAAACATGTCGACAGGCTCTTCAAGCTCTTTCCAAATGATGCAGAGACATTTGATATACAACCTCTGATGCAGCGCTGGGTAAGACTTAAACTTTGTTTACTATGTAACAATAAATAAGTACATAGTACTAACTAGTCATCCGTTTAGTTTCTAGATACAACCGCTGAGTCTCTCTTCAGAGAGTCCATTGAATCACTTATATATCCTGAAATGGCCAGTATATGCTGGGATATGGTTACTGTGCTGCGCGGCCTGAGGTTACGCCTTCAGTGGTATAAATATAAACATGCCCCTAGTCCAGCTTTTGTCTAGTGTGGCATCCCTTCTATCGGTGTTAATACCAAACGGCCACTCCTGCTGCCGCGAGAACTGACAGCCCAGCCGATAAGATACCGGTTTGAGACACAGTCTTCATGGCAAATCCTTTGCCTATGTCCCAAGCCAAATGCCTTAGGCTATTGAATACATGAAACATGAACGGCCAGGCGATGACGAACTTCACTGTAGCCTTCCCGGCCCAGGGCAAGCTGGCCATGGCAGCAGACAAACTATCTGACGATAAATCCCAACCAAGATATGGAGACGCCAGGTAAGAGACAGCGAAGAGGTAGAGGCTGCCGGATAGAACGGCACCGGTGATCCGCTGGAGTGACGAGTTGACTGAAGTCACTTGCCATTTATATATGGACAAATGCGGAGCAATAGGCCGGTTTAGACGCTGAGAAGCTAGCACCTGAGTGCCGTCTGCCTTTTTCATGGGCTGGATCGTGTGTTTGCTCGGAATGGGCGTGGTAGATGTTTGGCTGAATGGTGTTATCAGTAGATGGCGGAGGAAAGCTGAGGAACGAAAGGATATACCGAACATGCCTTCCGCCCACAGACCTCAAACGGGTAGGCAATGATGTAAAGACATTTCTCGTGTGATGGAGCCTCGAAACTGTGGGCGTTCCTCCCATAGGCGCTGGTTTGGTATTAGCATTTGCCAGTCGCCAGCAGCGCTTGCGCAAAACATATACTCCATAGTATATTAGCTATCAGTAAGGACACATACAGCGCATAAAAAGAGACATCTTGGACTGTGACGAAGGCAATGTCGAAAGCCAGCCAGCAATGCAGCAAGTAGTTGGTCAGGGCGGGATGGAAAGATACGCAGTGAAGAGAGCCGGGCGAGGATAGCTTCGCCATCTCAGCCAACAGAGCATCATGGCCAGGCAGTTGGCTGCGAAGCCCGGAGTTTCTTTCCCACGAAACGAATATGCCGTCGAGGCTTCGGGATATTCATGGGATATTCTCTTTGTTGGTTGCTTGTTCGCCTTTTTCTTTTCTTTTTACGGAGATAAGCCGGGAAATTCGTTTGACCCCTTGTGTCGCATAGCAAGTTAACTACGGAGTACTATTTAAAATACTATTTAATATTTAACTAATTAATAACTTAGCTAGTTAACCAACTAGCTAGTTAAGCATCTAAATAACGAGTTAATTAACTACTTTCTATTGACTCTGTGCGATCTCATAATAAGCAAAGGCGATGTCCCAACCTCTTTATAAGTCCCGAGGTCTTGCCCAGTCACAAGAATTTTGCTTGATAGAGAACATCACTATGATAATATCTTTAGGGAGGATGCTAGCAGTAAGCGAGAAAAGATGGATGTTGGGGGATAGAAGCATTATATACATGGTCGCTGCTCAGATTATCTCGTCTTTTATGGCATGTGCCTCCAAAATGCTGCAGAGCGTTGATAACGAAAGGCCGTTGTACACAAGCCAAGTACGTGTCTGGAAGCATAGACGGCAAAAGAAGATGGACTCACTAATTTGCCTATAACTGAATAGGTTCTTGCTATGATGATGAGTCTCGTTGCGGCGATCAACTGGATGCTGATGTATTTTCTCGACGTGCCTGAAGCACCCCTTGGAAGAAACGACATCTGGCCCCATTTGACAGTTCGGGGTGTTGCAGGAGCTTTCGGTAGTATGTTCAAAAAGCCTCCCAAAAGAGCCTTACTTGCGTTGGTCTACTCTTGAAGTACGGCTAAGTCAAGCAGCCGTCAAGAAGACAACTAGCCAGCTGCTGACGTCTCCCAGTCTGGGGGTTTTATTACTCCCTCCGCTACCTGCCAGTATCTGAGGCGACGATATTGAACTTCCTCTCGCCCATGGTCGCCGCGTGTTCGTCTAGCCTGCTCAACAATGTGCCATTCACTCTTGGTCAACAGCTAGCAAGTCTGATATCCATCCTGGGGGCTGTGCTTGTTTCTCAGCCATGGCAGTACTCCATCAGGAGCCCACCCGGTGGTCTCGGAGAAGGTATGAGTAGAGACGGTGCCTGCCAGAATTGTACCGCGCATGGCCAGCTTTCATCAGGATTTTCCTTTTCCTCTGAACGCAGTACTGCAATCTGGGCAGCCCTGGTGGGAGTAGCGGGAGGTTCAGCCGCCTTTGTGGCAATGGCAGCAATCGGCAAACGCGCCCACCCGACAGTGACAGTCAATCACTTTGCTGTATGGACTGTGATCCTAACTTCCCTGGATTTGGCATGTCTGGGCACAGAGACTTTGAGGCCGCCAACGCTGACAGAGTGCGGCCTGCTGGTATTCATGGGCATATTTGGCTTGCTCCTCCACCTGTTGATTGCGGCGAGCTTGCGAGATCGGGATAGCAACCGGGCCTTGAGCATCGTTTATATCCAGATAGCGTTTACCCTACTCCTGGATAAGCTCGTATGGGACTTGAGCCCGAGCTGGGTAAGCTTGCTTGGAGGTATTTTGATTGTCGGGAGCGCCATCACAGTGGCAGCTACGGGAGACCAGATGACGATTGATAAAAGTTTTCGAGATGTAAACTAAATGTCAAGTATGAAGAGCAACGGAATGAACAACTATATAAACTAGTTACAGCCGGCCGGTCATACGCAAAAGGACCAGCTTGGCAGCACCTCTGTCCTTTAGGCCACCATACCCGCCACCATACCCGCGCCACGCAACAAACCTGTCTGGCCGAACCAGCACACGGTTAGCGCCCCAGATGTGGCGGGCGTGGGTTTCCCCAGTCAAGGACACAACACCAAGGGGGATACGATGCTCCAAAACTGAGGATAGTCACTGGGCGTCGGTCTTCCCCATACGAAATAAGCAGATGAGGCCCCCCAGCTATTGCATACCGCTGCTAGCTTTCATCCAAGGTCAAAAGCCTCCTCGATACCCATGTTCATGCCGTAGCCGCCGGTAGGGACGGTCTGATGGCATGCATCCCCGGCTATCAGGATCCTCTGCAGAGGCCCCAAATATGACTTTGCTACGGCGATGCTTGGCGTCCAAGTCGAGCGGACCAGTACTTGGTCTTTTTCGATTGGGTACGGAGCGCACATGCCACCTAGGACAATATAGGTAGCCTGCGTCGAGGGTACCTGGCTGTAGTCAAATCCTTCTGGTAAGAACAGGTGCGCCGTCCAGGTATCGATATTATCCTGAGAGATTATGGCATCTTTGATAGAACCACCGGCAGCGACATCATTGGGAAAGAAAATGTGCCAGAATCTTCCTTGCTTGTGGAGGCGTCTGAGGTCTTTGGGCTTGAAATGGATGAGAAGAACAAACCCCGGGCTTGAGTTGAGTCAATAATTATGGTCATGATTATGGTATGGGGAAAAGAACAGTCACTAACATGGGACCTTCTTCAAGCTCAATTCCAAGGTCCCTTCTGACAATACTATTTGCACCATCGCAACCCAGGCAAAAAGCCTGCTCTGTCATCCATCTCGATCCTGGCTTCTCTGGGTACTTCTAATAATCAGCCGGCGATTCAGCGTCTGGCCACCCTGGTGATTAACAGTGAGTTAATCCGCTCGCAAGGTGCTTGTTACTGTAAACCGCTGGTTTCAGCTTAAAATAGGCGAATTCGACAAGGGAGACGGGCCGTTGAGGCAGTCACGTGGCCCAGACAGCTCGCAGGCGTAAGCTCCAACTTTGCACAGGGGTCAACGGTCGGTGAAGAAATAAATACTCGAGGCGACGCAGCGTTTTATCATGCCCGCTTTTCTGTGCGCCGTAAGCCCGTCTTCCTGCTGTCAAACGTCGCCACGCTCCTTTTCAGCCGGCTAGTGAGTTGGCTGTCAGTTTGTTACCAAGTTATCTGATCGTCGGAGATAAGATTATCAATCAGATAAGATCGGCCTCGGTCTCCACACGCACATAAACACGAACGGGCAGACGCCGACCTCTTGACCTCCTTCGCCTCCCCATACAAGACCGCGGCCGGAGGCCAGGCTCCTACTGGCCAAACCGTTCGTTCCACGGTTTCCATTAGTCACTGATCGAGTTATCAGATCAACCTTGTGGGAGAAATAACTAACTAGTAAACGAGTTACTCATAGGTCTCGGATTTTACAGCAAAGGCGCGCCCAGCGGCCGACTCGACTTCGGCCGAACGTATATAATTTGCCTAGGCTACCAACTACAAGATATCATACCACTATTTGCTTCTCCTGAGGCTGCAGTTTTTATTGTTTTTATTTAATTAATTTTCGCTATTTTAATTGCCTGCAAACTTGACAATGGCAAAAACACGGACAGTTCAGACCTGTGAGGCGTGTCGGAAAGCAAAAGTACGCTGCGATCGAGGAAAGCCACAGTGCTCACGGTGCTCCAAGACCAACCGCGAATGTTTATATCCTACAGAGGAACCAAGCTACTCCCATGAATCCTCGTCCGCATCTTACACTGCATTATCTGATCCCGCTAGCCCCAATCAGGTCAATCCACGGCCGGCCGACCGGAACAGGGCCACCTCGACTTCGGGCTCGGAGGCGAGCGAGGCCCTCGGTTCCGCCGAAGTATCGAATGTATGTGACATATCCAACCCCTATTAACCTTTTAAGTATTTCCATTGTTAGGGTTCTATTATCTAACATTTTCTCCGGGGATCGCTGAAGGAAAATGAAAACCCTTGCAATGGGTTATATTCTCTCACTGAGGCTGGGCCACAGCACTGGGTATCACGCAGAAGAAAGCGAAATACTATATCTTGTGTTCGCTGTCGACGTATGAAGGTACGCTGCGATCGTCGGTTACCATGCGCTCGTTGTTCAAAAATAAATAAGGGCGACGAGTGTGTTTATGCAAAACCTGAAAGGACTGCCGACGATGATGGCCTGCTTTCTCGCCCTTCTAGTGATATTCCGCAAGCACCAGTCACACATCGAATATGGAGGTCCAAGTTCCGCACAGGGGCTCATTGGGCCATTTTAATACAAGATGTATATCTTCCCCCAAGCTAGCTCTTACTCTTTCTACTGCATCCTGAAGCTAACAGTATGTAGATGGAGAGTCTATATACCCCAACTTGTTCCCAGGATAAGAAGCTTATTCCCGATGATGATACCAAAAGTGTTCTTGAGACTTCATGGTCTCCAAACTACCCATTTGGTGAAAAGCCTCGTCGCTCGAAATCAACAAGAAAAGCGATGTTGGCTTCTATTCCTAACAGGGACATAGCGGACAAGTTCGTCCAAGCCTATCTTGATGTGATTGAAACATCACACCGCATTCTTCACATTCCGACTTTCCTGCTTCAAGTGCAAGCCTTTTGGGATCAGCCTAATGCGGCCGATGATAGCTGGCTTGCGCAATACTTTACCATCCTTGCACTAGGTTGCGATGCTTCTAGAGCTGAGGCGCCTGAAACAGCAGAGCATTATAGCGACCTACGCAATACACTGTTGACTGCCGCAGAAACCTGTCTCAGACTCACTCCATTCCTATATCGACCATCATTAGCTAATCTCAGAACGTTGTGCCTCATTGTCATTGCAAAACAGATATATACCATGTCATGCTCTGAACATGAAGCGTGCTGGCCACTCACTGGCCTTACAGTCCGGCTAGCAATGCTAACGGGCCTCCATTCATGCAATAGCAATAGGTTCTATTCACCCTTTCATGCCGAGATGAGGAATCGGCTATGGGCTGCGATATGTTTTATGGATCTCAAACAGTCATTACTCTCGGGAATGCCACTTCAAATGACGATAGAGACATTTACATGCGCTCAACCTGCAAATATCAATGAGGATGAAATAAATGAGTCGTTCAGTGGCGAAATATCTAGTCGACCGCTTCCAGCAAGGACCGATGCTACCGTGCTGGTCATTTTGCATGATGTTTTCCCACTAGTCGCGGAGATTCTGAAAGCAGTAAATTCAGCAGATTCATCTTTTCAATATGAAACTGCTCTAGAGTACGATCGACAGCTAAGGTTCAAGATGAAGGAATATGAAATCATTCTCCAAACGCCTCCAAGACGCCCAGTTGAGCCTACCGAATGCGCAGCAGTTGATATTGATTTTCAAAAGATTCTCCTCAACGTCTATTTCCGCCGGGTACTGCTCACATTGCATGGTCGTTTTGCCAGACTGCCACAAGCATTTGTCGAATACTCGGTTGCCTACTGGTCGTCTTTGGAGTGCTCTCTAGCGCTCCTTGTGCAGCAGAGAGAGTTAGGTGAACAAGCGGCACATAACCGAGGTGTCGCGACATGGTTCTCCGGTCTTTTCAAACAGGATTTCTTCACAGCTGCAATGACCCTATGTTTCCACCTGATTAAAAACGACTCTCCTTTGGAATTACCCGCAGAGCATCTCTGTCAGATTCAAGCCCGGGAGACCGTTCTCGAGACTTTGAGATGCTGCAGGGATCTCTGGGAGCAAGAAAAGGATTTGTCAGGCTGTCATGGCCGAGCGTGTGATCTTGTTACCAAGTTGGTAAATTTCTTGGAAGAAGCGGCCTAAACCACCGTGTTTTGGTATAAATATTTGCTCTAGCCACAGGAGGCCACTTTATATATGATTCTGTAAATCCACTGTATAATATAACTACACACGCCTTTCCCAATTTTTAACTATTCTTCGTGGACTACTTGGCTCACTTAATAAAAATACGTAATAGCTTCCGGCTAAATAACTGTTCCAACTACCGGGGCACCCTTTGAATTAGTTATCCAACAAATCCTTAGGGGAGTTGTTACTCTATACAGCGCTTCTTTAGCTGTCGGGGAAACTCAGCATTTGTTGGTTTATTTAGTTACACCATGCAGCTCAGATAACTAACTCACTCGTTGACCGAGTCTGGCTGAGAGCTCTCAATGGTCAACTTCGCCGCTTTACGAAGGGCGTTGAAGGAGAGGCATAATCCATGTTAAATAAGTATCAGGTGCTGGAGTCCCCGCAAGGGGAGGCGTGATCAACATGGAATATAAAAGGTCGAAGTAACGGCCTTGCGGAGAAAACGTACTGTTTTTCTATTTCCATGTACTTCGGTCAAGTTTTGGTTATCGCAGCCCCGAAAGACCAGCAATGCTGTCGAACAGAGGGAAGCAGATCACTGCGGTGATTGATGAGCCTTGGAGAGCACTTTGGGGAAAATCTGAATATGATGCGAAATCAAACCCTTCGGGATTGATATCACTTAACACGGCGGAAAATGTAAGTGTCTCTCTCGTTGACTAACCATTCTTTTGATTCCCGTAATATTTCAAGATGCTAAAAATTACTAGCCGCTGGCTTTCGAGGAATTGACGACGTACATCAATGGCAAGGTAAGCAATTGCCGTTCAATGGCTGGTTCTGGAGTCAAACAATATTAATTGGAACATGCTCCTAGATTCAATTCGAAAATTCAGTGTGGTCCTACAGTTCCAGTGCAGGTGGTGGTCCAAAATTCCCAGATGCCATGGCAGCCTTTGTCAACAGATACTTTGATCCATATGTGCCCGTGAAGAGTAGCGAAATATTTGCAACCAACTCCATTCCGTCGCTGAGCGAACAGCTTGCGTTCACGCTTGCAGAAGCAGGTGATGGAATGCTGGTCAGCCGGCCTGTCTATGGCAGGTTCAGAGTGGACTGGGGAAGTAGAGCTGGCGTAAAAATCATCTACGCTGATACGGGTGCACTTGAGGGTTTCACCCCAGCGGGTGTAAAAAAATACGAGGAAGCAATAATTGCTGCTGAAGCCAGAGGTGTCAAGATTCGAGGAATTATAATTGTGAATCCTCATAACCCACTTGGTGAGTCTCGTGTTATGCTGAACTTTGCTTAAATACTTTCCGGTATAAACGTGGAAATGGTGGTGCTGATAGGTAGCTAGGACGCTGTTATCCCCGTGAGACGCTCGTTGAGATATTCAAGTTATGTCAGAAGTATCAAATTCACTTGATCAGCGACGAGATATACGCGCTTTCTGTTTTCGATTCTGGTGAAAGCGGAGCGATGCCGTTCGTTTCCACTTTGAGTATTAATGCTAAGGGATTGATGGATGAAAATCTCCTCCATGTCATATACGGTATGAGCAAGGTGAGTATATTTTTATTCCCAGGATATTTACCGTATAAGCAATGATGATAACACCGAAACAGGACTTCAGTGCTCCAGGGCTTCGGGTAGGCTGTTTGATCAGCAAAAACCCATTGCTAGTAAAAGTTATCCGTTCAACTGCGTAAGTTTGGGCTAATAGCCACCAATATATGCGTAAATGTCTAACAACCGCTTTATTTTAGTCGACAGAATAACCCGTCGGGAATCTCTCTAGACATTTCAGCTACCATATTGAATGATGAGAAATTTGTGGCAACTTATCTTGAGAACACCCAAAAACGGGTACTTACGGCATACCGATTTGTTACTGGGCTTCTCCAAAAGCATGATATCCCATATTTACCAGGGACGTAAGTAAAACCCCCAGCCGCCGATACTACCAGACCAAAAAGAGGCCGGACTGAAAATGAGATACATTGGATAGGAACGCGGGGTGTTTCATCTGGCTGGACTTGTCGAAATATCTACCACCTAGCACCCCGTCCCAGCCCTTGACGCAGAAAGACAAGGAATTTGCACTAGCAAAACAGTTCTCCGAAGGCGGTTTGTTTCTTCATCCAAGCGAAGAAAATGGGATGGAACCAGGGTGGTTCCGGCTTGTGTACACCCGCGAGGAAGAACTGATAACTGAGGGTATAAGGAGGTATGATTCCACTAGCCATCCGCATTGAAGAGAAAGAGACCCGTTAACTTGTAAAACTTATAGGCTTAAACGCATCCTCAATTCCCTGCCATGGGTGACAACAAGGGTCGAAGGAGTTAAGTTATAATCATAACACGAACTAACAAGTATTACGTTGGCATGTAGATGTTGGTATGAGATGGAAATTGAACAGTGCGCTGAATAGTTTAACAGTTGGCCCTGGAGCCTTTAGGATATGAGAGCGAGTTGATAGAAAGGAAGAGAGAAGATGTTTTTCTTGATAAGCAGCCGAGGTATTAGAGTTCGAATTTAGCAAAAAACTATATGATTGGTTTTCTGTTGACATTAAACTCAGCCAATAAGAAGACTAGAAAATAAATATTGATTAACCTTATTCTCTCATTATGTAATCGTATTTCTCTACAACAGCGACTGGCTCAACAATATCAACAACTTGCAAGGTCTATGTAAGACTACAATCTGACATCAAAACGCTGCCTGAGATGCCTGGTATGCGGTCTACACCGTTTTCCTTGCTCAGGGAGTCTCTTCGGCCCGGGTCGCTCACTCAATCTAGGTCCTTCCGTGCGTCCAGTCGGCTACGCAGCTTTTCGTCCCAACCTATCCAACGCCCACCTGGCCGCCAACCATGGGCTGGGAATAATGCATTCGTGTGTTTAATATGTCAATTGAAGGCGCATTCGAGGCTTTACTCTACTCGTAATGACAAGGGTACTCAGGGAGGGGTGAATACTGAGCAGCCCAAGGATGGAGGGGAGAACGGAGGAGTTACAGGTGCAGATGCTTCTGGCATGGTAAAACCGCCCGCTTCCTGCACAAGTGAACTTCCGTCCCAGGAAGAGCGCCTACGGTCCAATCTCTCGAAGAAATTTGAAGACTTGATGGATAATTTGCAATCCAACATTTTTGTTGCTGGACAACATCTCAACGATCTCACTGGGTACACGGCCATTGAGAAACTGAAGCAGGATATTCGGACCCAAGGTATGTGCTAGAATCCCGGCATTGCTGTTTAGTGAGATGTGAACTAATTGCATTTGGTATATAGAGGAACTGGTGCGCCATACTCGAGAGAAAGTTCGTCAAGCAAAGGAAGCCTACTCTTCAGCTATAAACTGCCGTTCTGCGTCCCAGCGTGAAGTCAATGAGCTTCTGCAGAGAAAGCATGCCTGGACACCTACGGATCTTGAACGATTTACATCTCTTTACCGTTCTGATCACGTCAATGAGCGGGCAGAGATAGAGACACAAGAAGCACTCTCAAACGCTGAACGTGAAGCCGAGGAAACAACTGCCGAGCTTAGCAAGAATATCCTGACGCGCTATCACGAAGAACAGGTGTGGTCCGATAAGATTCGGCGCATGAGTACATGGGGCACGTGGGGCTTGATGGGTGTCAATGTACTACTGTTCTTGGTCTTTCAGGTTGCGGTTGAGCCCTGGAGGAGGAGAAGACTGGTCAAAGGGTTTGAGGAGAAAGTTGCCGAAGCCTTGGAGAAGGAGAACGTTCGTCACACGAAGGAACTTTCCGCAGCAATTAAGCAAGCGAAGCCAGCCTCTGAGCCGGAGAAAGATACTAGTGTTCTAGCCGCAGACGCATCTGATTTACCTGATGGGGCGGATAAGTTTGATTCTGCCCCTGAAACGCCCATGGAGGGACAAAATACACGGCAAGAACCTGTAGAAGCTCAAATATCGACCCCGGAATTACCACCTCTGACACCCATACTTCCACCAGATCTTGATCTAGCACCCGAGGCCTGGAGGAAGTCATCCCAGGCCTTCTTCACTGAACGACGTGTTACGATATTACAACGAGATTTGACTACTGTGGTGTTGGAAAGTGCGGCAGTAGGTGCTGCCGTGATGGGAGGAGTCCTGTTTGCCATATCTCGGCTGAGTCATAAATGATTACTCCGTACACCTATCATCCGGCTACGAGTCTTTTGATAAAGTTGGATAAAAGAGAGAGGATTAAGGTGGAGGAAGTAAAGCGTTCAAGCCGGAATCTCACATATAGACTGTATAACATTTGTACATAGATGGCCTTTCTTCAACCCTCTGTCTAGATATGTAGAATAATAGAAAAACAAGGTAAATTCCCCTATGTTTAATTGTTTAATTTTGAAGTTTGTCTAACCTTCCATGCTCATTATTTCTATCAAAAAATTCCTGTATATTTTAGTTTGGGTGAGGGAGGAGAAATACATGAAAGCGGAGGAGGGCTTTATATATGGAGAATAATACAAGGGAAACTGGAGATGCAGACAAGAAAACGAAGAGACTAGAAGCCTTGCAATAGAGCAGGTAGGTAAGACAGGGAAAAAATGGGAGGAAGTAATACAAGTATAAACAGACTTCCAAGCAAGATCAAAAAGTCGGAGTGGCCAGAGATGAGTTGTACAATTCCGTCTAAAAAGAAGAAGAAACCACTACATCCCGCGGATCAAGGAAATAGAAGACGGGGTGACGAGTAGAAAAGAGGCCATAGTGGTGCTGGCGCATTTTTTTTTGTATTGTGTTGTCTATTTTCCTGGGTCTGTTTTCCCATGGCCGAAACAAAACCAACTCGGTGACTGCTGAAAGTTGAAGCGGATGGGTAAGCTGGGAGCGAAAACGGCCCGCTTAACCGATGACAAGGGTGTCGTCGGTTGGGAAGTCGTAGGCTGGAACCTCCAAGTTCAATGGGGCGGGGCCCTTTCGGATACGGCCAGAGATATCGTAGTGAGAGCCGTGGCAGGGGCAGAACCAGCCGCCAAAGTCACCAGCTTCGCCAATTGGGACGCATCCAAGATGGGTGCAGACACCTACATATGTTAGCCAAAATAACTTCAACGCCTTGCCGGGTCAAACATGATTGTGCTGCTTACCCAACATGACAAGCCATTCGGGGTTCTTGACACGGTCAGAATCTGGCTGGGGGTCTCTAAGGCCTTCCCATTTGGTATCTTGAGCTTCCTGAATTTCACTAGCAGTTCGGTGACGGATGAAAACGGGCTTTCCTCGCCATTTGATGATGACCTAGTGTTGTGGCGTGAGTATGATAATGGCATATATAATATTTGCCCTCCGCAATATATTGTGTGGAGATGTATATTGCCTATGGGGGGAGCAACGTACGTTCTTGCCCTCTGGGATCGAGTTAAGGGCGATTTCGACCTTGGCCTGGGCCAAAACGTCGGCGGAGGCAGACATGTTGAGAAGGAAATCTGGATTGAGCCCGGAAATGTCAGCCGAAGAAGTCACTAAATCCACAACCAGTCCTATTCATCCACCACCGATGTACCGTCCCCAATTGACAGCCAGCATCACGCAATGCAAAGACGGAACGCACCTTGGACGGTAGCCTTAGCGCCGACAGCGGTCATCATGCCCATGGTACCGACGACAAAGTAGGAGAAGGTCTTGTTTGTGCTCTCACGACGAGGGCTAGCGTATTTGCCGAAGCTTGGGATCTTGTAGGTCGAGGCAGAGCCGCTGCTTTTGGCGAACGGGCTATCGAACGAAGCACTCTGGGAGGCATCTGAGGCTCCTCCTCGTCGCTGCTGGGCAACGGACGAGGCAGCGAGGGCGCGAGGGACAACGCTGGCATGTCGGGCACACGCCCGGAGAGAGCTGGCGGAAGAGGCGGCGAGAGGCGACATGGCGAGCCTGGAGAAGAGCAATTGAGCGCAACCGGTAGACTTGCACGCAGACGTCGGTCGGTCTGGAGGAGGCGGTGGTGCTTGGATTGTCGAGCTGGTCGAAGTTGAGGTTGGAGTTTCGATGAAGTTGCGTCGGTTTTGGGTTTTTTCTCTCTGGACGCCCGGAATCATCCGCACACTGATTGGTCAGTCGGATCTTCACCACATCGACGCTGAAGAAAGGGTCGATATTCGGTATTTTGGCAGCAAGTTTGATAACATTTACTTGACGGCAGCACCGCGGTGATTTTACGATGATACGACGATAGAGAGACAGAGACAGAGACGCAGAAAATAATGATGATGATGTTCATGTTCCGTGTATACCTGCTCCATGCACCAGCCAATGGGTAATTGGTCGAATATATAATAAGCCAGACGCCATCCCACGCCCATCCCAAAGAAATAAAAAGGGGAGAGAAAAAAATGCGTGCGTGTTTTAAAGCGCCATATCGACGTCGTCGTCGTCGTCTCTGCTCGGCCGCTGCTCGGCTGGCTCTTCGTCCACCAGCCTGCTGCGAGACCGCGAGGCATGTATGACCATCGGCGGACGGGGGGACAGCTCGTTCACGTTCTGCTCGCCTACGTCAACCATCGATTCCTCCCGCGAGCGTTCTGGTGTTCCGTTCTGGCGTACTTGCATCTCCTTTAGCGTCCGCTGGTTCACAACTTGGCCGTCTTCCTTTGCCTTCTCCTTTGCCCGTTTCTCTTTGAATTTTCCATATGTGGTTGTCTTCGGTATCACGTCCGATAGGAATTCAAGGTTGTCGATACGCGAGACAGCAGTGGCTGAGCATAGTCTATTAGCGTTTATCTTATAGTATAGGCATTCGCGAGGGACGTACCTATATCGGCGTATCGCAGATTCTTCAGGTTATTGGACTTGACCACGTTATATCCTTGCTCTGTGAGATACTGAACGAACATCTCCTATATAATGCAACAGTATATGTTAGCCCACACCAAGGCCGAATTTGTTTCCCACTCTCTGCTCCCTCCTCCTCCTTGGGGTCTTACAGTCGCCACAGCGATAAGGAAGGTCGCGTTCGTCGAGCATTGTACTATATCCTCGTCCGCTCGAATGATTCGTTTTATCCTGGCCACTGTAGATATTTCCTGTTAGTATTAGGTACCTTAACCTGTAAAACGCATTGTACATACACGGCAGGGATGAGTGGCCAGTTGCTTCGCCTGAGGGTTCTCGGGCGGCTTTGGCAGGCGGCATTCTCGACTTGACTGTAGCTGCGACAAGGACACTGTAAATGAAAAAAAACTGTTTCAATGGTCTATCGCTGCGTAGCTATCCTCAAATTGATGTCTCCGGCCCCTTGTTGGTGTGCTCGGAAGTAGTTGGTCATTTGTTTAACGCTGCAGCTTAGTCGATCTTAACATTTAACAAGCGACAGCCGCCCTTTTTGCGCTTTCTTGGCCAAGAACGGCAGCGAGAGTCAAGAAAGGAACTAAACAACTATCCACTGCGGCCTTGCGACGCCTTCAGCCCCAGCTCCGCGCCTACACCAAGCTGCATTTCTCGACGGTATTCCTTTTTCCCTACCCGGCAGACCTTTGACGATCCTCGACGAAGTGAATAATCCTCCGTTCCCGCCGTTCTTTTGACGCCTGGTTGCTGGGTTGTGTCGGCAGGCGTATGGTCATAGTTATGATACCCAGCATATAGATCGGTGTCATGAACCCAGGACACCTCTCCTCGTCCTCGTCCGCCGGTCCAAGATCGCAGAACCGTCTCTCGAGCGCTTCTAGATCATCTGATCTCCATGCACGGCGGACGTCGAGCTACTCCCTTCACTCTCACGACCATGCGCAGACGGCTGGCGGAGCTGCTGCTTCTACGGGCGTAGACATCAGGCAGACGGCTATAACAGAGGAAATCAGCGAAATAAAACGATATGAGGACTTTACTACAATTGACTGGGTCCAGGATGCTGTTCAGGAGCAGGCTCGTCGGCGCATATGGAGGACTAAGGGAGCTCGGTTCTGGGACCAAGAAGGTGCCTTTGGATGGAGACGGAAGCTCGACGAAGCTTACGATGCAGGCCAGGCGTGGCTAGTGATGACCATTGTTGGTGTGGCCATTGGTCTTAATGCTGGGTTTCTGAATATTGTCACCGAGTGGCTGGCAGACGTGAAGCTTGGGTACTGTACCACGGGATTTTACCTGAACGAGGCCTTTTGCTGCTGGGGCGCAGATGACGGTAGGCAGCTCCTTTAGGCACATGAGATACCTATAAATCCTTAACTGACTATATATTTATCAAGGCTGCCCCGAGTGGAAGCGATGGAGTTCTTTCTCTCTCTTCAATTACATTGTCTACTTCATGTTTGCGGTACGACTTATCCCTACCGGCTTGCTAACGTACTTCAGATAAGGGTCTAACGTCTTTTTTTTTAGATTCTTTTTGCTTTCAGCTCTGCAGGGCTCGTCAATGCATTTGCCCCATATGCTGCGGGTTCTGGTATATCCGAAATCAAAGTCATCATCGCGGGGTTCATCATGAAAGGTTTCCTTGGTGCTCGAACTCTAGTGATAAAGTCGCTTGCTCTACCTCTGTCCATTGGTTCTGGCCTTGCAATTGGTAAAGAAGGGCCTAGTGTTCACTTTGCTGTCTGTACAGGCAATGTTATATCTCGTTGGTTCAGCAAGTATAAACGAAACGCCGCCAAAACCAGAGAGATTTTGACTGTGACTTCTGCTGCGGGTGTCGCAGTTGCTTTTGGAAGCCCCATCGGCGGAGTGCTGTTCTCTCTTGAGGTGCGTTAACAATTCACACTATCCATTCTGACTCTTATCACTCACCAATGTTATAGGAGATGGCATCTTACTTCCCGCTGAAAACTCTCTGGAGAAGTTACTTCTGTGCTTTAGTAGCGACTGGTGTCCTTGCTGTACGTCATACATTAAACTGCCATCTATTAGTACTAACAAGAATCTAGATAATAAATCCATTCAGAACGGGACAGTTAGTCATGTTTCAGGTTCAGTATGATAGATCATGGCACTCATTCGAAATTATCTTCTTCATTATCCTTGGAGTTTTTGGTGGCTTGTATGGCGCATTTGTCATGAAGTGGAATCTGCGAGCACAAGCATTTAGGAAGAAATATCTTTCGAAACATCCAATCATTGAGGCCACGGCCCTAGCAGGTCTTACGGCTTTGGTTTGCTATCCAAACATGTTCTTGAGGATCAACATGACCGAGATGATGGAGATTCTCTTTCGGGAGTGCGAAGGGCCACATGATTACAACGGGATTTGCCAGTAAGTATCTTCGAATCCCTTGCTCTAAGGTCATACTGACTCGTTTTATAGAGCTAAGAACCGCTGGTCGATGGTCTTTTCTCTCCTAGGAGCGACTATTCTACGCATATTCTTCGTTATCATATCCTATGGATGCAAAGTTCCTGCTGGTATCTTCGTGCCGTCTATGGCCGTTGGAGCCTCGTTCGGCAGGATGGTTGGAATCCTTGTCCAAGCTCTCCACCAACGGTTTCCGGACTCACAGTTTTTTGCATCTTGTGAGCCTGATGTTCCATGTATTACTCCGGGAACCTATGCGCTTCTTGGGGCCGGCGCTGCTCTAAGCGGGATAATGCACTTGACCATATCAGTGACGGTTATCATGTATGAACTGACAGGTGCATTGACTTACATTCTCCCTACAATGGTAAGATCTGAAAATATTAACTATGTATCTAATCTCGTTGGTAATACATCTGCTAATATAGTGTTATTCGAACAGATTGTGGTTGGAGTAACAAAGGCAGTTAGTGATCACTTTGGTAAAGGAGGCATTGCTGACCGCATGATCTGGTTCAATGGGTTCCCATTCCTTGATAGCAAGGAAGAACACATTTTTAACGTACCAGTTTCTCACGCCATGACAAGCAACCCGATTGTATTTACCGAGGCAGGACTTTCGATCAATAAGGCCGAACAGATGCTTCAAAAGCATAAGTTTCAGGGTTTCCCTATTGTCCAAGATCTCGACTCAATGACCTTAGTCGGCTTCATTGGCCGCACCGAGCTTCAGTTTGCCATAAGACGTGCAAAACGGGAGGGACTCTTAGCACCAAATGCTAGGTGCCAGTTTGTCCGGCAGCGAAACTCAGCCAGCGGTGGCCCTACATCAAGCTCTCCGACCAGCGACCTATTTGGACCTTCTACGCCCTCGTCTTCCTCCCCTCCTCTAGGAAGTGAGTGGGACACAGGCGCAACACCCGTTACATTTGATGATATAGCATCATCCTCTGGAATAAGGGTAATCGATTTGAGCCCATATGTTGATATGGCTCCCATTACCGTCCATCCTCGCCTCGCTCTTGAGACGGTGATGGAAATATTTAAGAAGATGGGCCCTCGGGTTATTCTGGTTGAGCACCGTGGCCACTTATCAGGACTTGTTACCGTGAAAGACTGTTTGAAGTATCAATTCAAAGTGGAACATCAAGAGCATGCGGATGCCAATGCTGCTACAATTGGTGATGCTACTACTGGTATCCATGCTGGTCTTGAGGAAGGAATTGTAGAAAAGAAGGCATGGCAGCTAATTTTATGGGCTACTGGGCTCGCGAAGAAGATTTTCCGAATTAAAGGGGCAAGCACAGGGACAGGCTACACCCAGGTTTCTCAAGAGGAACAACAACGAAGACATGATTCCGTGGAGATAGTTGATGGCACTGAAGACGTGGATACCCATTTCGAGCTAGAAGAGCGGGATCATTAGGGCTGTTATCTTTAATTTTTGGATCTTAATTTTTGTATGTAATGTTAAACTAGCTATGTATGACACGATAGATTTATATTTGTATGCCAACCGCTTTGTAAAACGCCGGATTCGAAGAACACGCCGGGTAATATAGATCTTCTATATATCTTAGTCCTCCTCGAGGGCAATTAGATCATCTTCCTCATCCGAGTTTCTATTTCCAGAAAGTCCTATATCTTCTCCATTCACACTAGGACTGGCTCCAGAAACCTCGTCTTCTTTCTGGTTCTCTCGCAACCCAACGATAATACACCCAGCAGCCATCAGAGCCGCACCGATCAACCACTGGGCATTTACATTTTCTCTAAAAACAAGCATACCCAATACACCTGTGACCAGGAAATTTGCAGTGGTGTTGGTGATGGTCACCTTGGTGGTTGATGGAGATGCAGTCAGGGCGCGAGTAAAAAGCGTCCACATAATAAAATTGGAGAGGAGATTCAGCCCGAAAAAGGCCTGAAAGAGTCAGTCAGTCGGCGAACTAGGCAGCTGTGGCAACCCGTGGTGCTTGGGACAGTATACGTACTGCTCGAACGAGGTACTCCACTGCTACGTCAATGGAAGTGGTCTCCTTTGACGGGGAGAATATGTGCGATATTGCTCGCGAGATGTTGGTAGTAAGCTCGGTCGTAGTTCTACAGCAACGTCAGCAGATAATCATATGTAGTAGTTACAGTAGCTTCAAAAAAGGTCGTCATTGAGTGGTTGGACGTGTGCCACCCGTATCTAGTACGGACAACCAGATGTCGTACATAGTGACGGCATCACCACTGTTAAATGCCAAATACTATCAAAAAGAAACAAACAATGCATAGACCTACAATTTGGCAAAGAGCCCATTCATAGCAGCAAATGCACCACTAGCAAGCGCCAGCATCAGCCATTTCGAATGCTGGCTCATCTTCTCGTCCTTGCGGAGTTCGAGAGGCTCAAGCTCCTCTTTTTCTGGCAGTCCAGAGAGGCCGCCTGTCAATTCTGGTCAGATCCTCACTCTTCAATGATGGATATTAGATGGTCTCATACCCTCGGGGCCATGGACATTCCTTCGTCTCGCCATTTTTCACCCTGTTCCCACCGCTGTTGGCGCCCTTTACCCTGGCTACTCTTGCTTAGTCAAAACTGATACGCGCTCCGTCTTGGAGCAATGTCAAGCACGAGATGTGCCAAGTGGTCTTGGAGCTGGAGATGATTAGCTGGTTATTTAGCTAACTATGTCTTTGCCGCAGCGGCTCGTTGATCATGGGTAGTTAGACGGCTGTGATCTTTTTGATAGGAGGTGTCGTTAAATAGTTAAACAGCCTGTGAGACGCTCGCCTTGGCGTTCTAGTTAAATACCTTCCGCTGGCGAGAGACGACAACTATCCGGCCGTCTACTAGGGGAGCCTGCTATGGAGTATTTACGGGAAAAGTGTAGCTATTGTATGACTTACGAGGTAAGTAGTTGCATAAGGGACTGGTTAAAAAGGGGTATATAAATCTTTAACGGCTATTAAGCCATTTTTACCGTCGTTCGTAGTCGGCGATTTGAATATCAAATGCATCGTAAATCCCACACTCCTTGCTTCACTGACACACCCATTCTTCATATCATCGTTGATCCAACAGGAAGAAGGCATTTATAACCATGAAAAAGAAAAGGAAGATTAAAACGGAAACCCAAGACGGCCCTGGCGGGTTACATCTCCTCCACTGCGCAGTTCGGGTGCAGGACATATACCACTTTAGGCTCATCAGCAGGCTGCTCTCCGCCATCAGTCTCCATCAGCCCGTCTCCTCGGATTTGCATAAGGATGTTATCCTATTTGGTGGCATCATATTAGCTAATGTATACAAGATTGGCATAAACGGCGATAGTAAGCATACCTTGACCATTCTCCTTAATATCTTCGTCACCAAAGACCGTTCTTGCTCAAGCTCTTCTTCATTATTCAGTTCAGACTCGACCTGCTCAAGATAGTGAAGGATGAGGTCCTCTTCTTCAACACCCTCTCCGCTCCGGTTCTCGTCATCATTGACACGGCGTACGAGAACGTTCAGTACACGCATGTATTTATCGTAAGTTATCTTCACTTTATGAGATCGATTCTCACCGGTGCTTTGTGGGGCATCTGTGTTCTGTTGCGTATTATCATCCTCATCCATCATGCTGTGGTCCTCAGTCTCAGGTTGGTTATTTCCTACAGCTGCAGCAAGCTCTTCCTCATCGTCAACGTCAACATCGTCCTTCTCGACAGTAACGATACTCTGCCTTAGCAAATCGTATGCCTCCTTCACAAAGCTGGGGATCACTTCTTCCACACAGTTGGCCTTGGCCACTGCTTCAGATAATCGGATCAAACTCTCCAGCTGTCGGACGGTGATCCTGTAGCTGCTTCTGCCCATACCTCCCTGCGAATCATCCGCTCGGAGCTCTTTGTATTTCTCAACAACTAAAGCCCTAGCCTCTTCGGTAAAGACTGGCCGGAATGTTCGTGCAAACCGGATATATCTCTGTAGCTGCTCAGTGGATAATTCGGGTTTAACAGCTTCATCCCGGTTCATATGAACGTTGACAATATGGTCTGCAAGGTTTCTGTCCACTGTCTCATTAGGGTCATCTCGAATAACGAAGAAGAGGTCAAATCGACTCATAATAGGAGCACTGAAGTTAAGATTTCCTCGCAGGGTCGTCTTGGGATTGTATCTTCCTCCTATAGGGTTGGCAGCAGCCAATATACTTGCTCGTGCGTTAAGAGTTGTATGGATCCCAGCTTTGGCGATTGAAATGGTTTGCTGTTCCATGGCTTCGTGGATAGCAACCTGGTCACTTATGTCCATTTTGTCGAATTCGTCAATCGCACAAATTCCACCCCCGTTCTATGTATGTGTTAGAGATTTTCCGGTTACAAGTGTAGGCGGTGTCAACTAAAACTTACAGCAAGCATCAAAGCTCCAGCTTCAATCGTAAATTCTCCAGTTTCGGGATCTTTAACGACGGCTGCAGTAAGACCGGCGGCAGAAGATGCTTTACCACTGGTATAAACTGCTCGCGGATGCAGCTTACATATGTATCTAGAGGATGGGTTAATGCATGGAATGCGGCATCATAGCATAGAGGCCTGGATATAGACGTACTTCAAAAATTGACTCTTGCTGGTAGACGGATCACCAACAATACAGATATTGATATCACCACGAAGCTGCATCGATTCCTCTACCGTTCGTTTGCTGACTCCACCAATTAATTGCAGAAGTAATCCCTTTTTAATCTGGTGATGACCGTAAATCATGGGAGCAATCGAATCGATTAGTCGGGCATATATGTAGTCGGAATGTACCATCTGCTTCAGATCCTGAACCTCATACGGGGTCAATGAGTGAAGTAGAGCTGTCTGCGCTTCTTCTTCAACATCATCTGGAGCCTCAACCTGGTTCAAGGAAGAAAGAATATTTGGAGATTGGCCTGTGAGGTTCTGGTTTGATGACTGGCCAGGGGTCGACAAGTCGGGGGTCACCATGCATGCAAGGAAAGCCAGGCGATACGTGAGATCTCGCACACCGAGTGATTTCAAACCACTGACACCGCTGCCGCCAACATCACTTCCTCGGAAGTTTCCGTAGTCTCTGGTTGCTTCCGGTCGAACGCCAGGTAAACCCGATTGACTGACGTCGGGAATGACGACAAGCGTTCCAGTGAAAATACATCTTTCACCGGCCTTTGCCCTGTCAACCATCTCTCCACGTAGAATAACGTCCATAGTTCTGGGCATACTTCCGGTGGGTATCTCGTGTGATGATTCCTGCAGCTTTACCTTCTGCCAGTCAACAAACGTACTTTTCCTTATATCCAGCCGCCATCCAACACGATTACCGCACGTAGCATTCGTACATTGGGTAGGTTCCGTAAATTTAAAGCTTTGTTCGATATCCGGGCAAACAGTGTTGCAGTTCCCGCAAATAAATGTCCCCAACGCAAGCTCTGGACGTACTTCAGACGTTCTGGTAACGGTTCCCGATATCGAAGAAAGCATTCCAATCTGTGCCGTTCGCAGTTGTCGAAGCCGTGAAACGAGCGGAAGGTTATAAAACGCTAGGGTGAACACTTTATCGGTTTGTTGGTATCTGGTTTTCCCAGCAAGAGAGTCCGGTTCCGTGCTATCGAGCGCTACGGTTGAAGTTCCGGCCTGTGACGAATGACTTCCGAGCTGTTTATGCGCACGGAAATACTGCGGCTCATATTTTGCAATTAAATTATGCAGTGCTTTTGTAAGGTAGGGCTGAAATCTATAGTACTGGTTGACAATCGCATCGGCTAATACTTGGTTGGAAGTTAGGTGGGTGAAGTCGACGTAGAGGGTAGACAGCTGTAGCTTTTGCATTCCGTGGATCTGGGAGATATAGTATTTATCACTGAGCATCTCTGATGATGTAGGAGGGGCGCCAGATGACATGGGGTCTTCGATGTGTGTTTCCAGCAGCTCCTCAAAGGCTTGCTGCACCTTTTCGCCAGCTACATCGCGGACGGGGGGAGCTCCTGCGCCGTACATAGGGTGTCGGGGACGCCGGGAAGACCTGCTCCCAGGGCCAACGAGCTGATCATCAGCAAACTCTGGTGCTTCGCTCATGGGTGCATTGCTCTCTGAGGCCAGCGGGAGGCGGGAGCTCGTTGGCGGGGGGTCGGACCGCTGAGAGCTATCCAGCATTGGGCCGCCATCCGCCTCGGAGGTCATAAGTTGATCTAGGATTGACGACATGGCAAATGTCTCATTGGCATTAACATAAAAAAAGGGAAGTAAATGACAGCAACAGCAGGCGTTGTCGGTATTCTTCAGTCGTTCGCTTCTCTCCCTCTTTTTTTCTTGTTGTCGAAAGTTGAAGTTTTGATAAGGAAAAAAACGTCGCGTCAAGTTCGCGCCTACGCGTAAAGTGGTTTTTACCACGTGATATAAATATGACCGCTGGACGAGATGGGAGCAGCAAACAATTAGACATGACAGACAGTAACAATGCGATTCAATATTAACGATGCTTGATAAAAGAGATGAAAACGGACTCAATTGCTGGTCTAGTTACGTGGTCGTTGACTCATGATCGTAAACTGCATAAGAGGCATCAGCATCTTGGTATGGTTGGTGCAGCCGGGACAATGGGCATTCATTATATCCATCCGCTGTACCGGACTGGAAGCTCGTTCAAGATGCCTTCAGAACCGTAGCCGACTCCAAGAAGACGGACTCTTTCGATCTTGCCGCCAAAATCATCCTCGACGGTGCTATGCCAGTCTTTTAGGTGCGTGCAGACGTCGTTGTAGACATCTTGGTCATCTATCATAAGCAAGGCGATTGCATCGTAGCCTCCTGCACCGGGAACAACACCGCCAATAACGCCATCCAGTTTGCCCAGAGAATCCAAAAGCTCGGTCTGTACCATTGGTTCAACGGGCACTTCACTCTTCTTCGTCATTGTCTTAATCCACATCCTTGACTTGAGCAGCAAGTTGCGTAGCTCGTTGAAGTCTGCCCCCGGACTGTGCAGCAGTTTCTTCAGTTCAAGTCGTATCTTCTCGTTGTTTAGCTGTAAGTTAGCCCATATGATGTCCGCTTCCTCGCGGTTTTCGTCTCGCCAGCGAAGGAGCTTCTTCACCATGCCTGGAGTCTGGGAGCCACAGTCAACATCGCAGAGAACCATTCGTATACCCATGGGGAGCTTGAACCCGATATCATGGCACTCGGCATCCCATGGTGCACTTGCATCGACATCTTCGACAATAGCAAACAGGCGATCCTCAAAGTTGGGTGAGCCGGGTTCACCCAAGTTAGCAAGCACGGACGGAGAGAACCGTCTATAGTAGCACGATCCGTAAACAGCAGCAGCAACATCGAAACCAGAGCCAATCTTCCCCTGTGCAGCGCAGTGTGCAGCCTGAGCCAAGTTATGTAGCTTTGCTCTGTTTTGGGAGAGCTTTTCGGGTTGCACGGTCCGATGCACGACGAGCGCGGAAACTAAAGCGGTTACCAGTGCGGCAGACGAGCCTAGGCCTGTTTTATGTGCATCCTGCAACCGGACACCAAACTTCTTGAAGCCTGCATAGCTGCTGTCGGATGTACTGCTCGCCGTAGTTTCAGAGTAGTAGTCGTCATCCGCAAGAATGGTCACGACAAGAGATCCAATATTCTGAGAGGCAGAGACATAGCTCACGTAGGTAAGAGCGTAATTTAAAGATGTCTCAACGAATGGATTTCGGGGCCTGTCATTTTCACGAGGTGATTAGCTACATTGATTCGTCGTCCGTATTAAGATGAACGGGCACCGGGTTTATGAAACAGCCGGGCAGACAAGGGAACAAGAGGAGGAAAAGGCAGAGGAGGGGGATATCGACGAACCCGTCATCACACTGCACGGCCCTGACGCCGCCTCCGTTGTCAGATCGTTGGATCTTGTACTTCCATACGGCATCAACAAACTGCGGCGACTTGACGATGACAGTATCTTGCACCGCTTCTTCCTGCGCCCCGCCGTTGACGATGGCCGGTGGGTTTTCAGCTGATCCTGAGCTGCCGTCCGCTGCTGCCTGACCGCCGCTCAGCTGTGAAGGAGCTTCTGTTTGCGTATCCGTGGCGGACGGCCGTCTCTTCACACTCTGTTGTTGCACCACCACATGGATCCTGGCATCCAGGGCACAAACAGTCCCCGTGTAGTCCCTGTCCAGCACCAGGTACCCTCCCGCAAGCAGCACCTTTCCGGGCGCCGATACGGCCGTCTCGGTCGCAGCCTGTCGTTGCTCTATCATCTTCGCGGTGTGTGCAGCCCTTGTGCTGACGGCTGCGAACGATACTACTCTCTGGCGGGCGAGCTCGAGGTGGCGGGACGCAGCTTCGGCGGGTGAGAGGACAACGGATCTGCTGTGGCTGAGGCCTGACCCAGCATCGTCCATCTAAGCTTCTTAAGCCGTCTTTGCTTCTGCAGGCTTGCCCTAGTCTCGCGCGCTCGCGGTGGCTCGTATACGATGCGATGTGGCTGTTCACAGCTGGATCCCCTGGCGAGGCGCTGGCTCAGGGGGCGCAATTGCTGGTTCCTGACTCGCCGGCAAGAGATTAAGTATGGGGATGGAAATTAGTGGAAAGGGCTCGGATTGGGCCCCTTTTCCTTCATCGTGAGACGGAGACGGAGATATGTCTTGACTGGCTCCCTTAGTTCATTAGTTACACCTAGCGATGAGACTGTTCGTGTTGTAGCTGGAGAGAAATAACTACAAAGGACGTCGAAGTTTTCCCCTTTTGGCGATTTCGACGACTTTCTCTCTCTCCCTCTATTTCTCTGTCTCTCTTCAAATACAACGACGAACAGCAGACACAATCTCGATAGCGAACCAGTCAATTAACTAGTTACTTGGTCAGTCGGTCAAAAGGGACCTGCGCGACAAACCGTTGGATAAAGGATGCGTAAGAAGCTTGTCGTTCCTTGGAAAAGTCTTGTCGTTGCTTGTCGTCTTTCTAGCCTGCTAACGGGAGAGCAGATCACTATCGCAGCCAAGCAAGGTCGCTGGCCTGGTACGATGCCGAAGGAGACGCTCCGAGCCACAATCCGTTTGGAAGAACGAGGTCTCGTCCGGAGAGGACGCTGTCGTCGAGCCTGGAAGCAGGCGACGGCAATAACAACAACTACACGGCCGGAAAGGCAGAGACTACGCCTAATGCAGCGCCCCTGACCATTGGGACCGACGGCTTCCAGGCTGGAACCGAGCCTGTTACGAGCACCGAGCCTCTCAGTCGCGGTGCTGGAGATGTCCAGGACGGCGAGAACGGCGCCCCGAGAGGTTCGGAGGGCTCAGAGTCGATGAACAAGCAGCAGCAGACCAGCCCTGAAGCAGATGCGCCAACCGCTGCGCACCCAAAGCAGTTTACCATTGCTGGCCAGTTGAGAGCTACTTTGTTCAGCTCGTGGATCAATATCCTCTTGTTTGCTGCTCCTGCTGGAAGTACGTTGTTCAATCCTTGAGACCAGGGGAGGCGGCCAAATGATATTTATATATACTGACGGCCTGGAAGTTATTATGTATTATCTCAAGGTCAACGCGGTCGCCGTCTTTGTGGTCAACTTCATTGCGATAGTGTAAGATATGGGCTTGTTACACTTTGAAGAAGACCGCAGATCAGAAATGCTGACAGTTTGGATAGACCACTTGCTGCAATGCTTAGTTATGGAACCGAGGAAATTGCCATGAGGTATGTATACCCCTGAAGGCTGCATCAATTCATCTCTAACAATCGCCTTGCAGAACCGGAGAGACTGTCGGCGGACTTCTTAATGCCACCTTTGGGTAAGTGCTCTGCCAGCGGAATGCCACTCAATACTTTGCTAACTGTGACTTTAGTAACGCTGTTGAACTCATTGTATCCATTCTTGCGCTATTCAAGAACGAGATTGTCATTGTGCAGACTTCCCTGATCGGAAGTATACTGTCCAACCTGTTGCTGGTTATGGGCATGTCCTTTTTCGTTGGAGGCGTGACCCGTATCGAGCAGAATTTCAATGTGACAGTAGCTCAGACAGCCTCCAGTCTACTCGCGTTGGCCGTCGGCAGTCTCATCATCCCCACGGCCTTCCACACCTGGTCAGGAAGTATGCTAGGACTTTCTCAGCTTTATAACGGTTTCATTTTTATTTGCTAACCAATTATATCAACTAGATGGCGAGGCAGGCATTGCGGAGATTTCCAGAGGTCAGTATATATATACCACATCAAAGGAGGGTAACCACCTAGGTAATATTAACTAACCATCATGTAGGTACCAGTGTGATCTTGCTGGTTGTGTACGGAGCCTATCTGTTCTTCCAGCTCAAGTCCCATGCTTCCATCTTCAACACACCAAGCGAGAAGGTAGAAAAGCGATCAAAGTCCAAGAAGGTCGAGGATGGCGATGCTTCCAAGGGCATCGCTCAAATTGGAGCTGGGTTTGCGGCTACCATGGGCGGACAAAACGCCCAGCAGAACCCAGTGGTGGTCCCCGATGAGGAAGAGGAACCCCAGCTCAGCATATACGTTGCTGTCTTTACTCTCTGCGCTTCCACCGCTCTGGTCGCCCTTTGTGCAGAGGCAATGGTGCGTATTATACCTATCTATCATACTGCTGCAATTGCTTGCTTTTGCACAAGATGGTGTTCTCCCGCTCATCAGATCCGAAAATAGGTTTCTTCGATTGATGCAATCACTGAATCTGGTGGAATTTCGGAAACGTTCGTCGGTTTGATCTTGCTTCCTATCGTTGGAAACGCGGCAGAGCACGCTACTGCTGTCACCGTGGCGGCGAAGGACAAGATGGATCTCTCGATCGGGGTTGCTGTCGGCTCAAGCATGCAGATAGCCCTACTTGTGCTACCGCTTCTTGTAGTCATCGGTTGGATTGCCGGTATGTACATGAACTGTTTTTATTACACCCCATATCTCCATATATGTGTATGAAGCTCTCGACTAACCATAAGTTACCCCATTATAGGAAAGGATGACATGGTAATAAAACCTAGAGTCCAGCGGATGCCCTTTTTTTTTTGCATCCCGCCTACTCGTATGACCTATGCTAACACAAGACTAGACTCTTTATTTTGACGGATTCCAAGTCACAGTGCTCTTCGTCACCGTTCTTTTGGTATGTATCATGCCTCATGGGCCAAACAACATTACTACTCGTTAGGTCACTGAACTGACCAAACCGTGCAATAGGTCAACTACCTTATCCAAGACGGAAAGTCACACTGGTTAGAAGGAGTCCAACTCATGACCCTCTACATCATCATCTCAGTTGCTGCATGGTGAGTGATCGGTTCCTCCCCCTTGTCCCTGTCTCCCGCCGGGCCCCTTGCGTGGTGTATGTGCGTACATACATAAGTATAGCTGACACTAGATCGATCCTGCAGGTTCTACCCATCCCGCAGCGAGAAGATGCACGGGATGTAGACATCGATCACCTCCATGACATCTGCCGATTCATGTCTTTCTTCTTCCCTTTTTTCACGTTCTTTCTACTTCATACGTTATCAAACCCGCTATTGTCACACCATGTTGCGGCTGGTAACTTGCCTCCTTTATCTGCTTCCTTTCCTGTGATTGATACCCTTGGCTATTTAACTACCTTTCACCCTTTCTTTTTTGCCCTTTCTCTAATAGAGTCACTGTGTAACTTCATCTAATCAGCCTAACTACCTACGCAATATAACAAAGAGAGAGAAAGAGAAACAATGACCGTAATAAAAAAAAACCGCCGAAACGTCGAGGCGTCTTGCAACTTTGCAAAACCTGCCGGGCCGCGCCTCATCGTCAACTGACAACGAAAAGCAAGAGAGGAAAAAAGAAAGAAAGAAAGAGCTCGCCGTCGGAAAGCAAGTAAAATAGAATAAAATAAAATAGCAAACCAGCCTGACCGTCGCCCCTTGAGTCTGTCTTTTGCAACCTTCATCCCCCCGGATGCGCGCTGACCGAACCCGCCGCAGATAGGCTATCCAGCGATCCAGCAGAAGAAAGCCAGGCAGACGCAACATGCTTAAGCATAACAGGTTATAACTATAACTATAAGCATAAGCATAAGCAGGGCCGATCGGATCGACAGTGTATAGCGTGTTATCTCTCGGTTCAAGAGGCTTGATCTCCCGACCAGCAACGCTTCCCCGGCGCAAGTGCTAAGTCTTAAATCAACAGGCGATGCAACCAGCGAACCAGCTAACCGACTAGCTGTCTCGTTATCCGTCAACCAAACGTCTGACTACCAAGACGGGAGACATGAAGCCAGCGATGCCGAAAGTCCAGCCCGAGCCCGAGTCGAAACTTCCTGGCGTTTCTTCCAGTGAAGTTTTCCGGTCAAGTCAGGCCAGTTGGCATCCCGGACCGGGTCCTGGCTGGCTTTCTGGTCGGCGACGGCGACGGCGACGGCGATGACACTTCTGCCTGCCTTTTTGTCTGTCCGTCTGTCTGCCTGGCTGGCTAGGCTAGGCTAGGAATATACGGACGGCTCCGCACCGAGACAGGGTCTGTATGTTTCTCTGCTGGCCTGGCATGGTATCTCCCGATGAGCCTACAAGTTTACCCCTGGAGGAGCGACCTGGTTGCGTGAAAATAAATGGACGGCGGACGGCCCGAGTGAGTGCGGCCAAAGATCAAAGCGCAGAGGAAGGGGGTGGATGAGGATGATGCATACGGCCATGCGAAGTGCCGTGATACCTACATGGATGCTCTTCATGCCGCTAGGGCTAACTAGTTGGTTCAAGGGATCGATCAATCAGGGCTATCACTGCTGCCAAACTGCTTGCATGATTGTCGACAAGCTTGAGCTTAGCTACGGCCGGGTCATGTCCGTTCTCGCTCGAGTCCGGAGAAGGAGCTTTTTCGGCCAGCCTGAGGCTAGAGAAAGGATGATGAGAGTCGGTGAAGATGATTGACATGTGTTTAGTATTTATCTTTATTTTTTTTGCATTATTTATTTAGCTATTCATATTTTTTGCTTAACTAGCTAGATACCTCTCTTCCTTTACCGTGCTCCGCTACCGTGGGAGCGTCGGAGAGTAAGTAGGGCGTGAGACAGAAACGTAATAGAAACATCCCATCCATTCAGTCGTTAGGAAAAGGCCTTGGAAAGGGAAGAAAAAGAAAGGAAAAGGCGAAACATGACAATGAGATCCGATAAACATCATACAGTGGGCTTCGTGGTTCCCTTTGAACTGAAAAAAAGAAGAGGATAACAAGACAGCCAACATTAGAAGCCATATCCATGCCCGGGTACAAATGCCTGAGTGAAGAAAAGACGAAAAAACGGAGAAAAGAAAGGAAAAGAAAAAATGAAACCGATGCTGATCCATATCCAGCTCCTTGCTTGACCCAGTTCCCTGTTCCGATTCATAGAATTTGCTCCATCGAAAAGATGACGTAGCTGTATGTGAAAAAAGAGAGAGATGTAGAAAACAATGATATCAGACGCGAGATGCGATGCAGTGGGGATGATGAATACATGGAGATAAAGTAAGGGGAGAAGAGAGAGCGAGTGAGTGAAGAATAGGAGCGGGGAGAGAGAGAGAGAGAGAGAGAGAGAGAGAGAGAGAGAGAGAGAGAGAGTGTGTGTGTGTGTGTGTGTGTGTGTGTGTGTGACGTAGAGGAGAGATGTAGTGGTGGATTGATTAATGGGTATATTCGCTCCAGATCAGGCCTAGCCATCCGTTTGCGTTGGTGCTGGTGTTGGCAGCAGTGCTGTAGCCGTTGCCAGCTGTCTGATACTGGCCGTTCATGTTCGACAGTGAAGCTGGAGACGGAGGACCGTTGGGCGTAGGTACCACTGTAGACCACTTGTCCAAGCTATCAGCCTCGATGAAGGCAAGGACGTCTTCTCCGTTCAGGCTGCTCATCCAGAGCGGGTTGGTGTTCATAGCATCATAGGAATTATACGGCGAGACATGTCTAGACGACTGCTGCTGTTGGTATTGTTGTTGGTGTTGGTGGTGTGGTTGCTGCTGCTGCTGCTGCTGCTGAGTGAGCGGTGGCGCCAGGAAAGAGCCTAGATCGAGTCTCGACTGGGAAAGGGGAGGAGTTCGGTTGCTTGAGCCAGGAGCTGCTGTATGACTATGCTGCGCTGGTCCAGACCCGGGACCATGCCCATGCCCATGACCTCCAAGTGCTTGGCCGCCGTGGGTTAGACTCGGCTGGAGAGGAGGTAAGGGGAAGTTCTGCTGGGCGGCCAGATTCAGGGAGGGAAGTGACTGGGTGTATGGCGGAGGAGGGGGAGGAGGAGGCTGGCGGGATGTTGGCCAGGGCTGGACGGCCTGCAGGCGGTGGTTTGAGTTAGAGTTGGATGGCGAAGGAGTCGCAGGGAAGTATGGCGAGGAGGCTGCGGTGGTGGGTGCAGTGACAGCGGACGCGGATGGGACTGGAGGCGGGAGAGTTGTCCCGGCTGAGCTGGGAGGGCTGGTTGGGTGTCCCGAAGAGGCTGTATCGCGGTATGTGCCCTGGAAGGGAGGTAGGCTGTACGGCGAGCCAGAGGATGGGCCTGCCTGATGTTGGGGAGCAGGGAGGATGGGCCACCTGTCGCAGTCGGAGGGCTGTTTCTCGCCGTTCTCCCTGCATCCGTTCGCCATCATCACCATGGTGGATGCAGCGCCGCCAGGAGTAGTGGTCGTGGTTGGATTTGAGACGGGGCCCAGGGAGTGAGACGCAGGGCTGCCGCTGCTGTTGACTGGCACCCATGAGTCTCGCTGCAGACTGCCAGCATGTCCGTCGCTGGCATGGGGACCAGCAGCAGCGGTGTCTGGGCCTTCGCCAGGCTCACTCTTGACAACGTTGCTCGGCGTCTCGCTGCTGTGTTCGACCGGATTCGCAGCCAGCATCGCAGCCATGTCGTCCTCCGACCCGCTCATCTCGGGCGTTTGGTCCTCTGTGTTACCCAGTTCCGTAAGCACCTTGTCCAACTGTCTAAGCTCCTCGTATAGATTGTTCTGGACAATCTGCGAGGCAGAAGCGTGGCGGTTATGGTTATGGTTATGGTTATGGCTGCCGTGCTGCTGTTGAGCACCGCCAATAACCCTGCTACCGTTGCCATAGGGAGATGTTTGTTGCTGCTGTCCGTCGACACCGTTCATCTCCCTCCAGGGACGTCTCTGGTCCCTTTTGGCCTTGCAGAAATACCCATGCAGTCGATGCACAGTTCGGAACCAGCCGACTGCCATCTTCAATCGGGGCCTCATCTCACCGAGAATCTCAATGGATTTCCGTACATCTGCCTGCGCAAGACTGCCTGCGCCCATCATCGTTACTGCAGTACGACCGGGAGAGCCGGCGACACCACCATCAGTTGACTGTGGTTTCAAACACATGTAGCCATCCTGATCCATGTGGTTGAAGTGGGCAGCGTACACACCCATGAATGCAGCGTTGTAGATTGCAAAGCCGACCAGGGGCGTCTCCATCAGCACACCACGTTCATGACAGGTGCGAACGAGTTCCACCATCTGCCTGGCTGCGCGAAACAGTTCGCGAGCGCTGTGCTTCCAGAAGCCGTCGGGCACGCTGTATCTCTCCGGCGGGTATGATGGCTCGTCCAGGGGCCCCTGTGGATCCATGGGCCGGAGCGGAAGAAAAGGCAGGTATGCGCGATGTAAGACAATGACTGAAAGAAAGTAGATTATGTGCATGAGCGCGTATGGAGCGAGAGAGTTTTTATACATAATGTGGGTGTCGGTGTTGCGAGCGCTGTACTGCAGGTTTCTGTACAGTCCTTCCTGGAATTCATGTAGCTGGTCTCTGAGCTGGTTGAATCGGGACTCGTGGTGCCACGGAGGGCACTGGTCAGATCTGTATCCGTTTGTTAGCGCGCATGCATAAAGAAGAGAGAGAGAGATGAGATGAAAAAAGTAATGAAATGGTATATAGGGGCCTGTCATTACCTTCTGCCTCCTTCACACGCCCACTTTGCAACACTGCCCCAGATGCGGATGATCCGAACGAGTCGGCCGAGGACGCACTCCTCGACACCGACTTCCCACCTGTCGATGCGGTCTCCCATTCCATCGCTCCTGTGGCTGGAAATTGGAGGCCAAGGCTTCGACTTGACGTCGTCTGCGTATCCGATCGACTGTCTGAGACTGGGTATCTGTACTCCGTTTGTAGTCGTGGTGGTCGACCCGTTACGAGAATCGTAACTCTGTGACCGCCTGCTGGGTCCGTTGCGGCCGGTGTTGCCGTCACTTAGCAGGGAGGTCCGTACCCGCTCGCCAAAGGCGAAGGCATTCTCGCTGGGGAGCTGGATGCCGATCTCACGCACCCTGAGCATCCTCGGACGCAGCCTGCCGTTGCTCAGACATCTGTCGAGGATAAAACAGCTCCAGAAGGTCCGTCGCCGGGTCTCCTGCTCGATGACGTCGTCTGAGTTGAGCTGCTCCCTGTGCTGGCTCTGCTGGTCGAGTTCGGTATGCATTGACGGCCGTCGGGATGAGTACTGGTAAGAAGGCGTAGAGGTAGAGATGGGCATGGAAGAAGGATAGGGGCTGTCGTCCTCAGTGGGCTCAAAGGAGAGACCCATAGTCTGGGACATCCGGACGGCCATTCCCAGGTAGATCCATGCATTTTTCCCACGACACATCCCCCACTCGTGCAAGGCGAGCATGAGCAGAGCCTGCACGCGGCTGAGGTCGGTGATAGTGATATCTGCGCCATCAGTGCCGGCCAGCCGCGCCCTGAGGACGCTGGCGTAGAACTCCGAGGCGGCTGTTGGGTTGCACGGGCTGACTGGCGACGCAGGAGAATGATGCTGCGCCAGCTGGGGGTGAAACCTGGCCGTCAGGGTCAACACTCCGAGTAGAATCAGAGGGGAAACCTCCGTCCTTGGTGCTGGACTCTGAGACAGATCAGTAGCATGCTGTCCATCTGTAGTGGTGGCAGCAGCAGAAGAAGCGCCGCCATGACCACCATGACGGATCTGCGCCAGAGAGGTAGTCGGATGCAAGAAGGGCAAGACGGTAGCAAAATGCTGCTGGAAGAGATCGAAGAGCGTCTCCCATACTTTAGGGGTGAGAATGGCCGAGTCCAGGACAAGCATGTAGTTCTGCTTCAGCATGGCGTCCTTGGACGAGACGGAAGTGTTGACATGTTTCCGATGTCTCTGTCTCTTGGGATTATCCCATTCACCGTTACTGTGATTGTTGTTGCTGTTATTATTATTGGTGTTGCTGTTGCTGTGATTGTGGTTGTGGTGGTTGTGGCTGCTGCTGCTAGTGGTATCGTCGATGCCGGACGAGGCAGTGATATCACGTTTGACGCCGGCAGAGGAATGGCAGCCGCCGGCAGCAGCTGGAGTTGGATAGGAGCACTCTCTGCCGGAGGACTCGCAAGCTCGACAGGTAGTGTCGATGCCAGCATTAACACATTTGATCTTGCTCCGGCGGCAGCGGGAACAGGCGATGCTGGAGCGCATCTTGGGCGGCAGCACTCTGCTGTGGGCCAGATACGGAGACGTAGTAGATAGGGACCATGCAAGAAGCAGAGGAAGCTTAGAAGCAGCAGTAAGAGTAGCAAGAAGACTAAGCAGAAGTAGTAGTAGAAGAAGAAGAAGAAGTAGAAGTAGAAGTAGAAGCAGGAAGAGCAGAAGAGATGACGGGTATTAAGTCTGGGGGGTGAGCCAGGCCGGCGGCGCGGTGGTGGTGCCTGTGCATGTACTATATAAGTGAAGCCAGCGACTGACGACCCCGTACTAAGTATATCGTCTCTCTCTGTGTCGACGACCTTCGTCCTTGCTAAGTATCCTTATTTTCCGCTGTCGAACGAGCAAGGCGACGAGGGCGTATTAAGTTCGGTTGACTCCGAGAGCCTGGAAGAGCGTCCAGTCGGCTTCTTCTTCTTTTTTGCATCTTTCTGCTCTTGCTTCTGCTTCTTCTCTTTGCTTTTCTTTGCTTCTTCGTCTTCTGCTTCCTCTTTGCTTTTTCTTACTCTAAGTACTTAGTCCTTTTTGAACGGAGTCTGTAAGTATACCTACTTCTTCGTCTTTGGCCGTCTGTCATTTGCAGCGGTTTTGAGGTCGAGGTCCGTAGAGTAGTGTTCAGACGTCTTCTTGCCTTCCTCTCGCCCTCATAATCACTGCCGCTGCTTCTCTACCTCCTGCTTTGCTGCTTCTTTCTTCCCTACCAACTTCCATCAAACTCCGTCAAACTTCGTCTTCTTCTATCAATTTTTTTTTACTACCAAAAGGCGGAATTTTGCAAAATTAAAACCAAAAAAGAAAAGAAAAAAGCTAAAGGCGGCGAAGGGCGGCAGAACAGGGAGTCAAAGTTTGCAAAAAAGGGGCGTGTATTGTAAATACAAACTTTCTGTATTGAAAACGGGCAGAAAGTTTATAGTTTTCAAAGAAGCTGCAAAAAAAAAGAAAACGACGAAGAAGATGAAAAAGATGGAGAAGCAGCAGAAGATGAAGACGACGACGACGGCAGCGATGGTGATAGATAAACAGACGAAGGAGAGACCAGCCGTTGATGCAGTTACGAAGTACGAGGGAGGAGATGCGGAGAATGAGGGGAGATGAGGGGGAAGGGAGCAAGGTATACATACATAGATGGCAGGAGATGGACATCACGCAGAGTGCTGGGTGCTAGAGGTGCCAGGCATCAGATACGCCATACGCCATACGCCATACGGCAGACGGCATGAGGAAGCAGGCGAAGCAGAAGAAGATGATGGTGATAATGCTGACATCTGACAGAGATAGGCTGGCTCCGGGTGGAACGACAAGAAGCCACCGGCTGCATCACGTTTGGCCTTGTACTCTGGGCCGCCCACGGAGCAGCGTATCAGTACCTCGTCTCTCCCTTTCTCAGACAAACGCACGGCGGAAAGGGGGCCAGAGATTCCCATCTCGATCGCTCAAAAAGGCTCGGGATGAGAGTAAGCAGGCTGCCGAACTTCGCCTTCCTGGCGCTACGGCACGCCCTTTTTTGCTTTCTTACCTCTCTCTAGGCGTTAAGCTAGTGCTTCAGTCGAGATCCAAAGGGGAACCGGCAGCCCGTTTGATATTGAGGATTAAACAATTGCCTAATTGACGATATATCCTCGAATTGGCAACCATCATGACGCCGTTTCTTGTCTCTCCGTTTGCACACACACACTATCGTTATCATTATTTGCAGACAGAGATGGGATGCTTGAGGAAGCTCGCTTATGTTCCCGGCACATCTTGCAGCCCAACACAAACAAGACATCTTGTTGTGCCTTTGGTGGATGGATGGACAAGGTCAGGTCACGGCCAGGTCATGGCCAGGTCAGAGATAGAACCCCCATGAACCCGTCGCCGCCGCCGTCGCGCCAGCAACTGCGGAAGGCGTTTCCCGGATGCCGATGCAGCAGCAAGCATGGGAAGCAGCAGGAGGAGAGTATGCGTAACTACATGAATGAATACATACATATGTATACACATACACGCCATCTGGACGGAGCAAGGACATGATATACTATTACATACACTCCCTACAGCCAGCCAGCCAGCCAGTCAGCCAGCTGTGAAGGGGTGGCGCTAGTCACTTCTATCACATCGGTTCACACTTCCCTCGCCTCCGTCATCGTCACTAGCACATACGCTCCTTGACGAGTCAGGCAGGCAGTTAACTATGCTTACTTACATACAGAACAAGTCGCGATATCATCTACCGGCTCGCCTCCAGGGGACGTAAAGATGCATATACGGAGTACGACGGGCTCAAACCACGTGTGCACATTGTTGCAAACTCGCCATCGTCATCTCCCGTCCTGGAGGATGTCTTACAATGAAGGATGTTGCTGTTGCCTACTTACATTTGGTTTAGCGATGCTGATTATGCATTTCGATCCCGACTATGGGGTGACCATCTCTGACTGCGACTCTAGATCTCGCCTATCGGATCGACGGCGATGTTCACGCACTCAAACAGAAGACAGCCAGGCAGGCTGAAAGAGCTGATCATGATCTCCTCAAACTAGCTGGCTACGCGCACATCCGGATCGCTGCTTAGCGCGGAGAGTGAGGAAAAAAGCATGTACGGCCAAACATGTTGTATAACTATCCACCATCTCTCGACCTTCTTACATGAACACATCAGAGTAACTAAATAACTCATGACGAGGTGAAAAAAAAAAAGAAAGAAAAGCATCAGGCCATTTTGTTAAACCAACGCCGACATCAACTAGTTGGCACATCCCGTCGAGCTCCGTTGGCCAAGTCGGAAGTCGAAGGGCAGGCAGGCAGTAACTAAAACATTTCTGTCTGTCTGTCTGCCTATCTGGAGGCGGACGCTTTATTCCCTGGCGACTGACTACTAGACGCTGACCCCTGGAGGTCATGGATACAGGCCGTGCTGTATAGTATATCTATTTGGTCCACGACTGGCCGCCACAACAAGACTACTCACTTCGACCTTCCGCTTGAGACCTAAGCCGTTGGAGCTCGAGTTGAACGATGGGAACTTGGGGCCTTGGGGGATTTGGGACTCCGCGGGGAGCAACTGGGCCGCAGGGCCGTCGGACCGCTTCTCCTACCCTATGATACTTACGTTGAGCGAAGTACATACATACACAGCCATACTCCGTACAGAGAGATCTTGTCGACTCGGCCACTTATGCACGGCGATTACACACCAAGGGAGCCACACCAGAGAGAAAGGCCTTCTGCTTTCTTTTTCCTTGTCTTTTCTTTTTCGCACTTGTAGTTATTTCGTTCTCGGCCCTGACTTGGCCATGTCTTGCTCCTGTCCCCTCGTCCCGTTCGGCGCACAGAAGCCGTTCGACTTGACTAGTTGCCTGCTCCGGCTTGTCCATCTCATCCCGAATCACTCCACCCTCCGTCACTATCTCTCCCGGGTTTGAGCGTTGGGCTCTTCAGAAAAAGCCCTTCTAGTCACACGCAGCAAATAAAAAAGAATCCTCCGTCTCTTTCGAAATATCCCGCATCCCGCAAGGAAGATAAACTCGCCTCTGCTACGCGGACGAAGTACGGGCAACTAACTAACTGCACAACTTTGCCTGCGCGGGAAGACCGGGGATATTTTAAATTCAATGTCAAACTAGTTAACCCTCTTCTCCCCCATCCCTTGCTCGCTGCACTCACCCGTATCATCCGCTGGTATGGTAAAGCTTCTAGAAATGGAAAAAGAGAGAAAGGGAAAGAGATTCAATCTTCCCACGTCGATGGAAGTATAACCATAAGTCCTCTGGCATATCATCGTCGAAGCGCCAGTGTGGAACCCCCCAGGGACAAGGGAGGCTGTCGATACTCTTCCTTTTGCCCGGCCATCTGTCCGCTGGTTATGCTTCTATGACAACAACTCCCTCAGGCACTCCCGTAAGCATTATATAATTGCTGCTCTGCATGTGAGTCTCTCGCTCTTGAACCCCCTTTTCTCCACGGCGGGAACTTTGCTCGTCCTTCGTCCACCAACGCTCAAAGTATATAGCAATATCTTCAGCCTGTGCTTGCTTCCTTCCCCTGGCCCTGCCCTGCAGCGAAGAGGAAGACAAAAAGAGAGACAGACTCCCACCTTTTCGGCAATCAAGCAGGGTATTATGTAAACTCTGCATTCCCGTTCCTGGTAAACCAGCCAAACCAGTCAGCCAAACAGCAGCCCGTCAGGCCAAAGCAAACAAGCAAGTACAGCGGTCGACCAGCTTTAACCATCGCGGCGGTCCTCTTATCGCCCATATCTCTGCTCTGGACATATTGCGTATGCTCAGCCTGCGCTCAGATATAGATCAACATGATCTTCTCCCGCAGCAAAGACTTAATTTTAACCTGTCAACGTCTCGTTTGCTCCCGTTCGACTGTATGATTCGGCTGCTCTCCGCACATGCAGTTCTCCTCAATCACAGCCGCTCTTGATCAAACTCTCCAACTGAACCAAACTACCAATCTAACCTCCCCAAGCGAGCCAGCACGGAAATAGCTTCCATCCCGTTAGTTGCAGCAAAGCAAGCCTGTCCCCCGACTCTTTCGCTTTCTTCCATATCCCCGAGTCTTGCCGGCTGGCCTGCGCCTACCTCTATTCTTCAGACACACTCCGTATGTGTATCGCTGGTCAACGGCTCGCCTCCCAGCCGCCCCAACCGCTTCTTCGGCGTACTAATGTACGGAGTAATAATAGCAAAGCTACCCAATAAATGTCCACCTGAATCGGACGAACAAATTAAAATCTCTGTTCCGCTGACGACATGCTGATGGCCGGCTGGCCTGCAACTGGGTAGGTAAGTAAGGGGGGACACGCCAATGTTCGTATTCAATGTCGACTTTTGCAAGTTTATTCAGGGAACGAACCATGACAAGTCAGCGGCCAGTTAACTAACTAGCAGGTTAACTAGTCAAACGGCTGGTAGATGGTAAAGTATCTAAAGCAAAATATCCGGTCTCCAGCTTTTCTGGCGCGGAGAATAACATACGTATAGCCTGCCTGTCGAAGTCGCCGTGCTGCTGACCCCATCATCGGCTGCAGCTGGTAACTATACTAAATTAACTAACTAGCTCATTCATCCCGTCATCCAAGATCTGACATCTTGGACGGGAAGACGTTTTCCTTCCCATATTCGCCTATTTTTAGGCCTGTGTTGCCTGGAAACGATGTCAGTACTGTCACTAACACTGCCTGGCTGGCAAACGAACTCGACCTAACTATATGGTTCGGATCCCCTTCATTAACTGCTCCAGTCAGGCGGGTCGTTTGTTATCTTGATCTCTGGCTGGCGCCCTTGCTCGCACGGCAAGGTGCATGCTGCAGCAACTCGGCAACTCACTAAGCAGCCACCCAGCTCACTAGCTAGTTAGTTGACTGCAGAGAGCGAGCAGGCTTAGTTAATCAGGGCAGAGTCTCCTCCAACTTATCAGGGTAAGATCTGTCTGTACTTATACTTAGTATGTATGGAGTAGGCCTGCAGGTATCTCTCTGTCGAAATTTTGATATCCAATCCACCCGCATTTCAAGGGATCTCAAAACAGGCGGCCATCCAACGAATAGGATTACAAGGCGGCCATGATCTCCTGCATGAATCCCTTCTCCTTTGCTTTTTTCTTTTCTCTGTGCGTTTTTTCAGTTACAATACAGGATAACTAACTAACCAAAGTGGCTTTCTTTCTTGCTTTTGCTGCCGAAGCCCGATCCGATTGAGATTCTGATACTCGATGTAACAGTGAGATGAAAGTTGAATGAATAATGAACGAACCACCCTACAAAGGCACTGAACAGAGAGAAAGAAAAGAAAAGAAAGAGAAAAAGAAAACTCAGAGAGTTGCATGAAGAGGAAGAAGGGTTCGTACAGGGGAAGCAGCCTCTTCCTTTCATCAAGACTGAAACACGCAGTCCTTTGCTGCGTTTGCAAGGCTGGGATTCGAATGCGGAAGGAAGGAAGATTCCGCCCATCAATCAAGCTCTCTGCTGGTTGCACATTCATATGGCGCTGATAATGCCTAATACTGCGGGTTCGTATTTGCGCGAGTTTAGCTATTATGGGGGTTCTCGGTTTCCTTATCTAGTTACAGCGAATTAACTAGTTATGTATGTGAGTGTCAATCAGTTGGATTGAGCATTGAGAACTGTGGATAGATAGCTGCCTACGGAGTACGTCTACCAAAACATCTCCATGCCTCAACACGAAGCCTGGGCATCAAACATCGACACAGCTCTTGGATTCTTAACCCTCAACGCAACCTTCTTTTCTTCTTCTTCGACTTGCTTGGCTCTTGTTTATGTGCATGAAATGCTCCAGGGCGCATTTTAGCCTCATGAAAAAATAATTCACCGGCCTTCAAGAATGGACAATAAATCTGGTGTTAACGGCGGCAGGCGGTCGACATCCGAGATCATCATCCACTGCAAAGGGCGCTACCTGGCTCTCTTTTAGCAGAGACAGCGCATGTGTAAGTACCCTATGGCAGGGCGGAGGCAAGCGACATGAGGGTATCAAAAAAAAGGGGTGGCGGCGAACAAGACGAATATGGTGATAATAATAGCAAGGACGGCACAGCGGAAATTCTGTACAGAGCTTTACAAACGCTCTGAGATGCTGCAAATGAACTCATCGATGTCTAAATATATGTGCTGGGATAGCAAACGAGACAAGAGCAGAGTTGGAGGTCCGTAAGTAGTGAGATAGATGATTGTCGCGGGAAAAGTCGTCGATATAGATATCTAGTCAGTTGGTCAACCACGGATACAGAACAGCTACAAAGGACAAGGCAGCTTTTGCTAGCTACGTCAGTCAGTAGCTGATAAGGAGATATCAACCTCCATGCATGCCCCCAAGGCCAACACAGGCCATGCTATGGTTGCTCCTGGCTATAGCGTCCGTCGGCGGCCTGAGGAACAGGGAGGTAATCGAGAAGCCAGCGAATCGTATATTTCACCACCCCCTGACTATAATTTTCTTGATAAGGGTTCTCTGCCAGGGTATATTTTTTTCCATTTCTTACTTTCCTCGTTTTCCCTATTTTTGCGATTCTTCGTATGGCTAGGATGCGTTCAAAGCCAGGGGGACGGCGTAGGTAACGCTGTTACAGATCAGGGACCCTCCTTACATATATCGGCTACCTACAGCGGGCGTATATGTGTATGGTGATATACTTCTAGTGTTGGCAATTAAGAAAAACTCCTCTCAAAGAGACTCCATAATACTATTTTGAGTCTTCTTATTGTGGCCGGCGACCTTTTATGTGGCAAAGGAATAGATTCCCGAGTTCTTGTGCAATGGAAATATACCCGTTGGCTGACTCGCCATGAATAATTGCACGCTTTGGGTGGTTGCATGGTAGCTGATCCTCCTCGCAGCCGGGGAGGTTTTGGCTCGCCCCGGGATACACCTACATATTACATCATGAACCTTGGTCAAGGTCTAGGGGTGAAGCTGAGCTGTCCATGTCGAAGCAAGGCAAGCAAGCAGCCAGGCAGGATGATATATGTAAGTATGTAGAGGAGGAGCTGGCCTCTTGACTCTGATCCTCCCTTCTACAGCACATATACATCATTCGTATACCATCAGTATCTCGACCAGCCACAATATAATCAGCCCTTCTTTCCCGATTCCGCGAGCCGACTGTATCCTGGACGGTCCAAAAAAGAGACACCATGGTTGTTCTAGAATGTCATATCAGCATCCATCAGGATCTCCGGGTTCTGTCTCTTATGGGGGATCACCGTCGCCTGTCGTCTAACCGAAGCCGTCTGTCCATCCGATGCACCCATAATACAGACCCAGTAATCCCGACCAGCCACGAGGCCTGGAAGAAGTGTCGATTCTCAGACAGACAAACGGCCGAGCACGGGATAATTAGTCCGTTTGTCTGCTATAGAAGAAGTAAGTATATCAGAAAGTGGAGTGAAGAAGGGATGCTGAGGCCGATACTCCGTACACACCCTTTTTCGGGTATAATTCCGACTGTTTCTTCACACACGGAGCTCCATGTGGGCAGCTTCTCCATAGAATATGCCTGATCAAATGCTTGGGGTGCTTCTGAAGAGAACAAACGGCCTCCTCTACATGTGATAAAAACGCACGCTGTGGCTTTCGATGTCAGCCAAGGGCCGCATGAGACTGACGATGATGGCATCGAGCATGGATTGCTAGGACTCCACGGCTCAGTTGTCACTGTGGATTGGCTGTACGGCTTCGATGAACTGCACCAGGTAGTCGAGACGACTTTTCTCGGCTGCTTCTTTTCTTTCAATCGAATGGGTCTCTTTCAAAAGAAAACATGTACGCCGTATATACCGACTTAACTCCTCCCTCATAGGTTATAGGCGATTATGATGGGTACCAGTTGCAGCGCAAGAAGAGGACAAACGACTCCACCGTCCGGCGCAAACGAACAAACGTCGTGGCCATGGATCAAGGTTGGATTTTCATGTCTCCAGCCCCATTATCTTCATTATTCCTCCCGCCTTTCAAACCAGCCCAGCAATGCCGCAATTGCGCATATTCAGAACTCTTTGCATCTCGAATGATAGCCACCTCTGCCTCTCCCTTGTCAACATCGACAGAACAAGAAGGCAGCAAAGGGAGTTGGACCGCAGCCAAGAGGCTAATTACTTTCGACCAACTGAGAGATTTGGGGGGTTTTGAAATGAAAAGAAAAAAGAAAAGGGAAAACGGAAAAAGTTCCTATCCCATGCCCAGGGGGGTGACCCAAAGGAGGCTGCCTGCTGCCCACACTAAGGCATGCGAGAGTAGGGAAGATGCGTCTCCGGAATAATCTGGAAGCAGCGTGGCCAGTCTTGCGTCCCGCGCTAGGAAGGAGGAGAGCGGATAAAATACTGCGAGGGATGCACGCAGAGGAAGGCCGAGAGACAAGGCCGCCCGGAGACATCATCCCGTCGAATAGCACAAGGAGATATCAACCGGGCCCAGGGCTTGGGCAGTCTCAATAAAAAACACAGCGGACTCTTACATATCATCATCACCGCTCCTCTGTCGGCCTTCTCCTCCGCTCCTGTAGATGGGCGGGAATTATGGAATCACTTAACTTTTTACTCCGTATTCCTTCGAGGGAACAGACCGATCTGAATGAGAGATGCCGACTGTGGCCCCCTTGCAACGCCGCCAGCCGCAAGCCGGGCACAAGCTCGTTGGCTCCCGTACGGCCGCGATGCCCGGGTTGATGATTTTTAGCCCCAGGAACAAACACTTAACAACCCTGAAGAAGTTGTTTCTTCTTGCGGGACTTATGCAGCGTTTAAAAAATAAGGGGTTCCACCCAAATCCCGTACGGCGGGAAGAAAGGGATAAAAGAGAGGAAAAAGGGCCACGAGCGAGAGGAAGCCAAGTGATTCTCCCGGGATTGAAACTGTGAGAACGAGGGAAAAAGAGTGGGATGAGCATGGGATGGCCCACGGGCTGTCTCCCTTTACCACTCAGACGAGGGTGGTGATGGGTGATTGCATGGGCGTATACATTTCGCGCGGGTTGACGACGGAACTGCACAGCTACAGCTATGTACGCATACGTAACTAGCTAACAAGCCCAGGGACCTGGCGAGGCG